GAAGTCGCCGCGTGACGAGTGCTATGAGCACGGAAAATATTAGTGTCGACACCGCTTTCCTCAATCGTTTGTTTTATCCAGCGTCCAAGGGATTGAGATGTTGCTGCTTGATAAGGCCTTTTGTATGTAAGAATTAGTTTTTCTTCATTTGTAGGTCGATGAATTGAAGTAACATTCATATAGGCAATAAGAGTTTCGGCGGGACAAATACTTGGATTTTCTGTGAAAAAAGGCAAGTCTAAAATAGGTTGACTTTTACCTACAGAAGAAGTTTTAATTAAGTCTGTTATATTAATAACAAATCTATCTTCGAAGCGTTGTATATTTTTGATTCGAATAAGAGATAATGTTTGAGCTCTGTGTCCCGTCGCTAAAGCCAGCAAAACCACTAGTTTTTTGGTGAGTATATCCAAAGGTAGCAAATCATTAGGGTGAAAATTCGCCAAGAAATCGAGCACAATGATAGGGTCCCAAGTTATAGTATATCTAGGATATGATGGGCGTAATTTAAATACACCTTTAAAGAATCTTTTGATGCGGTCATCATCTCCAATGGCATTTAAGGAAATCAGGGAAATTGCAGAACGATGATTGTTTAATGTCCCATATGAACTACCGTTTTGAAAGCAATCAGTAAGGAAATCCAATATATCATGAACTTTTACATTATGCACGTCCATGATGTTTTTAGCCAAGCAATACTGCCACCATAATTTAATACTAGAATTGTACTGCAGTAAGGTGTTTTTTGATAATGAAGATATCATGATTCCTGAAGCCGATTGTGGAACTTCTTTCTTAGCAAAGGCTTGCCTGATAATACACTCGCCACCAGGGTAAGGTGGCGATGGAGAGGGTGAGTTTTGCTGAAAACAGACGAAAGTAACCGTTTACTAGGGTGGAACGTAATTGGGTCAACAACCGATAATGACATGAAAACCGGAAACCACGGTTGAGCTGGCCAGTAAGGAACTATTAAAATTCCTGTTGCGTCATCTGTTTTAATTTTCCGTATAACTTTTAAAATCAGGGAGAATGGAGGAAATGCATAGAAAAAGAAATCGTGCCAACTGATCGTAAAGGCGTCAATATTATGAGCATATGGATCCCGTTTCCAGGATACGTATTGCTCACATTTTGTATTAATTCTCGAAGCAAAGAGATCGATTTCGGGATTACCAAATTTTGTCACGATTTCCTTGTATGCATCCGATGAGAGTTCCCATTCTGTATCGATGTTGAGTTTTCTAGACTCTGCATCGGCATCTGTATTATCAGAGGATTTAATATAGCTTGCAAAAATGAAAATATGTCTATCCTCGCACCATTTCCAAATTGCTTGAGATATGTCATTTAAGTGTATAAATTGAACTCCGCCCATTCTATTTATATAGGAGATAGCAGTGGTATTGTCTATCCGCATTAAGATTTCGCAATTATTGAGATCCTTTGCGAAGGATTTCAGACCGAAGAACGCCGCTAATAGTTCCAAATAATTAATGTGAAATAACCTTTCTTCATCGTTCCAGAAACCACCGATCTTTTCATTTCTGCATGAAGCTCCCCACCCCGTTTTGGAAGCATCGGTAAATATCTCCAGCGTGTACTTGAAACTTCGAATTGGATTGAATGCCTCACAAATATTATCTTTCCACCAAATCAAATCATTTTTTATATTATTAGGGAGGTTAATATTTTTCTCGTAACTAGCATTATTCAAGAGTGCTATATATTTAACCCGTTCAAATGTTTTTGTATGGGCCCAACCATATTGAACTCCTGGACAAGCTGCTGTAAGAATACCAATATATCGCGCGAAATCACGAATACTTATTCTTGGTTGGTACATTAGAGTCCTCGTACGATCGAGTATACCCTGTTTTTTTTTTTTATATGGTAGTTCCAAGTGCATTTGTCTGGAGTTTAAGATGAAACCTAAGAATTGACAGATTTGATTGGGAATAAGGACACTTTTCTCATAATTTATTAGGAAACCTAATTCTGTCAATATTTTTATAGTCTCTGTGACGTTTTGCAAGCAATTTGAGTATGAATCACCTATGCACAAGATATCGTCCAAGTACGTTACAGATAAGAAACCCCTGGAACGTAGGGTTGCCATCACTGGTTTGAGAATTTTTGTGAAAATGCACGGTGCCGTACATATACCGAAGGGTAATGCAGAAAATTCAAATAGGATACCGTTAAAGCGAAAGCGTAGGAATTTTTTATCATGTTCATTTATTGGTACCAAAAAGTAAGCTTCTTTAAGGTCTAAATTAGCCATATAGCAATTGTGACTCATCAATTTAGTAGCGGTTCTAATATCCTCCATTTTAAAATGTTCTACAGAAATAAATTTATTCAATTTTTTTAAATTTAGTATAAATCTCATTTCTCCATTACTCTTTGGTATTAAAAAAATACTGGATAAAAACTGACCCTGCACCGGTGTACATTGTCTAACAGCTCCAATAGCCTGTAAATGTTTAATTTCCTTTTTGATAGCAATTGAATCGGACACACTAAAATTTTGATCAGGATAATTTTCTGTACTTTGGTAAGGAAGTTCATAAAAAGGAATGCGATAGCCTGAAATAGCTTCAAGAATTACAGGATCGTTGGTTATGTTGCACCAAACATTATAAAAATGAAATAAACGACCAGCATGTACCTCGCTATTTATTGCGCAGTTGCGTTGCGCTGGCGGTTGGAGATCCTTTGCGGCTGTTCCGGCGGCGGCGGGTTCCGACGTGCTGGTGGAGGTGGAGGTGGAGGTCGTCGTTGGTACTGTTGTGGACGACGATTCTGGTGGGACGATGGTTGTTGACGTGGTGCGTTGTTGCGGCCCGCTGGCATGCCGCGCTGGTAGCGCTGGTTTCGCTGCGGACCGCTCCTCGAGTTTCCCGGGGCCAGAACCACACTAGGTGTAATAAGTTGTCCAGTCTTTTTGATGCCTCGTGAGGATTTTATGAATTCACTGAGGTTCTCACCGAAGAGATATGCATCTCTTTTCCGATCCTTTATAGGAGCTATAAAGGACTTTTCCAATAGTGGTGTTATCAATGATCGACGGGTCTCCGTTTCTGAAAAGTGAGAATCTGCAATTATCTTGCCAGCATCATTAAGGACACGAAGTATCTCCGGAGTTTCCATATTTTTTGTGAGTAATCCTGTCATTACTTTGCCTAGAGCAGTGAGAGCATGACCAAGTTGTCCCTGTTTATTGCGTACTCGAGTGTCCCGATTTCGTGATGATTCCGTTAAAACCGCGGATATTTCCGGGTTTAAAATCGGTGGTTTTGACAGAGGCATATTTTTTGGGAAAAGATATTTTTTAATAATTACATCTCTGGTTTCTTTCGAGAGGCCAGATTTTAAAATAGGCTCCCATCGATGAGATATATCATCTAAAGTATTTTCACCCCATTCGGGTGATTCGGTATGGCAATCTCCCAAAGCGCTAAGCAGGTCTGGGTCTACTGCAGGAGTGAGCGGAAGCATGTCAGGGCAAAGAGCAGGTATGGCATTGAGGCTCGGCACATGCGGCTGTAAATCTATGTTTGTAGGCATTGACGTAGCAGTTTGCTGTACATCGCTTAATTGTGCCAACTCCTCGAGCATCAATTCTACAGGTTGCAAACCCTGGGAACCATTCTCATAAAGCGATGGAGTTGGTGGGGCACCAATTTCGCCGATTAAATCCTCTTCACGAGTTTCACAATATGGGGTGTTATATTCATCGTCGTAAGATTCATGATCTGTAAAAGATACACGAATAAATGCCTGCTAAAACGGGTCAAGTGACATCCGTATAATATAGTACCAGTTGAAGTATTAACAAAACGAAAGGAGAAAAAAAAAATACACTACAATGTGGGTAGATATCATAAAGTACGGTTAATATCTCGTATTACCGTATGAAAAGGCCTCTGAACAATATCGCGTATTGTTTCGGGGTAAATGTCTACTGCCTAATATCTCGTATTAGGTCAAAGAAACACAGGCGACGAAATGAAAAAATAACACTTTCACACTTATTATAATTGCAATATAAATACCTTGATTTGGTAGATTTTCCAATTTTTTTTGGTAACGCCTGATCTTTTTCCTTAGTTTCTCCTCCTCCGATCTATTATGATGTCTTTTCGGCATAATTATTTAAAATATATATCTTTTCTTTTTTTTTTTTTTTACTACGTGCGAATGTCGCGCGCGCACGACAAAGAATGATTTGGACTTGTGGCGCGAAGGCGCCGATAGAGGGGACTGCGTGGGGGGTAAGAGAAGGGATCATACGCTTTCTCTTTCTCTCTTACGCTAAATAACTATGTGCGAGTGAATACAAACGCGTAGGGCTAACTACATGGTCAACTTTAAATCTTGAGACGAAGTTCAATATTAATATGGTTTTTATTAAGAGGTAAGTGATAAGAAGTTCACCGGGTCAGCTAGTATCTAAATTAAAAACGTAGGCGGTTTTCAAATAAAAGCTAGAATTCGGCCTCTCTATGCATTTATCACATAGGTCATATTGGGTTTAAAAATCCATTTAGAAGCGAATTTCTTATAACTGTCTATATTTATGAATATGATTCGACGTGTAGAACGACGATCAAATTGGAACTTACAGCCTGTCGCTGACCGGCGAATGCAAGTGGAATCCCTTCAGGCGACAGTTAATTTTTAAGATTCTATAAAAGCATTGCAAAATAAAAATTATAATTCTTTATTAAGTAACTTCATATAGCCTGTATGTCAGGAGTCAGTACTCTCTGTGTATTGCATTTTAGCTTATGCAGACTAAGAAATTAAATACAAAAAGAGTCAGAAAAAAAAGAAATACATTTTCGGAATATTGTATCAGTTCCACCACAAGTTGTGTGTACGCCTAGTATGATATTATATATTTTTTTATTTATTTATTTTATTTATATAATTTATTAAATAAATAAAATAAATATATTATATTGATTATAACGAGTTTATATTTTTTTTAGGTATGTGATCCGAACAAACCGGATAGTAAAGCAACAGCCCCACTTGCTATAGGGCTCACAGTGACTCTGGGGCACCTTCTGGCCGTGGACTACACTGGCTCAGCCATGAACCCCGCTCGCTCCTTCGGCTCCGCACTCGTTGCTAACATCTGGGACTCACATTGGGTAATACTATTACTACTTAAAAAAAAGTGTAAGGACCGTGCCATTTTCCCGTTGTCTCTACCACATACTCCGCAAGGGATCAAACAGCGTGAAGTTTTTGTCTTTACTTCTCTCGATTTTAGATACGAGTTTAGTTAAGAGCAACAAGTTTGGCAGGACATTTGAGTAGAAAGACCGGACATCCTATATTATTGAGGATGTTGTATCTCAGTTTTAATAGATGTGACAAAAAAATGTATACAAGATCAAACTTATTCGATTATTATCATAATTCACTCACTCGTTTGCCAAATGTAAAAAGCTGGAAAAGCCGGACGCCATTTGTTTTGACAGAACATGCAATCAAAAAGCCTACCATGTCCGGCTTTATACGGACGCCTAGCAACGCTAAATAAGAGTTTTATACTCGTAATACAACAAAGGCATTAAAATAATATTGCATTAATAATATAACGGTAAATAAATTTTTTAAAAAAATGTTAACAAACGCGTAATTTTAAACACGTCTTGATACATAAAGACTTCCAAACTTTGACATTAGCAGCATCTACCTATTAATGTCCCCTCTACTGGTGCATAGGCCTTCTCTATGAAATAGGAAGAACGAGCCAAAATAACCCAACTCATGGCCCCAATGCGGCACGACTGTAAATGCAGTCAGGATCAATGGCTTTACGTGCCTTCGAAAGCGTCCGAGCTCGATATAATAATATTTGGTTACCCATCCTATAACTGGCCATTGCGAAAGTTGCTAAAAACAAACTACTGCACCATTGAACATTTCAATCTATATTCATAATAATATTAAGTACTCGGAAATAAGAAATCCATATATTGTATTCCTATCCTAATTTGACTACCCAGAGTATGTTATACTCTTTTAAAAATCCTTACAGTGGTGTCAGGTTCGTTGAGTTGTTACATTACCTAAAATGTGCTCGTGAACATGTGCTACCAGAAGAGATGAGTCTGCTCAGGACTACTTAATTTTATTATTTTTCTATTATTATGCATATATGTAACATCAGTTTTATTATCAAGGAATTTGTATGAACCGGGATATTCTCTTATTGTAATCTATTATATAATGAAACTGACTTCATATTCAAGAGAAGCCACTTTTTAATTTAATTCGACATCTCTGTATGAACTAAAACCGGGAGAAAAAAGCAGTCCCCCCGCGGCAAAAGCAGTCCAAAAAGCGGTTCTTCCGGCATAACTTTTGACATTCCCAAGTGCTTGTAACAGCCTAAGCTCAATAAATGATATTGAATTTGAAAAAAAAACAATTCTATAATCTATAACTATAACAATTCATCGGTGTGTACAGGTATACTGGGTAGGTCCAGTATGCGGTGGTGTTGCCGCTGCCCTCCTCTACGTGCACGGGTTCTCAGCCCCGGCACAGGAAACGCCGCGGTACAAACCTGTAGCTGGTGACGAAAAAGAGGTAAACAAACAACCTTTAGAAATACATAGTTTTTAATGCGTTAAAATTTCTATATACTAAGAATTTAACTAATTAAATAACGCAATAGGCTTAAATAAATTTTGAAAAAAAAAAATCAATTGATTATACACAATATGCCCATTAATTTTTTTATACTTTCTTAGTTTTCCATGAAATAGCTTGGTCTATGACATTTACTACGAAGATCTCGTGCCGACACCTGCAATAGAAAACATTGTAACTCAATTTTTAGAATTTTACCGGGAAGCGTGACAGAAATATAAAAATACAAGTACTTATACTTATTCGCTAGTTACTTAAAAAAGTATTTATAAATAATATAACTTTTAGCACAGAGTTACAATGTTTTTCATTGATGTTAATAATATCTTTTTAAGTGTATTCTATAGTTTTCCTTTGCCTATATAAATAATTTACTAGGCATTACGAATACAGATAACAATTTAAGGAATATTCATGAATATTTTCGTTATTATTACAAGCGTACTGGACGTCTTCCTCCTACCGCTTGGACTGTTGAACAGAGTGTAAGAACACCAACAAATAGTACTTAATTTTGTACCCTAGAAATTAATTATCATAAGAAATAATCTTTTAATACTACCGAATTAGATATTTGCATTGATAATTTTATTCAAAATAGCATTATTCAAAATCCTTTCTGCATGATACAATTAAATTTGAAAGATGTTATATGTAACTATATAATAAGATACATTTATTTTATATCATATATGTTAGTTTACAAGATTTTTATATTTATATTTCTTATTGATTTCTGATATTTTCACGCGCACTATCCATAAATGACACAACTTTTAAACGTTTTCATCGCGTTTATATTTAGTTTTATTGTCGTTTCGGAGTCTTTACAGTTTTATGTAAACACGGAACCTATAAAGCGTCCGAAACGTCAATAAAACTAAATACAAACGCTATGAAAACGTTTAAAAGTTGTGTCATCTATATTAGTTTCTATTATATTTATTTCAATTATGCATATTATAATTTTATCACACACAAAGTGTAATGTGAGGCTCACAATTTGTTATCTTCAGCTGAAACGCCTGGACGGTAAGACGGAGGACCTCGCCTGAGAGCGAGCTTCCGCGCACTCAGCGCGCCGCCCATCCATCGAACCCACACGCCCGGCGGCATACACATACTTATGAACAAAACCACCAACTATATTTCCCAAAAAGCAAAAAAACACTCCCGTCGAAAACATAAAACCTCTCAACAACTCCAAAATAGACCAACCTATACAGAGCAGTGGTTCAAATGTCATATGCATCACAATACACTGTAATATGAAACATAAATTGAAAAGAGATTTGAAAAAGAAATACAATTACACATACATTTAAGCATTTTAATGTTCTCTCTGAACATATTTATAATGTAAAAAGCGCCAAAAATAAAATCTTTAAAAATAAGAAAACTATAGAAAAATGGGTTAAGTATTTTTAAACCTTGATGTTCATTTGTCGCTATATTGATAGAAATATAAAACTGATGTGTTAATACATGAATTGTGAATTGATAAAATGAAGTGTAATGTTAAATTAGTATTTGAAAACAGAGATTATTTTTATATTGACTTTAGTATAAAGTATTCACAAATATTTTTATACGCAATTATATAATGTGTGTAACAGGCATTATTTTATATGTACAATATAAAAAGGCTTCCATAGAAGTTTGTGGCAACAGACAGACATTTCTTATTATGAGTCTTCTAACGCATGATTATACATTTTCCATTACATTTTCAATGTTAATATCAAGTATTTCAGAAACCAAATCTTCAAATCAATTTAACTTAAAAACTAGTAGTTTTCCTTAAAAACGAGTTACTAATCGTTGGAAGGAGTTCGTTAAAACTATTTATTAATATTTTAACTATTGAAAACATTTCTAAACGAAAGCAAAGTTTTATTGTTTGGAGTAGTATTCAATAAATTCTCTGAACCCACACAAATGTAAAAGCAGTACCTACTTATTTATTATGAAAAAGCTTCCACTGTTTTAGAAATTATAAAAATATTGTTAGATACTAGTTTAATATGAATATGTTCATTCTAAAACGAAACTAAATAACTTGACACTATTTTAATCGAGATTCTTAATGTTAAGTAAAAATCTATTTAAGAATAAGTATTTTTCGCTCTAAAATATAATATACCTACAAACAGTAAAAATCTACTACTTAAGCTTTATTGTAATTTAAGTTATTTAACTTTATGTAGTTAAAGGCTTTAATGTAACGTGGCTATATCATCAATTTTGTAAGTTATTTAATTATAATGACACTCCATTAACTTTGTATAAGATAAATATTGAGATGTCAATGTGTTTAGATATAAATTTTAATAAAAATTAAATTGTCAAGTGTTCATTATTTCTTCTAAGAGATGATTGGGGACATTCTGTAACTAGAAAGAATGAGAACTAGTTAATAAATTGAATGTAAAAATTGTGTCTTTGAATCTTACGTTTGTATTTAAACATGAGTACATACCTATTTTAATATTACTTGTTTTAATTTTATCCATCCCTTAAAACAATTATTACGAAAATTGATTTAAAATAACTCTATTTCTTTGATGAAAATCCCAGTAGCAAACTCTAAAATAATAAACATCTGTCATTTTATAGACTTCTTCGTTACTATTACTAATCAGATAGGTAGGTCAGGTACTTCATATTGTAATCAACACCAGTGGCTTCGCGGTTGCGACAAGTAGGTATCAGTTGCATATCTCGTCCTACCGCACAATTAACTGAGGTTTTGTTCTAAGGACAAATTGTCTATCTAGATGCATACCTAATATTTGTGCTATAATTAACATTGCTTAGCATTACCTTTATACATATTAACATGTTAATAGCCTGTAAAGCAATATTAACACGTAAGCTGCCGAACATCACCGGTGGGTTCATGTTTCTCTTATCTGTGTAGTTATGAGCATCACGGGTGGGATCTTGCTTTTTTAATGCATCTTTTTCGAAATAAAAAGTAATTTTCAGTTTCTGAGCCCCCCACCCCACGCGCACATTTATTTTTATATAATCATTATAATATATCTAAACAGCAGGTATTTTATTCAAGAATACTGTGTAAACTTAGGGTAGCTGTTTAAAACATTTTATTGTTGACTAACCCATTATAATATCATCAAAACTATATAATCTATCTAGGTCAAGTATTAAAACAAAAAACTAAAGATCGTCTTGCCCGCTTCGTACCTGAACTCCCCAAATCAAAGGATATTTTTGTATTGGCAAATAAGTTTATTTAAAAAAAATGTTATAGTTCCCCGCTATTTCGCTATGCTGATTCTATCATTTTATGCATAAACAATCATATAAAATAAAAAAAAAAGTTGTCAGTCTTAAATCTTTATTTGGACTAGTTTTGAAATAAAATACATAAAGCACGTGTACACAACAAAATAAAAATAAAAGTAATTGCTTTTTGTTCAATTGCAATTATTTATTACACATAGAAATAATTAATTATACTATTTCAATAGATCTACGTCAATTCTAAAGCATTTTAAAATTGTTCTTCTATATATATAAAAATATAGGTAAATTTAAAAATCCTCAATTATGTTATGTACTTCTGTTATTTTATTAAACCCTATTACAACAACAGTTTGAAAACCAAAATCGTGGAAGTAGAGATTAATTATGATGGAATATATTTTTAAATTCATTTAACGAAATAATAAAAATAATTTAAGACTTCACTTAATTATGTGTAAATACAAAATGTGATGTTTTTTATTACACTACATTTATTATATTGCATTCAAATATTTAATAAAACGAATTATTGTTATGAATTATTCAAACACCTAAAATACGGAATATAAAAATGTAAGTTATTGGATAAAAATGTAGTCAACGCAATAAATGTAGTAGTTTATACAGTAAATAATATTTGGGTTTTTTTTTCCTTTATTTTTTACCTAAGTTTGGAGATAAAATATGAATAACTTCTCATAGATCTTTTTTTGCATTGACAACAATTTTTTCCAATATAAAATAACTAAATTGCTGACTTACTAACCTAAATCAAAATAACTCATTCGATTAAAGTATATCAAATTGCAAAAAAAGAAACGTCAGACCTTGAGAAACGCAAAAGCATAGTAGTGTCAATTTTATTTAAATAAATTGTAACGACATTTCTTTTTTACAATTCAGAACATATTTTAAAAAGTTGAAAGATGACGTTTACATGTGAAAACATAAGAACCCTCAAAATTACGCATTTTCAAATCTGTCAACGTGAAATGTATATAGGTGTAATTGCTAGAACTAAACAAGAAAACTTTATATGATTGTTCAAAAATGCTAAAAATATAAACATTTATTTACAGTATAAAAAAATAATAATAATATTGATATTTTTTAATTTATAGTACTGTAAGTATCAAGTATAAATATACATATATAAACATAATTGATATCGGACAATAATGATAAAGCTCTAAAAAACAAATTATTTATAAAACGATCACAAAAGTACACAAATGCATTTTTTCACATATTAATTTCGATGTTCAATAATAAAACTGTCATTTAAAAAAATAATTCAACAGTAATCCAGATATAATTTATTATTATTGAAACTTGATTTATTCAAAATCTTCATTCAAAACGTCTAGAAGTATACTGTATAAAGGAAATAAAGAAAATAAATTACATAAAATAAATTTGTACAATTTTTTTTTCTATGGACAGAAAACATTACAAACCAAAATATTCGTATATCTCCTACTTGCTAAAACAAATGATAGGATTTTTTTCTTTAATGTTTGCCATGTGTAAATATGAAACTCTGCGTATTTTCTACATTAAAAACATTAATTTATCGGCAAAGAAGTATTTTATTCTTTGAAACAAGGAAATCATTTCAGAAGAAAAAACTAAGGTTCCCTTATTTGAATATCTATAACGTTTCCATTAAAAAAATCGTTATTATGTACTTCATACTTATCGCTAGGGGGTATACAACTCATAATAGCCCTCTGGTTTTCAAATTAAGAATACTACTTCGATAATACATACATATAACGCTTAATAAATTAGATTAACAATAATAGGATAGCAAAAACTACTCCAAGATAAAAGAAATTCATCCTATTTAATGTTAAACTTTATAATTTATAAATGCAGATTTATTGTCAAATTCAAAATTTATCAATTCCAATGATTGGAATCAATTATATTTACATGCACGCGTAACATGACGATATCGAGAGACTTGAGAAATACGCGAGAAAATCTAAAAACGCTCGAGAAACGAAATCTTACACTCAACCTGTTTTTCGATTCTCTCGAGTTCGTCGAGCTATACGGGCTGATCCATTCCTGCTACAGGAAGTATGTTTTCTTATTATCAACAACTTTTTGAAACAAATACGACCGTATGTGCTTATTCATAGATTTTGGTGCTACAAAATTTAAATAAATCTTTGTGCACACAACGGTTATTTTTTTACGTTACTACAAAATTTTACGCAAAAAATTTCAACTTAAATATCAAGAAATTAAAATTATAAATCAATTGGCGAATATTTATATAAATTAATGTTCTGATGATTATAGGCCAATGACGAACACGTACTTCACTTCGCTTATAAAATTGCAAACAGAAGTTTTATAAGATATGAAATCTGTATATACGACATCACTTCGCTTATATAATTGCAAACAGAAGTTTTATAAGAAATGAAATCTGTAAATACGACAATAAAGCCGATGTTAAAAAGAGACAAGTAATGTGGTTCACTAATGTACTCGTAAGGTACCATTATGAGACTCCTGATGAATAGTATTTTACACCATATGATTATTTAAACAAGCCTCATTATAAATTTTAATACATGTTCCTGTACGCTTGTTAAAGAGTACAGTAATAAATAAAGTAGTTTTTAATACAAAGTAGTAGAACAGCCAAGAAGTTTTCGTGATTTTATTAAATAAGTTAAATGTATATGTTATTGAAAAATTTGTGCTTTTCTAACAGTGTTAATACGACTTAATAAATTATTAATTATTATACATTGGATTATATTTTTTAAAAAATTAAATGTGTAATAACCATTGTGAACCAACTGACAATGCTTGTAAAAGCATTTAAAAATTGTAAATTGCATCCAAGGAGTAGTATTACTGCCTAAAGATTTTTTTTTTCGTTACTTTATAATTTAGAATTATATGTATGCGTTTAGTCCGCTCTAAAATTCGATACATTATTGTAGATCTTTTTCCCCAAACTATTTTTTTTTATCTAACATGTTTTTTTTTTCTAAAATTTTGTCATACCATACCAAAGAACGACGGAAAATAGTCTGTAGTCAAAAAATTTAACTGAAATTATTTTGAAATAAATTTCAGCATCGGAAAAGATATATAACAATCAAAATAAGATTGTATACACATAATAGATTATTAACTTAAATATTCGAACTAGATTCATTACACTCTCACTCGTCAATTAAACTAAAAGTTTTTTAGTCCACTAAATAAATTTGAAACACTTCTGTTTGTCATGAGGTATTCGCGTTTTGAAAAGTACTGAGTCAGCTCGATACTGCGTAGACAATAAAGGTGTATATCCCATAACCTGCCAACAAAATATTCAATCAATAATTGTAAAAATATGCATGCATTTCTAAGAACTACAATATTTAATAACATTGTAATAAGTATTATATGCAGTGACGCTGCGAGGCGTTGCTCAAAATCAAATAAATATTCTATTCTATTCTAAAGTGCCTCACGCAAAATGGCCCCGTGAGGTCTTACGGGGCAGTTCTAACTTAACTTCAATAACCGTTATGCTCAGTTTGTAAAGTTAACAGTCAAAAAGACATGGTTTTCTGGTCACAATCGGGATGCGGGGTGAGACGCGAAGCGTAACCATAGCAACGCAGTGTAGCGACGACCTAAAGCTGCACTGAGATTATATTGTACGTACAACGGGAATTAAAAAACGTTGTTGCAGCGCAAGCCAGTGAAGATGGGTCAACTGATGCGGTCGGAACCATGACTATAAATATTTGTACTTAATTCACCCCAATTCAATGAATCCAATAATAATAGGGTATTCTACTCTGTTTGAAGTAATACTTGTAAGTATTTATTTTAATTCAAAAAAAGTCGTCAAACAAATATTTCGAAAAAATAAACGCGTTCTCTTGCCTTCAAATTAAATCAAAATTTAAACTTTTTTTCTACCAACGAAATCGCTGTCCGTAATATTTATGACGTCATTGCGATATGTACACAAAACAGATGCAAAGAATAGAAGACTAAAAGATGTCAATAAAACAAAAACACTCCCATCTAACGATCGATCACAAAATAAAAAGATATATATAAGCTAAGAGCATCTGACAGCTATCGCCACAGTGACGTCACACAATGGCGGATCGCGTTTCAAGTCACGTGACATACAGACAAAAAGCTCGACTTTTAATTTTAAGATAAAGATAATCGTGCGATTTTAAGACTCTAAATCAGAATCCCTATGTTTATTACGATGTAAATTTTAGTTTTTGTGCCATTTCGTGGCTTATTTTTCATAACCGAAACTACCCTATTTTATACTACTAAAAACTATTAAGTTATTGTGTATATCGTATATTTTATATGATTGGGTTTATTTTACGTTTAATTAAACAATATTATTATTATTATTATATTTGATTAGTTCGAATTCCATCTCAGATTGCCAGGGACAAAGTGTATTTGGACATGGGACATTTTTCATTAAAAATATTTTTCAGTATAGTATTGTGAATGCAAAATTTATCAAATATCATAATTAGAACGAATTTTCACCTTTATCGAAAGTTTAAATATTTGTAAATACATTTCTTTCGCCCGTTTGGGTGGATTGCCTGAACATTAATGAAAATACGCCCTGTAATAACGATAAAAGTAACAAGTGCTTGGAAAATTCATCAGTCCTGTTAGGTACTGGGTAGCTCAGTGATTAGAGCAGTCGCCCGGATTGCGAAAGGTTCGAGTTCGAGTCCTATCTCAGAGTTATTATATCATTATTATTAACACGCAACCGAATCACCGCTATTCATTGAGGCAAAATGTCGCATGAGGTCACGCTTTTGTACATTTCTACAAAACTGTGACGTAGCGAGCCCCCACTTCTCAACTTTAATACTTATTATCTAAGCTATTTCTTGTTAAATTGAAGTAAGACAAAATACGTATCTAATTTTTTTATTGTCTGACTGATAGACTAAAAAAAATATTTTTTATTAAATACTAGCTTTCCGCCTGCGACTTCACCCGCGTGGTCTTGTATTATACATAAAACCTTCCTTTCCAATCACCCTATCTATGAAAAAACCGCATCAAAATCCGTTGCGTAGTTTTAAAGATTTAAGCATACATAGGGATATAGGCAAACAAGAGAAAGCAACTTTGTTTCATAGTATGTACTCAAGGCATCATCTCCATTAAGTTCAAAATCGCTTTGGCAAATTTGACATTTTACATACCTGTGAGAAAAACTGTATGCATTTATGCCGCTCGTGGAAATGTGTCTCGTCCGCTGACAGTGTGACCGGACAGCCTGGACATCTGAACGTCCAACGTGACGTCACCTGAGCGTGACATTATATAAATAAGTATTAAATATCATCTAAGTAGGCTCTATCTGCGATACGGTTGTTAAGCAACTTTTGTAATGCCCGGACATGGGATGGGTGACAATTGTTTTTTTTATCTCGAATTCTTCCATTGCTCGTGGCTGCATCCGCAGTAGTTAACACCCACCAATGCACAATGGGCCCGCGTGGTGGCTCATAGCCCATTCTCATTATTCGATCTGATTCGATTCCATTTAGGAAAGTCTTAAGTCCCAGCAATGGAGACATTGATAGGCTGGGGACGATGATGATGAGATATCATCACAAGACATTGCTTAGATCTCAAATGAAGTAGCTTTGAGTACTTGAATAATGAAAATCTGAAAAACGACGATAATACAACATGCAGACTCGAAACCAGAGACAATATAGAAAAGTTTATGATCTCTATATCACCCAACCGGGAATGATACCAGAATTTGCGACACCTTGTAACAGACATGCGAGGTAAGTAATAAAATTACTATATCTGCATTAAAATCAATAGTGTTAATTAAAGCAATCAATATCTTTATAAAAAGGGCGTTTTGTGCCTGTGCCTGCGATTTTGTTTGCAAGGACTTTCTATCTTCTATTCGATTTCGTATACCTTCCGGAATAGATAATATTACAAAGTGTTTTCACAGGAGAATGAGATATTTTTCCGCAATAAAGAGGATTTTTTTTTCCGACAAAGGCTTAAATGTATATATCATCGTCAGGGTTTTTGTCTCCACTGTTCCCTGTGGATGCGGTAGATATACCCTATGGATGGAACTAACTAAGGATAAAAGCAATAACCCACCATACATTCACCGCACTGGAGGATTGGAATGTGAATGACTAAAGATGTAACCGAGTCCGATGGCTCAATGAGCCTTCACAGAAGAGCTCGAGCTTAAAGTTTTGATCACCCATCTTATAACCGGCCATTGTGAAAATTGCTTAACCTTTAATATCGATGTTACGGTACCTTGACCGGTGGTTTCCTAGTGATGTGCGCTACTAGGAAGTTCATAGCGATATCCTCGCAGTTCATATACTCGTCGACGTAATCTCGTACAGCGGCGGGTAAAGCGCGCCAATACGCCCACAGGTAATAACGGTGGACGAATGCCGCACCAGTCAGTACCATACTTAACTCGCAACTAAACAACAAACATTCACATATAACTAATACAGTGGGCTAATAATAGTCTAATCAAGGACGGATCCAGGGGGATCGTGACGGGGGTCGTGACTAGAGTTGCCAGGTGCAATTTATTATTAATCGGGACAGCGCGTGTAATTAATCGGGATTTGGGGTTATAAATCGGGACAGACAAAAAAACAAGTATTAGTACTAGTTTGGTATCTTTTTTGCTGTCAGACATAGATAAATATAGTAAGGGGCTTTCTAAAATGGATTTGACAGTACGAAAAAAAATTTTTTTTTAAATACTTGATTTTCGGGACATTTAGCGTCCCGATTAGGTACAAATCGGGACGCGTCCCCGGACCCCTGAAAATCGGGACGTCCCGCGTAAATCGGGACACCTGGCAACACTAGTCGTGACCCCCTTTCAGTACCATAGTTAATTCGCAAATAAACAATAAACATTGACAAATACGGTGGACTAATAATAGTCTAATCACGGGCGTATCAAGATCCAGGGGATGGTCACAGGGGTCATGACCCCCTGGTCTCAGTCCAGAACCTAGGTGGACTACTAATTAAAATTGTTAAACATAATGTTTTTATGTATTTTTATCCCAATTTAAATTTTATTGAAATACTATCAAAATTTAATTAAACTATAACTTCTTATGACTTGATCATTACTGTGGGACCCGCATCCCCTGGCTATTACGACAGGGATTTGTGTAATTATGTAACCTTTAAAGCCGCAATCGTTTTTGAATGGACAATGATTTGAATAATATAGAAACATAATAAAAACTTAGCTAAACCCGTCGAAAGATTACAGTTAGCACTCATCAGTTAGCGTTTGACATTTCTCAATAGCTGTCAAGGATAGCTGCCTTTTTTCCTTAGACCTAATTAACGTCAGACCAACGATATCGTTCATAAAAAAAAAACCTTTCAAAAAAACGTCGAGATCGCAATCGCTCTCCCATGTCTGGTGCCTTTCTTAAGCATGTTTAAGGGCTTTATTTCTGTAATTATATTCACCTGTAATTGGAGTTGTAGAGAAAACCGTTGTTGAAATTAATATCCCACGCGTGATATCGTCCAGGGAATCCCACGATACGATCTCTATGTTCACGCCACACTCTGCGAAAACAAAAATAGCGATGATGGTTAAAAGTTAGCCAAAATATTTTTATCGTTTATTTAAACAAGAATGCAAACTCTGTCTAGTAAGTCAAGCCCTGTTGCAAATATACCAATGCATATAGCACTCTGTGAATCAAATCCAAAAATAAAATGTCGGGCGAAACAAAATGGCGGAAAATAGACAGTTATCATTCTTTTTTTTTACAAAAAGCCTATTACCTATAAAAATAGTTTATACTATAAATTATACCTGAATGCAAAGACGATCTCGTCATGACGCAAATGAGCATCATCATCCACACATAGTACAGCTTCAGTGTCTATAAGATGGTACGGTAAGAATCGGTTGTTGAGAGAATTCCTCGTTGCTCGTACGACGGCTACCGGAGCCCCGCTCTCGGGCCACGACGATGCAGACGAAGGTGGCGAAGGCCCATTCCATACAACTATCACCTGAGAACAAATGATTTGTTTTTACTTTTAACGGCATTGATATTGCTCCTCTAATAAAACAACACAACTGCATATTTAAACAGAAAGATTTAATAAATGCAATTGAATAAAATACAAAAAAAAATCGTTCCTTATACCCTAAACTAAGTAGCAAATAGGGACGGGACGATGGCTGGATAAAAAAAAGAATGTATCTATTTAGTCCCTGGAAGGCACGTTAATCCTATTAATATTATAAAGGCGAAAGTTTGTAAGTATGGATGTATGGATGTTTGTTACTCTTTCACGAAAAAACTACTGGACGGATTTGGATAAAACTTTACAGCAATATAGGTTATACATCAGAATAACACATAGGGTACTTTTTACTGGGAAAACTTCTCACTCCCACGGGATACCGACTTCCACGCGGACGAAGTCGCGGGCGTCCACTAGTAATATAATAACTCCGAGACGGGACTTGAACCCATGACCTTTCACAATCCGGACGATTGCTCTAAACACTGAGCTACCCAGGACCTAACAGGACTGAGTAATTTTTCAAGCACTCTTTACTTTTTTCAAACAACGCCATACGGCATTTAAACTAAAATAAGCGTAAAAGTGAGTAAGCATAAAATATAATCATATAATCTAATAATAAAAAAACAGTCACCATCCCTATTATCTTAAGCCAGATTTACGTTACGAAAGGGTGACATGAAACTAAAATCAATTCTCACGAAAGTAATTTCGGCACTTGTGTTTTCGTGAAACATACCCATTTGGTACACATTTCACGAAAGTACTTTCGTGATGGCGTGCAACAGTATATCTGAGACAATGACTGCATCGCCATTGAAGCTATGCGCCGATGGTGTCTCGTCACTAGTTGTTATCCCAGATGTAAGCTTCGTTTGTGAATCAGCGGTCCACTTTGACACAGGAGATGTTTTGGTGTTTCACACTCCTGTTAACAGTATCTACAAATCTGATATTTTTCACTTAATTTCATTTGAAATTGGTGTATGTTTAATTTGAAGTGACCAGATAAGGCCCCTACAATCGCTCGGATTTTATTTCTGACTTAACGTGATTCCATCCTGGTTGATTGTGCCAGTATTTTTTTATGTCGCGCTGAATGGTTTTTCGGAATACCGCATAAGGGTTTAGGGCCCATTTGTTAACCATGAGCTCGGGTTCTTGCCAGTTCGTTCGCAACTTCATTACCTTCGATGCCAGAGTGACCTGGTACCCATTTGAGAATAATTTTATTGCCTCAGTTCATTAAGTTTGTCGTCAATGAAGTCCTTTAGCAATTTTAAACTTATTGTGTTCGATTGTAAGGCATCGAGTGCTGCTTGGCTGTCAGAGAAGATGAAATGGTTTGATATATTTAGTAAAATAGCCTCCGCCTGAAAAATGGTGGCGTTTGTACTAAGATTCAAACTTGTATTATATTTCGGTCTTTCGCCATATATTCCACATCCTACATTATGATCCATTTTGGAGCCATCTGTGAACCAGAGAAGACTTCCTGTTTTGCAGAGATCGTGTTAATCTGACCACTTCTTCTTGCTTGGTATTTTCACTGAAGTTATAAAGTGGTATCATTGGATCCGTAATCATTGTCAGTGGCGTGTTACCAAGTACTGTTTGGTGTAGAGATCTCAATGCATGAGGGAGCCAGTGTTTTTGGTCAAAAATGCTTACTCTATAAATGCTTGCTTTTGCCTCTTTTATTATATCCAGTATAGTTTCGAGTGATCTCAATCGAAGTTAAATTAGTTGTGTGAAACTATGCGCAGAAATATGCGAATCGCACGAAAGTACTTTAGCGCCGTGAAAGAAATGCATGCATTGCGACAGTGGACATGATATCGTTCAAAATACTCATACATATTCACAAAATCGAAAGTTAGCAATCAAAATGTTAATCAGTATTCATAAATTATAAACCAAGGGCTGCAGTCTCGGCCGAGTTTGCTATCGTAGAGTTCAATGACCGAGCTGTCAAACTCAATCGCTAGGAAACTAACGAATATCGCTAATTTGACAGTTGAACTCGATTCGCGCCTAACAAATAACAATATTATAGTTAGCTGTAGAGAGCTGCAATAATCGTTAAATCACGATCCCTATGAGTTAGCAAACGAATTCTGTAAGATTGCGATCACAAACTCAGTCGCGACTGCAACACCAGCTTAGTATAATAACGTGTAATAAGAATAATGTGACCGACCTTATTCAAATACGGCAAGCCTCGGAGTCTAGTAAGTGCAGCGGCGAGTACCGCCTCGCGTTCATACGTCAATATCACGATGGTGAACTGTTCCCTCGGCCTATCACCGCCAAGCGCCTCGCTGAACTCTTTACCCGACCCACCTACACCGGCACCTATCGGTCTGAACCCAGCCGCGGAACCGATAAACCGTGCCTCTGACGTCACCATCGGATCCCAAGGCAATTGCGGATACAAAACGAATGGCTCACCCCAGTCGTTCCACAGTTCGTATCTATAAAGCAATTATTAAATAGAGCTATATTAAGTGCTTATCTTACGGCAAACTGTATCATTTATATTTTTTTCTTAAATGACAATAAACCACAAAACACTGTTGAATTTTATGTTATGTATAATTTAAATTAATTTATAAACTAAATGTGTATCAAAAGTATCACTTAGATAGAGATAGAACCTTTATAAAATACCATATAAGAATAAACAACAAAGCTACAGTACAACTTATAACTTTGTATGAATTTTGAATGGTCCTTGGGAAATGTCTGTACCTCATCAGAATTCCTTTAGCCGTTACGTAATAGAAGCTGTTCGAACCATCATGATCGAGGTCACATATTAACTGTAGTCTTACAATTCCAATATGTAGTTATTGTTTCACTGGTTATTATAACTGAGTAACGAGAAAAAGCTCATTGGTCTAGCCATGAAGGGTGCAATTGAAATTATGGAAAAGTATGTTGGTTGCTTACTATATACGTACCCATGCAATAAACCTATTGAATAATTTCGCCGATATGCTGGACTCGCATATGGAGCTTCCAAAGGCCCGAGAGTTTCTTCTGGTTCAGTATCAACTGCTGGAGGATCTATTTTCAGTGGATAATATGACTCATTGAAACCTGGCGCTCCTACGGTAGGTGACGCTGGCGGTGCCGGAATATTCAAACGAGATCGAATTGTAGCCAGTAATGAATCTATACTAGTTTGAACAGAACTGAGGTATCGTTCCCAAAGAACACGGCCTTGTCTTCTAAACATCAACAGATCAGCATCCGACATCGCCCGTAACAAGAAATGGAGTTCAGTGACTCGTGCCTTCGGAAGCGCTATAACCGCTCGTTTCCAATCCAACACTTCATCGTACGGAAGACGTATTCTATCACCACCAAGAATAATTGGAATAGCGCCAGATCTCAATGCCTCGTATAAACGCGCTTGCAGCAATGCTGTCGTTGTATAAGTTCGATCGGCTGGAGCCAGAATAAGTACGAACGTAGAATCTCTCAGTACCGCGCGTCGTGAACGATCAGTGCCACATAATGCCCAATCTCCAATAGGTAGTAAAGATCTCTTTTCTACGGGAGGATCACATTCGAATTGCAAAAAGAATGTATCAGGCGACGGACTTGTCTTCTGCAGAGATTCAACGAGTTTTTGATCCTGATCCTTGTCAAGTCCTTTTGCAGGCGGTTGAGATCCCTGAAAGCTAATATTAGCTAATGAAAATGCATCATAGTTATTTAATTATTCCGTATTTTATGATTTATTTCAATAGTTTGATTGAAAAAAATGTACAACAAACAAAAATACCTTATCAAATATTTTCTTCTTGCAGGTGCTATAGGTGCGCAATCAAGCCACACATCACCACCCGGTGGGCCTAATGCAGGTGGTGTTATTATATCAAAACCTGGTCTAAATTGATTGTGTGTGAATGTAGACTGAGCGATAATAGCTCTTCCTGTCGACACGCCACGAAAGGCATCTCCGGACCCAACAGAAAGCTCACGCCGTGCTAAATTCATCAAAACATGATTTCTGCCATCGCCTCCCCAAAACGGTAATCCTTTGAGAGCAGTCTCATTCAACAACAGTTTATACGACTCAGTTGTTGACCTGAAATAATCATGAACATATTGTAAGCTGCAATCATTTTTGTCACAAATAAATATGTAATGTAAAAAATATCTTACGAGGTTTTCTCGAACGGAAAAGCTTCACCAACAAGGACCATGTAAACACAGGCTTTATTTGGATCTCTTGTTAGATGAGTGTTGTAACCTAACGTTTGACGTAATGTGGTTTTCAGGAAGCCATCCACTTCGGAACTAGCAAAAGGTGCGTAGATGTCGGGATCGTACAAATAGACCGGGAATCCTGAAGTTAGAGAGCAACGGGAATGGTCAAAGCAGGAAAACATGCGGCAATGAGGTTCTGAGGTGGACTCGATAGGTGGTAGGATGGGTGGAGGTCTGACTGATAGTATTTGTAATGGGGGAGCTAGTTCAGGAGAGTCCCTGCGGATAGCTTCAAGTTGCGCGAGACGAGCCTGGTCGGCAGAAACGCGTAACCGTTGCAATTCTGCTGCTGCACGGGCATGCTCTGCTTTCGCGCTATCCGCTTTAGCACTAGCCGCCACCGCTTCTCGCTGTAGTCGAGCACGTCTAGCTTCCAATTCACGTAACTCAGTAGATACAGAGGCCTAAGTAAAAAATAAATTAAGACTAAAATCTAATTACAGTATGTGCTTAGGGTTGCCATCCATCCAGGGTGCTCTAGAGTAATCCTAGTTTCTAAGGCGTATTTAAAGTACCCGTTTGAATCTTTGTAATGAGTTCAGATTAGTGTGGTTTTGCCATTAGCCAGACCTAAACCAATAATCGTTTTTTTTTGCCCTTGTAATGTCACGCGAATGCTATCTTCGATGTTTGACAATGATGCGATCACAGTGTAAGATAGCAACCCCAATGCTGTCGAATTACCATAATTATAATATTTAATAATAAATAAACCCTACAATAAGTAGTCTGTTTAATTGTTTGTTACCATTTCTGTACCTCATTTTCTTTATAAAATTGGGAACATATGCAAATGCATGTTAATTCACAACTTTTCTATCGCATTATAAATTTTTTTTCTAGCATATATTTAATTTATGCTCTCAAAACTTTTCGCTTGCATAATTTTTAGGGATCCATACCGAAACAGAAAAACAGAACTCTTACAGGATGACTTGTTTTTGTTTAAGAACCCTATTTCATGATAGTTTTTTGCAGAAATTGGTCAATTTTGACGTTCTCGATCTCGGAAACAAAAATATATTAATAATTTTGACTTATTGAATATATTAATAATTTATAAAAATATATTAATAATATTGACTTATTGAATAGACTAAAATCTTAACGCGCTCACGATCGATAGCGAACCCAAACGTTAAAAAAACTTAAGCAATATTTGAAGTATTTGGCTTTTGATGATTTTCTTTATATATACCGCGTGTTACAAAAAAACCCGTTACCCCGAAAATGGCATTGAGTATACATAAAACTGAGATAATGGACGCTGTCCTTTATATCGTAGCCATTGTATTTATTGAAAAAAACAATATCGAAGTTTAGCAAAATTTTCGATACCATTTATCGAAGCACACCGACATTATGATCAGCTGTTTCAGTTCATTGACTTCTAAATCAAAGACTATTATTTTGCCAGACTGGTTATATCTACTGGTATTTAGTGCCTACGTCACAGTACAGCGAAATAATTTATCTAGTTATGTGTACATACGCAAATATTCGAACATGCAAAATATTACACGAAAACATTATTTTAAAACTATTTCCAAAATTCGTTTTTATTCAGATTAGAGCTCCCTTTCCAATATACCTTGCCATATTACTATGCCCGTGCTACGCACATATCAGGCACGGAAACAAACAATAAACAGTACGCTATAGTCACTGCACTGGATTAAATACTTTCGCCTGAAATGCTCGTACAATATCTCTTTACGAACTGTAGACGGCCCATCCAAAATAATAATCTTTATAATTAATGCTACGACACGTCACTCAATAATGTACTCATAAAATCAATTTCATCTAATCTAAACAAATAGAGAAGCAGAGGAAGAAGAAATATCGCGACCTCTAGATAAGTAGAATATTCGTTATTGCACGAACAATTTTTTTTCATAATTAGGTAGTTTCATTTTTATGAAAATAATTACAATATTATGAAAGTAGGCGACGTATATCACTGAGTGTCTTCCAGGTAACTTTGTCTATCTGTAGCTGCTTCATCTTTGAACCAGAATTTTTACACATCGTGTCTTTAAATCATGATAACCTGGTACTCGTACCTACAATCTTCTGTTACGAAAGTAAACCTAATATGACGTCAGCGCAGATACAGTCGGGGAATAAATTGAAACATTGATCAATATTCGTGTACATATTTCAATTGTGTTTATGGTCAATTTATTTCTTTTCTAATATTTTTACAATAAAAAGATCAGACTTAAAATGGAATATGAACCTTAATCGGGAATATGATCATTCCCGATTATGGTTTCAACCACTTACTCTTACTACATGTAAATTGTTTCAAGTAAAATGGATTGCTACCTTAGAGTTAATGATATGCACTACACTTAGGTATCTTAAAAGCGTCTGACAAGAAAAAATGTCGACAAAGAGCCGCTTTCTGAATTGAGAAAAGTACAAAATCTCAACTGAATATTCTCAATAACTGAAGTTTTTTTATATTTCACTAGTCAAAAGTCCTAGTTTTATCAAACTGCTAACAACTAATTATAAAAAAAAAACCGGCCACGTGAGAGTTGGACTCGCGCAGGAAGGGTTGTATCCGGTGCTAAGAAATAACTTCATTAGCTTAACTCTTAAAAATATTTTTTATTGTTTAGGTATTTAAATACGTAAGACAAATCAATACATAATCGGTAAAATCGAGCCTAAAACAAATTCACTTATTCCCCCGAGTGTACAATGACGTAAGATAGAGATAGAGAGGGAGGGAAAGAGAGAGAGAGAAAGAAACGAAACATTATCGTTCGTGTTTGTGTGATGTCGCGCGCGAGTGACTACTTGACGCTAGATACGGTAGTAGTAAACATTTGGTACGGATTTTAATTTATTATCTATTTTATTACTGTGGGCTATTCAACTGAATTTTAGAATCAGAGTATAGGATTCACTATTTTAATGCTGTAAGAAATGAAAATGAATGAGACGTTTTATTATGTACTGTTTACCTATTTCCTTAAATAGAAAAAGCCCTAAAACGACCGACACAGCTAACAAACAAATGGTCATTTATTTGAAAAATAGTTCAAAATAGAAAAGGTGTATAAAATGAATTAAAATTTTAAACAGGTATGTCGATTGTATGCAGATTACTACGGCCCACGAAATACATTAATTTATTTATTTAACGATGTCTTATGATAGTCGATGCTACTTCCTCTCTACAGACTGAGCCAAGCATGCTCGTTTGCAGGTGCAGCGTGAAAGTATATCACATTTCTCACTTAAACTAGTCTTTACCAAACATTAACAACGTTTAAATTTGTAAATACTAAAAATACAACCATGTACTATCTTATCAACAACAATAAAAATTTACAAAATCTTTGTCAATTAACAATTCCTAATACGTAACGTTCATAATACGTAACGTATTATGTACTTACGTACGTATGTAAAAAAATTAGTTGCAACAATGTCCTGCGACGATTTTTTTAATTTGTACAATAAAATGTTGATCACCTCGGTACTAGGCAACTAGAAGTTTAGGCTCAAACTTTAACATTGCCGCCTGTCTAGGGTTGTCATCTATCCGTCTTTAGCGGGACATGTTTGACTTTTTAGATTGTGTGCAGCTAAATGTTAATGTCACATGTCCGGCGGTATAGTTTTCATAGGTTTTTGGTATACCTGTGCCGAAGCTATATCAAATAAACTATGAATACACACAAATTCGAAAAACGTCAAATACCCAAATACCCAAAAAGACGCAGTGTTGCACGGGCATTTGCGAAATTTGAATACAAATCGTTAGTTTGTTTGCATCGTATAGTCTCCGAAATTACTTTATAAAAAAAACCTTTTTCAAAATAGGTTGTGCAGTTTTGATGTTACGATCAAGCCTTATTTTATGAATTCACGTTTTGGCTGTGATAAAAGCGTTAAAATTATGATGTAGTTATCTTATCTTTAATTACCGCTTATTTGTATGTTACGTCTTACTACAAAATCAATTGAAAGTTAGTGATTTTTGCTTAACGCACCCTCTGAATAACTAGGCAGTAACCCTCGCGAAGCCGTGAACTAATATTACTGTCTACTACGGTAATATTGTTTTACGGCTTCGCGAGAGATTTGACTTAGTCCGGCTTTAAGGACAAAATTTCCGATCTAATAAGAGAAGATGGCAACCCTATCCCGCTACTTCTCAGATTTAATTGCGGAACTATAGGTACCTTTCTGTGCGCCTTTGACATGCCGCACACTATGCAGCGGCTTATAATAAAGGACTCAAATTGGCGGCTTTCCCTTTTTATCACTTTTTTTTATTCAGTTGTTCATACGTCGTCGATGTGATCACGTTTCGAAAATGTCCGTGTTCTCTAATTCCGAGTTCTATGAAAAGTGCTTTTATCAGTGTTACATGGGATGCAGTGTTGTATTGATATAAATTGAGACTATTTTGAAAAGATGTAATTATACTGAAACGTCAGTGAACCAGAGGTTGGCCGCGATCTTTAGTTTTTTCTTGTGGAATAAAATTAAGTGCCTAATAAAGTGTAGGTGAGTGAACCTCACAAGTAATGCTTAAACAGTGAATAAGGAAGTGAAAAGGTAAAGTACAAATAGTAATTCGCAAATATTTATTTTTAAATACGCCAAAATCGTTTGTGAATTATGTCGCATAACATTTTTTTTTTATTATCGTAATATCAATCAGATTTGTCGGACCATTAAAGTATGAACTAAAAGTTAGACTCGTATATCAGTGTTTAAATAAATTACCTGTCTATCATAAATAGGTACTACTTAAAATCGTGTTTGATCTGTAATTCAGAAACAGCTGAGTCGGAAACGATGCTATGAAATGATGTGCGCGTTGATAATAATATGTATTATAATTTTTTTTACTGAAATTAGACTACCGGCTGAACAGCGTCGGTTACCATACCATTTTGCCAATGATTTGATTCCTATTTAATTTCTTTTCATTTTATTTTCGATCGAAATAGGTTAAGTATTTACTGTGTAAACTGGCAAACGCAGACATGTTTTTAAGTATATTTTCTCTCTCATTCTTAGTGTGTATGTGTGGGTGTGTACTAGGAGAATAGAAAAAAAAATTAGAAAACATAGGAGATAGGTAGTGTGCCATTACTCCTGGTAAGGTCATTAACCTAAAATAGTGATGTGACATAGCACACTCGATGTATTTATTAATTATTAAAAATTAGCCTTTTTACTGAAAGTTAAAAGTTAATGCAAAGGTTTTGAAAATTTGGCAGAGTACTGTTTATATGATATACTTCAACACCCTTCAGCTATAACGGGTATTTTTGTAACACCCGGTATATTCTTTATTTATAGTTTCAGCGCTTTTTCAAAATATCGAGGCCGCGACTGTATAAGAAATATCATTATAGGTATATATTTTTTATTTCATTTGTTTAGAACAGTAGCTTAATACGGGAGCTCGAAAAAACGTCTTCGCGCATTTTACGAAAATCTTTCTCTGCTATTTTGGGTTTAACTAAAAAGTTCATCAAAATTCCCAAAAAGCGAGGCCGCTACGATATATGGCAAGAGTTATTATGCACTATTCAATAAGTAAAAATTAATAATATATTTTTATTTGTAAGATCGAGAACGGCAAAATTTACCATTTTACGCAAAAATCACTGTTGAAATGTGATATGGCTCTTAAGATAAGCATAGAACATCCTAAATTCTGTTTATTTCCACTTTTTTTCTTAATTTCCACAGGTATCTCCATACAGGTAAATTATCTAATTGTGTTTCTTTTCAAGACTAATTTCTAAGATGAAATTATGTATGAGCAAAATCATTAAGAAAATATATCAAAAAAACCCGACTGCATAAAAACTAATTTTAAAAATACATGAAAAAATTAACTTAAATAAAAACAAAAAATAAAGAAACAATCCCAGTAGTTTAGAACTCTGTTAAGTAATACTAAAGAACGACACAATTGAAAAAGTGTTATAATCGATACATACATAAAACAAATCATAAAACAACTACTACTTCTATGTTCAGATAATATGAACTATTTAACTTATAAATATTTAAATAATAAATTTTATGGCACTAATTTGGTAATATTGCACTTTGAAAACTTGAAAAAAGTAGGGATATATACTCCAAAAATTTGCTACAATATATATGGCATTAAATTGGGACTAAATTGGCATTAAATATGTAACAATTTAACTTTCATTATAACAGCTATAAACAAACGCACAAATAACAAAGATATTACAAAGATTGCCCACACACCCGTACATTTTTCACTACTATACCACCATGCGACATCACTTAATGAATTGAATTTGTAGGGAGTGTTTTCGGGTAACTAGCAGCCGTTCCCCAAACACAGCACCATATCTATGAAACCATTAATAGCAGACATGCTCTTACTTCTATGTTATTTCTCATAAATTAATGGACTATTTATTCATAAAATAAAAAAGTTGTTAATTAACCTATTTCGGTTTATTTTTATATTGTTCTGTAGTGACACATAATGACAGAAAAAGAATACTCCAGCACATGTAGCATGATGAATTTAAAAAAGTTTTATCTACACCCATATATCACTTTTCTCAGGTACACCATACAATATCTCACTCTTAACTGGAGAATAATAACATTTATTATAGGCAAAATATTTCTCAGGTTTTTCAAGTACACATTCAGAATACTATAACATTCTAAGTTTACTTTTATTATCTTAATTATTTATAAAATTGAACTGTAGTGAATACTTTTTTATTCAATTACATTATCAACACAATTTAAACCTAATGTAACTTACCTTAATTCTAAGCATCTCTTCAATCCTGACTTTCAGATCTACTACATTCATTGTAGATAAATCACCAAGTGCTTCCAATGTATGTCGCATATGATTATTACTTAATGACCCCAAAGTTGACTCATACTGAAATAAATAAAAAATAATAATAATAATATCTAAATATCATTTGATCTTGGTTCAGTTTAATTTTTCTACAAAAATATAATTTTTAGTAATTATAAAGGTGACTTAACTTTTGAATAATATTTGTTATAACTTGATACTCAAAGCATGCCAGGACCGTTTTTTATATACTTTTATAATTTTTTTATTTAAACGATACATACCTTAGACAAATAATAATGCGTGAAAAGCGGCACCACGAATAAAATAACAGAAACTAACAATATAACACGGGATAATTTCAAATGTCCCAGCCACACACAAAAACGTTCATAAAAATACATTATGAAAAATGTGTGAACTACATCATAACGTCTTAAAATCACAAAAGTTACATGTTTAACATTTCTCTATAATATTATTTCATAGCATGCTAATCTAGTCGTTCTTAATAAAACACAAAAAAAATAGGAAAACCACGGGAAATTCAGAAACTATTCTTCTTCTTTTTTAATTCATGGCCTATTTGCGTTTACACAATGCCGCCAATGTCACGAATCTTTGTTTGTGGTCTTTACACGAAAAGAAACCATAATAAAAATATGACAGTTTTGAATTTTTAAATTAACGTGTTAACTTGTAAATTCTGAACATGAAATATATTTCCAAAATAACTATCAGGGGGTGATTAGGGATCGATACTGATGCCAAAAATGCAATCAGTAAAATTTTTGTATGTCTGTCTGTATAACCGTTATACAGCGTGTTTGGTAATACCTGTATAATCCCAAATATGGCATATACGGTATGATGAATAGAACCCAGAAAAATGATCACTAAGTCTGAAACCTAGCACATGACCTAGATATTCAGCTTTTTTTCTTCGAAGTAAAACTGTACGCTGACAACCCTAAAAACAGCTGTTGTGTTGTATTTGGTCATCGACTCCATGTGCCGAACTAATTTAAAAAATAACAGAAGTTAAATAAAGCTAAAGATAAATGTCTAGAATAAATATGCATCTGAGAGTAATTTGTTATTACAAAAACAAAGAAAAAGTTAGTAGTAACTGACTTTTAACCATAAAAGAACACTAATCCTGTGATTAACGGTGTTTCAAAAACTATTATTAAGAAAACTTCTATAATAATACAGTCAAAATAAAAAAGAAATTGCAAATACTTTGATTGAAGTAAGATATCTGCACAATTGCTGGCATTAGTCTATGCAAGAAGGAGTGACAGAGACATAAAATCGACGACGATGTGTATTGAGAAACTCGGATTTCTTATGTGTCAGTAAGGTTCTGTAGATTAATTGCTTTAAAGTTTTTTTATTTTTTTCATAAAACCGTGTTATTTTCACGAAACAATAAAATACGGACTTATACAATGATATTAATAATCTAAATATCTCGCTTATTCTTAGTTTAAATGATAATTAAATAAAGGTTAGTTGTAATGGAAAGGTCTAATAATAAGCAATATTTCTTTTCTTTTCTAATTTAATCAATAATTTTTTTATGCCTTATAATTTTGTTAATGACTTGGTCTTAAATTAGGTAACCACTTTTAATATTATGGCCCTTTTTCTTTTGTAACCGTGAAAAGCGTAAATAAAATTGTAATAATAAGTAAATAGCCTAATTATCAATTTCGTCAGTAAAAAAATAGTATGATAAGTTACTTTGAAATTTCATTGTTTAATAAAATAAAAAATAACGATTTTTTGTTAGGTAGGTTACCTAACACAGAATTTGATGACGCGGAACCCTAAATCGGTGCACTTTTGATTTAGGTACCTACATACATTGGTGTTCGAGTTGCAATAATTACCTATGTAGTTTTGATCACTTCAGTCGCGTCGGAGACTTTCATCGGTGTACTTGTGAGTTTTCAGAATTTAGAAGGTCAACTTACGTTTTCGTTCTTTCGGGACTTTTGGTTTGTTTTTCATACTCGTTCTGTTTACCTGTGTGTTGTGTTTGTGTGCGGTCAGTGCAAGTTCGTACTTAAATGCCTAATATTACGAGATGATAATGTGTGTTGGTGCTTGTGACGGTAATCTTGCTGCGGCTCGGCGGCTTTATGACGAGCGCAACGTGTCAGGAAGATCTGAAAACCATCGACGTCTTCCTTGTTACCGGTGCTTCGCGGCACTTGTGAATCGGTTACATACAACTGGTTCATTCCATAGTGTGCCACAAGAAGGCCGGCCGAACACCTATTCCATCGATACAGAGGATATGATTTTACGTCGAGAGTAACACGGTCTGTGTCGAGTCGAATGGAGATTTGTGTTTTATGCGGTGGCCGGCATATCGAGACCCTGGACTGATAAGGTGGAGGTGAAGTGTAGGTAATGTTGACAAGTGAGAGCTGAAGGAGTGATTAGAACGCTGCCTCTAGGTATGTACCTGTTTAATCTTAAATTGTTTTAATTACAAGTAAACTCATATGCAGTCGAGTGTGCGCGTCGGCAACATCAAAATGTATTCTTGGAAACGAGAGTGAGAGGTAATGAGAGAGAGAGAGAGAGAAAGAGAGAGAGAGAGAGAGAGAGAGAGCGAGTACGCCGGGTCGGCACGTGTAAGCTTACAGGGGTGTAACATATTCATTGAAAACAAATTGTTCAAATATTTGTATGAAAATCTCAATTTACGTGAAATTGTTTTTTGACATATTATTTGTGTTCTTTGTGCTAGGTTGTATGGCCATGTTTCGGGATTATACATGTATTACCAAACATCCTCTAGATACAAAAACTACTCGACGGACTGTAATGAAACTTGGTACAATTATTTTCATACTCCGAGCTGGTTATAGTATACTTTTCATCACGCTACAAACAATAGGAGCAGAGCAGTGAAGGGAAATGTTGGGAAAACGGGAGAAGTTACTCCATTTTTTAAGCTTCCGTCGCGTGTGCAACCTTAATGGTTAAAGCTACCCAGAAATCATGTATGACGGAAATGTTCTCCTTAAAATTATATAAAAAATATTCTACGACAGCATATGTCTATCTTTTATGGTTGACTCACAATAACACGTGCAACTCCCGATAGCTTAGCAGTTCGAAGCTTTCTGATTGTATTTGTCTATAGTCTACTCTTACGTTTATAACACTCTCAGACATCCCTAATTAGAAAAGTTAACAGTATTAAGTATTCCATGAAAAAAAAAATGATAGAAATCGGTATAGAAATATATTAGTCGAAATTGATTTTTGAGAAACACATTGGTTTAATGACATTAGTCTTCAGGTAGCTACAAAGACGAACACATGACAAAGACATGACTTATAAAAAAACAGGAACCTAGGGTTTGTTAATATCAAGTTAATAATTTCATTTTGTTACTATTTTATCATCCTGGACCCGATATATCTATACTAATATTGTAAAGCTGAAGTGTTTGTTTGTTTGTTTGAAAGCGCTAATCTCAGGAACTACTGGTTCGAATTGAAAGATTCTTTTTGTGTTGAATAGCCATTTATTGAGGAAGGCTTTAGGCTATATAACATCACGCTGCAACTATTAGGAGCGAAGAAATCATGGAAAACGCGGACGAAGTCGCTGGTGGCCACTAGTATAAACTATAAGTGTAACAAATTTCATACTCCTCCGTCCTCGAAATTTTCGTAAATAAGGGTCCAAAGTTTTTGCTTCACGTATACGTATAGATACGTGAAGCAAAAACTACGTATAGATAAGTTGGAATTAATAATATCATTAGGTTGGTGTTAAATTCTAATTAAAAAATATAGAAGTAATAAACCACTTTAAAAAAATCTTAATAAAGAAAAACGACTCAAAAGAGAGAAATAATACCACAAATTTTTATCTTCAATAAAATCTCTTACCATACATTTTTTTTTCTTCTTTTGGCGTCACACGGTTTGTGTATTTGCCAGTGTCAAAGGTAGGGAAACGAAGGTAGGTAAAGGATAGGATTTGCGACAGGTTTTTAGCAATAGGATCAGGACACGAAAATACACCATACATTATATTTTTCTAAATATATCTGGCACCAACCTCAAAAAAAATATTAGTGTAACCTGTTTTTATGTTTAAATTTTTTTAAAAAGAAAATTGTTGTATTGTAGCTCTTTTCGGCCGTTTCTCTATATTGCGATTTTTTTGAAATAGGTTTAATTTTTTTGTTTTTTTTTTAATAGCCTGTGATGTATAAATAAAAAATCGATGGCATTCCTCATTATAAGAGATATTAAAAAAGACAAATAAAATTATTTATTTACAAAAAAGATAGAATACAAACGATACAGAACTTTATAATAACGTTAGCTTACAAAGTACATAACTGGCTCTTTACTAAAGTATGAACACAAACGACTTAAAACATCAAAGTAATCTAATAAAACCTAAAAAAATGTACTTACTTATATATTTGGAATACTTTTTGACTTTAACATTTGTTACACTTTTTCAAAATAATCATTTTAAAGTACATTTGATATTTATATTTGATGATTCCAGCTTCATTTGAGAATGATGCACATATATATGTTTGGTTAAGGAAGGTAAAGAAAAATTTAAGCCGCACAATTCACAATTCTTTTGAATAAAAGACACCGGTTCGTGTCTTTCTTTGTGTTTTTTAAACGTATGCTCAGTCAAAAAGTGTATATTACAATCGACACATTTATAAATTGTATTACTATACGAATTAAGACTAACTTGACTTAAACTCTCTTCTGATATTTTGTAGTTAGCATCAATAATAGAATGTGCTTGTGATGTTAAATTTGGAATTTCTTCATTTTCATCAGTATTGTTTTTGGCAATATTATTTATTCCTATTATATCAACTACATCAAAATCTGCTACATCATCATCGTGGTGATGATTTACATGGAAATCAAAACATGAATTATCAAAAAACAGCTTACATTTACTACACTCGCTTCCCTCATTCATAGAATGTAAACAATTGGAAAAATGTTCTAAAGCATTATCGGATTCTGCAAAATGTAAATTACAATTCGAACAATTATACAAGTCTATAACTTTATTTTTAAGCATAGTCATGGGAATAATAGTAAATTTATATGTATATCTCTTATCCCCATGGTGTCGCAGTAAATGACTAAACAAATCTTTAGGTGAGAATGACAGGGAACACTTTGTACAGGTTTGCTTAATAATCTTTGTTTTGCAATAACGGAAATGGGACTGAATGCTAATTCTATCGAGAAAATGTTGTCCACAATCACATTTATAAATTTTAGCAATCCTTACCAATGAATTCTCATCATTATTCGTTATGTTTTCTTTCTTGGCAATTATTTTTGGTTCACTCGTCATGTCGCTTAAATTTTTATTCACTCTGGAGAGTTCTATTTTAGTCCAATCTACTGTCGATTCGTTATATAGCAACACGTTAAAATTTTCTTTTACAAAATATGGATCACTATCATGTATCTTGTAATGACGATTTATTTCTTTTTTTAAAAAGCTGAGATTGCATTTGGTACATTCTATCTTAGAATTTGTGTCTGAGCAATCGTGTTTCATAGGTTCTGTTGTACTCTTCCTTAAGTATAAATCACATCTCGTACATTTATAAAAGTTATAATCTTTAAGGGTTCCACTAAATTCCGATGGCAAGCCGTTGAATACGTCATCTAATTCATTATCATATTTACCAAATCGAATAATTTTCATGTTCTTTTGAATAAAGTTTTTGATCAAGGTGTGTTTTAAGATATGCGACTTATAATCACAGTTATTAATGAGAAACTTACAAATAGTACATTTTTTTAAGTTGTTTTTATTACAATCGTGATCACGACATTGAAATCTCTCAATTAACCCCATGCATTTTCTACATTGATAAAAAATAAAATTATCACGACTGCTGATAATATTATTAATATATTCTTTATCCTTGGTTCGATTAAAAACAACAATATTAAACGAATTAGCACTAAGGCCAGGAGTGCGTCGATGAATTTTCTCATGGTCTATTCTAAACAAATGCGACACAAACGGTAACCCACAAAACGAACACATGTGTTTCCTCAGTCTAAAACATGAATCTTCTGCATGACTGAATATGTATTTTGGCTGTACAAACATCCTACAAGTGTTGCACTTATAAACAGTCAATTCTGAAGTTCCCTTTTGAAACACTTGCAATTTCATTCTTCCTTCGTATTTATAAATAGAGCGATTTAAAATATAATGAGTTTCTTCTGGTTCCAATGAGTCAAACATAAGTTTAATCCAAAGTTTATAATCAACAGCAAAATAAACAGCGTCAAAATTAAGAACTTTTAAGTCTTTTCCTGATGCTCGTAAGTCATGTAACTTTGAATGATCTACGGCAAAGCTTTGGTCATATTTCATCTTGCATTCACTGCACGTTTTAATTTTTTTTGTAATATCCACTTCACCATAATGGTCTTGGCAATGCTGCACTACTTGATCATACGTCGTAAGTGTCACGTAACAATACAAACAACAAAAGAAAACACCAAATAATTCTATAGTTGATTCTCCTTCTGCTAATGGTTCAGATACGGATTTTCCAGTATCCATTTCACTGCTTGTTAATTTCACAACAGATTTTACAGAACCACTATTGTATTTATTCAATTTAACTTCAGGACTGCTTCGTTCGAGTTCATGAAATTGACTGTTACTAATTGTTTCTTTCTCATTTTGCTCAGATCTTACAGCAAAATCCATATTATTCTTAGAGATATTTTCAATTACTGTTGACAAATCGTTACATGAAGTACTGCATTCACTTTCAATCGATTCAGGCTTATCTGTTATGTTTCTATTACAAACGCGATCGTCTGGTCGTTTAATATAATAATGGTGAAATGATACATGCAATTTAAACGCTTCATCGCAAAGTTTGATATTACAAGTAGGGCACGTTAAGAAGTCTATATTTTCACACACGTGATTTGTTACTGCTGTTTTAGTTAGAAAACGTACGTCACAACTCTTACATTTGGGATAATCCGGTATAGGCGGTAACATTCGTTTATTGGTTTTTATATTGTAAAATTTAAAATCTTGTAATTTCAAATTTTTGTCTAATTTATGTTTATTTCTATGAGTTTTCAACGATTGATTAGTCAAAATTAAACCACAATATTTGCAAACGTGTTTTATCATATGAGCACAATTACCTTCTTTATGTACATTGCGCATATAAATGAGGCTTATGAAAGTTTTGCACGTATAGCAATAGCTCATTTTAAATTTATCTTTATTATTGTTATTTAGTGATTTAAGTTCCTTTTTGAATGGATTAATTTCTTTCTTTAATATTTTGACGTCTGCTTCAGAAAAGTTATTGATAACATCCGAAGTTATTATAGTAAAATCAGACAACGATTGGTTGTTCGTTTTGTGTTCGTATTCATGGCCTTGTACTACACTTTTCTCCAACAAAATATCACATGCATTGCAATAAGAAGACTCTGCTACAATTTTACCACACAACTTGAAATGAAAACCATATTTGTAATCATCAAAATGAATAGCACATTTGGGACACTTATACAACACTCGCGATAATTTGGATTCACTTAATTCATACACCACAAACTCGTTAGAAAAACTATGCTGTTGAATATGTAAAATCTCATCGTTTTTTTTAAAGATTTTGAGACAAATATGACATTTCCAGTTGATTAAGTATTCCATGTGCTCTGAATGACTCATCGCACATCTATTTGTTAAGAAATTTATATCACATCTTTTACATTTGAATAATATCCCTTTTAAGACCAGGGGTTCATTTTGTTCATAATCAAATTCATTGTTTTCTTCTGTGTCTTCATCCATCCCATTATCAAAGTCTAATTTCTTACATGATTCATATAATTCTGTAATTACATTAGATTGTTTACTTGAGTCATATGATTTTGTAATTACATTAGATTTTCCTAGAAGTTGCTCTTTTTCACCCATGTCCAAGAATGAAACATCCTTTCTAGTTTCAATATCTTGATTCATAGATGAATATGATACATTTTCTTCAGTTTGATTGTTATTAGCTCGCTTACTACAATCTTCAACATTTTCAGGGTCACTTTGTTTCCCAGCCAAGATCAATTCTACTTTTGTCAAATGCAATTTAGGTTCAATTCTAAAAGTCTCATTTACCATATCTTTATGTGAACTTAATAAATGTATATTGTAAGAATATACATTAAGCAGCATAACATTTGCAGGACAAAATTTGCAATGAGGGTCAAATATTACTTTATTTGTTATAATTACATCATTATCTTTGTGTTTCTTGGCCAAATGCTTGATGTAAAACTTTCTCTCATTAAAGTAATAAGAACAGTAGTAACATTTATAAAGAGAAGAGTTTTCGTGTGTTTTTTTGTTTTCAATATTTTTACTTTTCTCTTTATTGTACTTTTTACGTAAAAGATAACTCTGACGCTGTTTGTTCGTTATGTAGGTTTCCCGAATATTTTTTTTATTTTTCATTAGTTTCACTTTTGTTTTTTGAGTTAAGTTTGACGAATTCAATACTTTATAAATATGTTCTATGAGACATTTCTGTGAAGGAAACAACTTTTTACAGTGAAAGCACCTGCTTTGTGGCAAAGATTTACTTTTGGAAGCAATGAATTTAGATATGTTTGATAATCTTTTACTTGGATTTATATATCTCTCATTTGTGAATTGTTGACGTTTAGGATTTTTCTGTTTATGAATATTTCTCAAGTGTTTGGATAAATTACCTGATGTAGAAAAAACTTTTGAACATAGTTCACACTTGCTCATTTTACCTCGTCCATGTTCAACAGTACTATTGCATTTAGCTTCATGAAAACATTTACTATGATTTTCAAGGTTAATTTTTTGGGGAAAAAATATGCCACACATTTGACAAAACCTTCCACTGTTATACAAATAAGACCCCATATCTCTTAAGTAAACTTTAGCCAAAAAAGGTTTTATATTTTTTTCATAATTAGTCAATGTGCCATTGTAATGGTCTTCACAATTTTGTGGTAGAGATGGTTTCGATCCTAAAATAATCTTGTTTCGGAATATTTGTTTTGCGTTCTCCAACGACATATTTGTTGGGGGTCGGATTTCTTCAATAAACTTGACATCATCTTCAGACTTTTTATAATTATTTTTCAAGCAAACTCTATTATCATTTCCTGTGTTTTCTAGTATTGAAACTTGAGAGCTTGCTTCTGGTTCAGTCTTTAAAGTTAATGCTGAAAAATTGAAAGTTTAAAATACTTACAATAATAGTCATCTCTATTCTTACATGTTGGTTCAAGACATGGCAGAGTGAGAGACATACTAAACCGTTACTAGATTAAGTCATAAGCACATAAACTACCGTAGCGCTGACAAAGAAATTATAATTGCTGTTTTGATTTATATTGAGTTTAACAATCCCTTTGTTAACAAGTTGGGATATTCGTTTAATCTTATCATATACATTCTTAACAAAACAAATGTATAACAAAAAGAAAATAACGGTTCTTAAATAACAGAATCGATAATAGCGACTGTAATGGACGCGATGCTAGTGGTACTCAGAGAATCACCATGCAATGAAGTGGGAGGGTAGGGAGCGGCTAACTCGAAACGAACGTTTAGTAAATCATATTAAACAAAGGTCAGCAGAATTGATCTTTATTTTAATCAGACTGCAACACTTATTTTCAAGTTCTCAATGAAAAATGCTTAAAAAATCGACTTTGTGCCTGGTACTCTGAGACGTGATCCCATGACAGATTTCCAATTCTTTAGAGAAGGATCAACCAGCATTGATGCCTTAATGGCGATAAATGGCGTTTTATAAAAAATCACAAAATATCTTTGATTAAAACAATATAGCGGAAGAAAGGTGACTTAACTCCAGCACCTCTACCACTTGAATCATCCCCTGATTGCCCCGCCCCGTTAAATATGAGAATGTAGTTTTGAGCATCGTGCCTGTTTCCAGTTGACAATTTTAAAGGTTTCGTATGATTTTCTAATTTGCTTTAATCTAAGATGAGAAAAATATTGCATATTACCTTGTTCTTCATACACAGAAATTTCTTTTTTAATAACAGAAAGATCTGGAAATATGCTCTTTATAGCAGGATGATTTAGCACATCATGCTCTTCAATGTCAATGTCCTCTTCCATTATGAAACTGAAAAAAAAAAACAACAAAAACACATACAAACAGTATTCTTAATATATAATATATATATCATTACACTTTCAAATTTTGACATTTTAAAGGTGGTTTAAAATTAACTGTAACTTGTAGTGCAGCCATGAGTAGTTGAAGTTGAGTTTATTTTCCACACAATATGTTAAAAAGATTCACCAGTCACTGAGATGAGACTGGGACACCTGGAAGTGGTGATTATTAATTGACATAAATATCAATATAGCATTGTGAATGGGAAATTATTCAAATATAGGTAATATTTTTTTACAGAAGTTTCGATTAGAGATGCAACAGAAGCTACTTAACAGAAGCAGAACGAGAAACATAAGTTAAAATAAAAAAGCAGATACGGAAACAGACATTGAACTGTAAATAGTATAAAAAAAGTGTTGGTATTATTTATAATATTAAAGGTTAAAGTATGAAATTGCCGTTATATTGTAAAAGGCTCCTTGAATTGACATAGAATCTTTTTTTATTGTCTATATCTTCGCATGGTTTGTAGATATAGCGTTTGTAGATTGTAGAAATAATGGTTTTTGAGTTGTGCCACTGTACTATTCAGTAAGCGAGATGCCAATGTCGGCAGAAATAATAAATAACTATAATATAATGTAGAAAGTCAGAGAAAAAAGGCTATTTTAAATAATTTTAATTTAATCAATAATGTACCTATTAACCATGTACCTCAGAAGTTCCCAAACATTTTTTTAACCCTCCCCTCCTGAATTTTTACCATATTCCCAAAATTCGTCCAAAATGTGAAGATTTAACTATGGAAATTGTTTTTATATCATGCCAACGTAGACCCCCATTGAATCCCTCATGGCCCCCAGGGGGGGGGATCACTGATGTACATCATGGTTAATACATACTTATTTTGAATTACCTATTATAATAGGCACAGGTAAGGAAATAAATATGGAAGTTGTTAAATAATATAAGAAAAACAATAACTAATGCATTTCACAATATTGATTTGAAATAGAACTGTATTTAAACTCAAGCAAATTTATATTACATATATAGTTCTATATATAATATTATATATATACATGAAGAAAAAAATTGTTGATTTGAAATTTACTTCTTCATAAACATAAATAAAACGCGGTATTCTTTAAACTTTAGATCGTTGTTATTCTAGATATGTATCTGCATGAATCCTTAACATAGAAACAATGATCAAGCAAATGAGCAAATATAAGTGGATAATACAAAAAGGGCGAGTATATAGTTTATTAAAAACAAATTACCTAGGTACTTACTTTTTTAAATAAAAATTATCAACATAAAGACAATGCTAAATATCTGAATTGAAAATCCAAAATTTACAGTGATCTCTAGTGAACAACATAAAAGCACCACATAAAGCACAAAAATTTTTGTTGATCGAATACAACAAGTATAATAATCCTAGAAAGGAGAAAGCGAGAAAGCTCAACTCAACTCAAGATTAGTTTTCATAAAAATAAAAAAATAAAAATTCTGTAACAATAATACTGCATAAGGATGTAATATATCGATTATTATAAAAATCGATTTTTATTCATCAATAAAATTAATAAAATTTTCAAATATGAATTGCAGATCATTATAAGATCAGTATAATTCCTTCCTTTTTTCATAGTTTTCATAAACTCGGTCGCACTTTTGTTAATATTAAGAATAAAAATGTCAGGCAAAATAGCAAAAAGTGGCAGGCGCAAATATTTTACAATAAAAGATAAAAGTGAAAAGGAAGTATTAAAAAAAAACGAAAGCACTAAAAAAGCACCTCCACTAGATGGCGACTCTAGCAAAAGTTGATTTTTGCAGGAAATGAATGGACCAAAAACAGCTCCGTTCCTAATAACTAACATATTAAAAAACTGAAATTTGAAAAGTTCGAAACTTAGATATCGGTACAAATACGAAAAAGGACAAATAGAATTTAAGTTGTTTATTTAGTATTGAAAACTAATTTACTTTTAATTTTGAAAAAACAGGAAAGGTTGTTATTGAGAAATCAAGAACGTACCATAGCGATATCTAGTTTGAGTTTTTACTTATTTTTTTTTAATACTTTCTCAATAGGTAGGCGCATTCCTAGATATTTCAGCTGCCTATGACAATGTTCTACTTCCGGTGCTCAGAGAGAAGCATCTTCGATTGAGTTTTCCTGTGAAGTAAGTTCGTTTTATATACAATCTTTTGATAGGCAGAAATGTAAAGATTCACTTCAATTACCATCAATTTCCTCCTAGATCTGTCTGGCAAGGGCTACCTCGAGGCTCTGTACTTAGCCCATTATTATATCGACGCTGGAAAGCAAACACGTAGTAACCCGCAAAACCAAAATTGTTCTTTAGAGCAGAAAAACTTTTTTTTTTTTTTTCAATAAATAATTGCTATAAACGTCCATGGTAACAAATTATGTGTTCCTTAGTCAATTTATACGGAAAGAAGATATTTTTTCTTGGAAAAATATAAAGATTTTCCATTCTAAATATCCAATTTCGTTTTGCAGGTTACTACGTGTTTGCTTTCCAGCGTCGATATAGTCTATATACCTACGACCTCGAATTATCTGTATCAAGTTTCGTTAACATTCTCCAATATGCGGATGATATATATCAATATATCGATGTATCGATATTTATTAAAATATCAAAATTAGCATCAATATATCATAGGAAAAATATCGGTATATCGATTAAATCGTAATAAATTAAAGTAATATTTGCCTCGAAACCTGTATTCCAGGTACTCAAGTACCCGAGCGGGTACCTGCTAAAAATTATCATTCCTGCCGTATCAAAGGTAGTGTAAGTTTGTCACGCGGAAACTAGAAAGTTTGATTTAAATTTGCTGCAAGTTGCTGTAGTTGTCTAGGCAAATTTGAAGCAAGTCTTCTTTTTTGATGTATCAAACTTGTTGCAAGTCAGAAACAAGTTTAAATTGCTAACTGGGTATAGACCTTTATTAAGTCCAATAAGAAGCGTGGTCGGTATGAAGTCACAGTAACACCAGAGTCTAGGTTTCTATAAAATTGGTCAAAATCTGATGATAAAGTAACTTTCTATGATATACAACAAAGTGTAACTAGATGCATTAACATATCCAAAGACTGTTCTGTATACACTGCCGAATGGTATGCCATTTATCAGGCCTTATTGTACATAAGTAATATAAATAGTACCCTAATGACTTTTTGATTTTGTCAAATTCCCATAGTGCATTAAATTCATTTAATAATAATAACTGTAAATATGATGTAAATTATTTAGTTTATTATAAAAAACAACTCTTATATAACTTATTAATATGGGAAAGAGAATATATTTCGTATGGGTACAGTCTCATAGTGGCATCACGACTACTATAAGGATGAAGACCACTCCTCTTTTATGAAAGTTCCATTCACATATTTCAAATCCAAAACAAATAAGCATCTTACATTGCTCTGGAAAGAATATTGGAATCTTATAATAAGTGAAGAAAAAGGTCGATGCTATAAAATAATCCAAGGAGGCCTGCCCACCCAACCTTGGTGGTACAAAAAAACAGTGCCCAACAGAATAACAACCGTAAATAGAATGAGATTTGGTCACGGTCAGACTCGCACTCACCTGCATAGACTGAAAATGGTAGATAGCCCGAAGTGTCCAGTTTATAACGAAGACGAGGATCTCCAACAACGGTAATGAAATGCAAACGATTTGGCATACAACGACTAATACTTGTCAGCTACTTGGAATCAATACACAAGAAAACAACAGTACCCTTACAAGTTCATTCGCAATACTTTAGTCAAGATTTAATTTTATTCTTAATACTATAATAATGTATGGCTCAAAAGGACTTGAATCCAGAGCCGTTAAACTCAATAAAAAAAAAACAAAATACCACCTCCCCTTCCACCTTGCCCACAGCTGATCAAATGTCAAAGAAAATGGAGTGTAGTTACGCATTTTGTGTTTCAGATTAGATTTTTACAATATGAAGTCAAAAAAAACAGTTATCATAGCTAGTCAGGGTTAGAATGGACAAAACCACTCCATTTAAACCTTGGACTGCTGAAGAAAGTGCTAAAAGTGTACACACCGAACGAGAAGCAGTAGATGACGCGAAACTTCATCGGGAAAATGTCAATCATCCAAAACATACGCAAACTGCGTCTTACGATAAAGAAAGTATTGCTGTTGCAAGCAACGCTCCAGGCTCTTCGAGTATTTTGGTTGTTGATACCGATCCTGATAGAGGCAAGGAGTCTAAGATGGACACCACCAAAGTAGCTTCAATGCAACAAATCGTCGAGAATACTCTCAGGTATCACAATGATAATTCGATATTCCCCTTCAAATAATGAGCTTTGTATGCTTATCTGACACCTCTGATACTTTAGAAGACCATATGAATTTGTAGTATACCTATCATTTACCCTTTGACAGCTCCATTTCCAGGTTAACTTCTGATGAGTTTTATCAGTTTCTACTATAATTTGGTGAAGGTGAGCAAACTTCCAACAATTCATAAAAAAATATTCTATTGAAATTTTGTATGTAACAACTCAAACTGTTTATATTTTTGCCACCTTTTTGCTTCAATGTAATGTGTATTGATCCAGCCGAAATCCACAAGGTCAATTAAGAAGCGGAATAAAGAGTATTATTAGTACTCTTATTATCATTTATACTACTACTCCAATCCTTTTAATGGGCCATTCATAATTAACAAAATCATATATTTTTTAAATGTTTACTAAATTATGTACTCTAACATCCTGTGCTTGTTAAGAGGTTGAGATCAATAATGTATTGAAAGACTATTATTTTACTGGTGCCAGTTCTTGTCTACAAAGGGTATACCTTTATCAATTTTTGTTGATAAAAAAACTTAAATGAAGCGATTTTAATTTAAAAAATTAATATACTTTGTTTTAAATAAAAGATAATTATTTCCCATTATTCATTAATTAATTGATTTTTATTTCTAGTTATTGTTTCTTTGTACTTATTAAATTTCGTTATTTATGCTTTTAAACTGTATTTGTCAACATGTAAATAATTATGATAATGGTAGTAAACTTATTATATTTTATTTAGTGCTTGGATATCATGAATTAGTACTATTTGAAGTCTGAGTTTTGTAATGCCTCCTGCATCTAACATATATACCAGGCAAACATTAAGGAAGCAAGATCATTATTATTCCTGTTCATTTCTGTTATGATAGTAATAATTTGCAGCCAAGAAGGTCGACAACGTGTCTCACAACTGCTAGAAGCTGTTGAAGCTCTGAGTGGTGCTGAAAGACTGCTTCTTTATCTTCGTTTGCCTACAGGGGTGCCACCTCATGATCCTTTGAAGCAGCCTATAAATCCGTTGGGATCTAGGTGTGTAATTCTAAGACTACTTTGTACCACTATAACATATGTTCAAAGGCAACTATATTGTTTTACTAATCGGACTACAGAAATTTTATTAAAAGACAGTTTAATGAACTGTCCTTTATTTACAGTATTTAATAGTTTTAGTTCAAATAAAAAATGTTCATGATAAAAAAGCAAATTTTGTTGAGTTTTTTGCTGTTACCACCAGACATTTTAGAAAGGGATTACAACCACCTAGACTGAATAAATGATTATGATTCAGTTTGAATCATCTTTAGACCTCCTATGCATATAATTTTTTGTAGTTCAATTCCTTTTATTTATATTCATACAACCTTGACCTATTAGTGAGAACTAGAAACTATAATGTAGGTGTCAACCCACTGTCAACTGCCTTATTTACAAACTATTGGAAAGATATTATAATGTTTGTCCAATTTACTTTAATCAGTGAGCAAGTCAGTGAGACTTATTTGGAAATTCATGGAGCCAGAAAAACTCCATGGTGCAGTGGTTAGCGCATCCGATCTGCAATGCGGAAGTTAAGCAATTTTCACAAGGGCTGGTCATAGGATGGGTGACCAAAAATTTATTGTCGCGTCTGTGCTTCGGAAGGCATGTTAAGCCGTTGGTCCCGGCTGCATCTGGCACCATTATGCACTGTGTTCTGGTGGTGGGTCGTGGTATATTCTCCCTATTTGATTCCTTTAAGGGAAGTCTGTGCCTCAGCAGTTACATTAATAGGCTAATAATGATGATATAAAGCCAAACCAGATCATGACCAGACCAACCAGAAAACCAAAGCCAGAAATTGCATTGACAAAGTAAATAATATATATTTTTAAATTGTCAGTGTTGAAGTAAAAGTATTTCTTTAATAAGGCCACTTGTTGACTCTTGAGAGTTTTAGGGTAAATTTAATTAATAATAGTAATAATAACTTTATTTCCAATAATATGACAATATTCTTTGAGCCCTGTCTCCCATACTAGTTTGAACTGTATAATGGGGAGCCAGTGCCTTCCTAATTACTGTTACAATTCAATATTGGAGGTGGTCTGCCAGAATAATAAATACAGAATTGCCTGTAACCTTGAAGTATTGGATTATCAGATACCAAAAATGTTATAATATGTTATGTTATGATCCATGTGTGTATGTAATAATAATTTACAATATGTCAATCTCATTAAGATACGGTTTTTTTTTCAGAGCTGAACTTCAACAGACTGTAACATGGATACAGACTCACTTGGAAGTTGACCCTGATGTCTCATTACCCAAACAGGATGTCTATGATGAATATATGTAAGTATACCGTTGTTGTGTTTGTTTTATTTAGTAATTATATACACTTACATTAAAGTGACATGCTTTTACATTATTGATAATAAAACATCCTAATTGTTTAAGATATTCAGTTTATTTTGTCAACATTTAATGTATTTTTGCTAAAAAATCTTTGGTCAACACATTTGAGATATAATAACAATTTGTAAATTTCTGGATTCAAGCTACAAGGCATCTGCTATGGTTAATTTTTTTATTAATAGTAACTAATGTGATGTGCTATTAACTATATACACAATGTTTACAGATTATGTACATCATTATTATTACAAATTAATATAGTAATAAAATCGGCGGCCTCGCCGCTAAAGAGCAATTAAATTATCTCTAATATTTTTGTTTTCAAAAATGATTTGACTTAAAATTTACAGTATTCAGGGCGTATAAAAGAAATAGAACATATCCTACGAAGTTCTAGGACATATTTTCCTGGGCTAATAGACTCTTGGAAGATGAATTTGCTGACAAACGTCGATTAAATAATAGTATTTTTTGTTATCAGAGCACACTGCATGACCAGCAACATGAAGCCTCTATCAACAGCCGACTTTGGAAAGGTGATGAAACAAGTGTATCCCAGCGTCAGACCACGGCGACTCGGCACGCGCGGCAACTCTAGGTGAGCATTTAGGTAAAAATTATAGTTGCACTTCAAAATAACACTTGTAATGATAATATTTAGGTTGAAATTCAGTATGCTTGTTCTTTGCCGTACTCAACCACAGAAATGTCAGATTACGCCATGTAATTCGGTGTTGAGCTTACATCTCATTTGTAGTCTCCCTCTTGGTCTCTTTCCTCCTCTTTCCAAAGGAGGTGTCCAAAAATCTCTTTGCCCCACGAGCCATTTTTCCGGACTATGTGTCCCGTCCACTGCTATTTTTTCTGACTAGATATTCGCTTAACGGCGGCATCAGTAACCTTACTTTTTTCTAAGTCATGCATCTCTCAGCGTGATCTCCACAATTTCCTTTATAATTTTCTCGGGCGACTTGTATATTGTTAGTTATCTTGTAAGTGGCCAGGTCTCTGCTCCATAGGTAAGCACAGATAAAATAATCTGGTCGAATAATCTGGCTTTGTTCATTTTAAAGAAAAGTCTACTTTTGCATAGCAGTGATGGAAACAGACCTCAAAAAAGTTTGTGGTCACCCGAAAACAGGTCAAGTGAGGGTATGAATTCGCGCTCACATAGTGCAAAGGATATTTATATTATACATGACGCCGTGATCAAGATTTTGTACAACAGTATAATGAATTGTGACGTCACACTAGAGTTGTGGATTATACCTTAAGGTGGATTCGCCCTTATTATGCAAGCAGTCCACATAAGACGTATACGTCTCATTCAGTATACATCAGCAATACGACGATGTTCTCGTCTTTGTGTTACTTGACTCGACCTTAAAAGTACTTACAGAAAATCGACAAACCAAACTGATAATTTTTTTAATTTGCCTGCTGATTAACGTAATAATTAACTAACATGTTGTAGATATTTCTTTCGTCTCTAGATTAAAGTATAAAAGAACAACTTGTAATAAGGATATGCTCACATTACAGAACATTTGAAGTATGGGTACTATCAAATAAAATGCATCGAGAAGTTATTTATTTCAGGCTTAGTTTGTTATAGTAAAATTAAAAAATAGATTTTTTTTTTTCTCTGAAACTAAAATATATTATCGAAACTGTATTTTCCATCTATTAGAATACGAAACACAGCTATGAAAATTAGTTCGCCTATTGGGACAAACACTGTTATCGAAGTGATCCTATTATATATTTCAGTATTTTTTGAGTGGGATATATTATAAATAAGTTATTAAACGTGAGGAAAATTATTCCATTACATAAACATATTTTCTATAGTTAAATAATTAAGGACATCGCACGTTACACCCACTTGACGCTCACTCAACTTCCACTACTCAGGAATTGATTTGCCGTTAATGGAATATGAGGTGTGTTATTGCTCGCTACCGGTAAACTTTCATTAATAGAAGCGGGTTATCTATGTTTTATTCACTTATAACCCACTGATTTACTGATTTTTCAAATAGTATTAGTAATATGCATTTATAATATGTAATTTTGAGTTATGACAAAGGAAATTATATATAATTTGTGTGCTTCTTCATTTAAAATCAAAGTCTACCAGTACCACCTACTTACTCGAAATACCTACTGACTTGATAAATCATTCTAATTCCCTCTCCGATCATACGGTGTACGCTATTCTTTATCGATTTACTTTCAGTTGACATTGATAACATTGACAGCTGACTATGAATATGAATCATTGTTGATGATATTTTATTTCACATTGTCTTTCTTTCTTTATATACTGGGTATAGTGTAAACAATTGTATCCATAAAAATAATCACGCAGAACTGACACAGAATATGACAGAAGACAATCACATGTATAGAGGTACTTCATTTTTCATACCTACGCTCAACGGTCGATCAAGGGTTGTCAACTTTGGTTTATGCACACAATACTATCATGGCATAAAACGTATTCGACAATTTTAAAACGAAACAATAAACATACTATTACATTACAATACAAAACGTTTGCAAAGTAAAAACATAACATTTTACATTTGACAATTTCACTGTATAAAATACCTAATAACTTCTAAACGTATTACTCTATTTGTTTAATTTCTTTTTTTCTACTCGTTTTAGACCTAAATCCATTAAATGACATTGTGAATTTATCTTACAAAAATTTAGTAATACACTAGCAAATTTACTACGCGCGTTTCATGTAATTGTTGATACGTTGATTGATAGGTCGTCGTCGGTGATACATAAATTTCTTTCCATATAAGATATTCATAAGGGAATACAAGCAAATAACAAAAACTCTCTGTAACAACTGGTAGCTTAAAAACGAAAATTCACCATTTAATGTTGAATTTAAGCAGCCGACTATCAAATTATTGTAATAATACTTTATTACTGCTCAGTTTTTGCCCAAAAAAGTTCACTGAGACTGACGGCACTCCCGTTCGCACTGGTCCGAAATATCGTGTCCGTGACCTTGTCTATATGTGCATAACTGCAGCGCACTTTGTATGTAGATTGTATTCTGTTATATTCTATGATACTGATGACAAACATATGCTTTTCTCCCCTGTGCGTTATATTATCTCTCTCTTTCAGTTATTATATACAGACTCTCTAATTTAGATGGTAAAACAACTCTTTTGCGGATTTTCTAGGCTTGTAGATTATAATTAAAAACGCTGACAGTAATTTTTCTTGATACAATCTTGATAATAAAACTGAAATACAATCACTAATACCCGCGTGCCAACCCTATTTCTTGTCTCCTCTGCTATAATATGATATTTCAATACGGAATTTGGATTAGCAATATCTTATGGTAATGGTAATTATTTTTATTAGTCTATTTTTAAAATATTCTTCAATAGATTGTAAGATTTCTTATCCGAAATATATTTGTCATTCATTGAACCCACGTTACCTATTCATTTTTCCCCGCGTTGATAACGCGTTTACGATTAGCTTGCTGCACGTTGTCTAACTGTATATACCGCAATATTCTCTAACTGGTGATGCCACATCTACTATTTTTTTGACCCCTAGGGGGGGGGAGTGGTTTAAAAAGCTTGTAAAACACTGGTCTACTTGATCGACTAGTAGACATGTCATTAGCTATAGTAGAGATCTACAAAAGTTGCAAAATTTTGTTATCTTTCTAACGATTAGCATACTTTACTTTTTGCAGTCAAAAATAAAGCGGGTTCTATACACTTATCGAGGATTATACTTTTATAAATTGCCGATATGAAATGGAAGATAAAGTGTTAACTCACTTATCATATCTGTAAATTCTACACAATGTGCTAATTCATGAATAGTAGTGATGGGTTGAATATTCATTTGTTATTATATCGATAGCCGGCATTCACGACTTTTGATCTACTGATATTCATTAAAACAACAGATAAATAATATTCACATTAAGGCGAAGTTGTTTGTACGAGTAATACGGCTCTTACTTGCATAATAATAATTCGTGTAGTTATAGGTTGCAAGAGGGTCTTTGTAAATTAATCATAGATGCTAAAACTAGAATACACATCTTATTTTATTTGCAACAACCACAAAAAATTGTTGTTCAATTCACTGTTAACAAATGAAATATTTCAGAGGAAAAATTAGCTAATTTATTTCTATAATTACTGATGATCAATTTAAGTAATTGGTAGTAAACAAACTGGACCCCTTTATGGCTAGAGTTAAACCAGTTCCAATTCGTATCACTGCTTAACTGCCACCAGTACGATAATAATGCGTATTATGCTTTATCAATTTTAGTCCTCTGTAAATAAACAAATAAGAAGTGTATATTTTAGATCCTTTTCCAACAATTTATAAATGAAGACATACACGACAGAGATATTGCATTCTACATCTATTTATAGAGAACTTCATCTATTTATCACACTATAAAAAGATCGCAGAATAAATAACATACACTAGTGCTTGCATTATCGATATATAATCTATGTGTCGATAAGTTCACTTCGGGTTTACATATAAAATCATGGAGGGGTTACTATTTATTTGTGTTCTAATTTTTCTTTTTCTAATTTAAGTAGATCTTCCCAGTCACCAACATACACTCGTGCCGAGCTTCTTTTCCTTGAGGTATCTTTGTCCCACTATAAAATCCTTCTGTGTATTTTATAGCCCTTCTCCACGTGTTGAGTATTTTGATTCTTATTCCCATACGATAATCCATGGATGATTTCAACACTCTCTTATTAATAATAATAATAATTCCTTTATTAAAAACTACCATTGTCGTTTTGGAACAATTTTTGGAACAAATTATATTCAATAATTAACATATTCTTCCATTACAGGAAACTTGTCACTTATCCAACTGTACTCCTGTAATTGTCTCTTCTCCCTTTTTTGCTGTTAAGCATGGTCAGTATTCTGCTGACGCTGACGAAGTAAGCATTCGACATCCCGCTTCCGAAAAATGTAGTCATTCATCATTCTCCGAATATCATCTTATATCCGTACTTCCTTTTCTCTCCAAAGGCCTACAGTAATTTGTCTTTCTATTAATTCTATCACACACGTGCTTTCATGTTCCTATCACCTCAATGCTGACAATTTACAGATACACACTCAGGCACCGTTTCTGTAACTCTTAGAAGTAGTATCTGTCATTAACTAAAACCTATCGATTATTCCAAGTCTCTTCCAAGCCATAATAATAGGTACCTAGTCCTCATTTCAATTCTTGACGGTACTATTATCCCATATGCCGAAACTGTCAAAAATCTTGGCGTCATCTTGGATCGCAAACTTTTCTGGAAGCCCCAGGTAGAGACTGTTAAGAATAAAGTGTTTGCTGCGTATGACCGAATCGTTTACGTAATGTTTTCCCGACTAGTGCCAAAGTCACTTTAACGCATTCTCTTATGTTCTCCATTACGGATTAAGCTGACGCTTGTTATACAGAGCTCTCTGAGGAACTTCTCATTAAATTTCATCGTCGTAGAATACATCCAACATACCCTTTTTTTAACCATCACAAAATTCGACTACGTATCTCAATTCCGCTCCAAACTCAACTTGCTCCCTATTTAACGGCGCAGGGACTTGTACACTCTAACGGTTCTTTATTCTATCAGGAGAGCTCGCTCGCTAAAAAAACATTTGGCGATTAAGTTAAAAACTATTTTCTTTCCAGATCTTGAATATTCTTCATAATAAATATAAAGGAAGTATAATATATCTATTATATCTATTATACTTCCTTTATATTTATTATTTAATATTAAGATATATCTGTTCCTTCTTTTATATTTTGCATCCATTCCCCCAATTACTTTTAATTATTTATTTTCCCCCAAAGGTTGCATGGAAGATATTGCTATGTAGCAATTTTGTATACCGTTTTTGTAACTCCGGTGTAATTTGTTAATTGTCCTGTGTGTGCAATAGTTATTATATAAATTTGAAAACTAACCGATTTTTTTGGAATCTTAAGTTTGCTTCTGGGAACACGACTATATACAATATTAATCTTTGCCCCCAGGTTATCCTATCACATATTGTAACTAATGTTCCGTATGTATATATTATACATAACCCTGTTGGTTAAATATGGACTCTAAGCTATATTCAGGAATTCAGCTATACGTAGATATGATCTAGTGATAAATATGCCGTAGTGTGGTATGGGTTCGACTGAAAAAAAAATGTATTAAAAAGGTTAGAAACAATTAAACGTATTAGACGATTTTCACGATACAATCTGATTTATGGACACTGTAATAAATATTAACACATAAAACAAATACAAATTCATAAATAGCATGAATATATTCCGTATTATATGCACTTCATTGAAGTATTGTATGATTAGAGCGATATAACGGATGTACAGACCCCCGCCTACAGACTGAGGCTCCGAGGCCCGGGGCTGACTAAACCCGCCAGTGATTGGTTGTCTAAAGAGTATCCTACATCTCTAATCATAATCTATTTTTATATTCAATAAAATGTGTCTTTCATTCTATTCCAGTAGTGACAATGATTATTAGAAAATTCTTATATTCAACTTAGCTATATAAGATGTATAATATATTTGATGTTTATAAAGGAAAATATATTTGATATATTTGATTATATAAAATAAGGATAATAATATTTGATGTCTATAAAGGAAAACGAAATCTACTTAAACTTTATAGATATAATTTGCCCGCGACTTCGTCCGCGTGGTAAAGTTACTTTGAGCAGCATTTCTAACGAATATTTATTCATTATATCGTGTAAAATACCTGAAATAAAGTTTCATCCCCTATTTTTTCCCCTTCGGGGTAGAATTGGTCAAAATCCTTTCTTAGGAGATGCCTACGTCATAGTAGCTTTATGCATGCGGAGTCTCAGCCCGATTGGTTTAAAATTGACAAAGTTTCATACAAACTTTCATCCCCTTCGGGGTAGAATTGATCAAAATCGTTTCTTAGAGGATGCTTAAGTCATAGTAGCTTTATGCATGCAAAGTCTCAGCCGTATCGGTTTAAAATTGACAAAGTTTCATACACACTTTCATCCCCTATTTTATCCCCTTGGGGATTGAATTGATCAAAATCCTTTCTTAGCGGATGCCTACGTCATAACACCTACCTGCATGCCAAATTTTAGCCCGATCCGTCTAGTGGTCTGGGCTGTGCGTTGATAGATCACTATGTCAGTCAGTCACCTTTGAGTTATATATAGATATATAGATTTTTTAAATATACCTATAGCTTCACTTATTCAAGTATTCACTATGTGTTTTGTTATTGTAGCTTTAGACCTCTGTCACTCTGATGTAAATTGAGCCTCACTTACCTATATGATTGAAAAAAATGTGTACCAGAGACTTATTGTGTTTCATCTCATCTCAACATAAAGGATCAGTTAGTTAAAAGATCATGACGGAAGCGTGAACAAATAGATATACTTCTAGTAAAGCTCTCGTAATGTTATCATATATTGATCTATTACAATTTATATAAATATAGTAGGGTCTGCTCGGGCACTGCTTCACCTTATCTATAATGGTAGCGTGTGTACTGTCTTATCTATCGGTGACGTAGCAAGATAACATTTCATTGCATTGATTGTTCTGGGTCATTGGAACTGTCATGAACTTGTAATTTAGTTTAATATTTAATGGAATTTTGACTTTGTAATATAATTGTATTTTTTTTTTAATTCTTGTTCAGTTCAATTTAAACATTTAATCAATGCGTTTAATATATTGAGTGAAATTATTTGAGAATAACACGGCAAAACGGCGACAACGACCTCCCAGCCAATACGTCTATTTTTGAATAGCATACTGAACGGATTTTGATGAAAGGGTTTAGCCGGATACGTATGACGAGTCGGCCCCCAAATGGGAATCGATATTGAAACTTATGTTTTAATATCGACTTGATGTTCAAACACGATTTATGTACTTTTCGCGACCGACTTCCGCTTTGACCTTGAGATAGAGAGCAAAATATCCGTATGCTTGACTATTACTGAATGTGATATATCTCTGAAGCTAATTAAGATAAAGAAGTGAAACTAACGCGAGGTGGTAGGTTACATTACAGAGTATATCACATATATTTTTTTATAATTTTTAGAATAAAAAATTACATTAAAAAAATAAAAATAAAAAAAAACATGTTTTTTTTTCTGAGTTCTCTGTGACTTACAATCACGAAATTAATATATGTTATGCTCCTTTGTGTGCTCTATCACCCATAAAAATTGCGTGAAAAAAAAGTTGGTGCAACACAACGAAAAAAAATTATATGTGATTCGCGCCTTGTAGTGTGAGTGTATAAACAAACAAGTTCGAACTTGTTATCGAGCTGTTTACTGCATCGTTTGTTTAGCTAAAGTAGCAGTCATTTGTATTAAACAAGAAGGCAGTTTGGGACTCAAATTCTGTCATAGGTATTTTGTATCAGCATTTTGAAATTATTAACTATCGAACCAAATCATTATTAAGTAATAATGTCGAAAAAGTGTAAAAATTGTAACAAGTACCTGTGTAAGATTCCTGGTTATAAAAAAATTATAAAGAATGAAGAAGAAGCTAAAGTGTTTAGTGACTGTTTGAATAAAATTGTAATAGTTAATGATATTTTTTGTGAGAAGTGTCGACTTATCCCATATATTAACAAAAAAGCTTCTACTTCTAAATGTGCAGCATTTAACTTGGCCGAAATAATGGACGATCAAAATAATCTCTCAGTACAATATGTGAAATCAGCACCTAATATCATCAAAGCAGAAGTGAAATCAAGACATATAAATAGAAAAGTCTATCGTATTTACATTCACTATATTTCCGAAAGTAATGACTACAATAGTATTCTTCGTTATTGCTGTGCTTGCCCCAATGGCAAACGTACAGTGGGATGCTGTTCTCATGTAGCAGCTATTATTTATTATCTATCATATGGATGATATTTGTCCAAAATCATACGTCCTGCTGAGGTCCTAACTAAGTTATTTGCGACTCAAAGTGTTCCGATTGTAATTAATTACAACAGTGACGATGATTAATATTTTGTTTCTTGTATTTTGATAGACACGAAAAAGTAATAATAATAAGTATTGAACACTGGCTGTTTTTTTTTTTCATTTCTTTTTTAACTATTATCCCATCTCTTAAGACTAGTTACTTATGTTTTAAAACAGGCTGATGTGAAATTTCGAAAAAAAAAACAATGATGTAATGTGAAAACCTTATAATACAGGGGTATACCATAAGACAGAAATCACATATAATTTTTTTTCGTTGTGTTGCACCAACTTTTTTTTCACGCAATTTTTATGGGTAATAGAGCACACAAAGGAGCATAACATATATTAATTTCGTGATTGTAAGTCACAGAGAACTCAGAAAAAAAAACATGATTTTTTTATTTTTTATTTTTTTAATGTAATTTTTTATTCTAAAAATTATAAAAAAATATATATGATATACTCTGTAATGTAACCTAAAACCTCGCGTTAGTTTCACTTCTTTATCTTAATTAGCTTCAGAGATATATCACATTCAGTAATAGTCAAGCATACGGATATTTTGCTCTCTATCTCAAGGTCAAAGCGGAAGTCGGTCGCGAAAAGTACATAAATCGTGTTTGAACATCAAGTCGATATTAAAACATAAGTTTCAATATCGATTCCCATTTGGGGGCCGACTCGTCATACGTATCCGGCTAAACCCTTTGGTATACAGATAGGGTATTAGCTTACTTAGATAATAGGAAATTTTTTATCCCACTAAACATTTTCCTAGTGTCCACGCGGGCGAAGCCGCTGGCAAAAGCTAGTTTACAATAAAGATAAAATCGGATATATATCTCTTTTGTATAAATATACTAATACGATTTATATAAAAAACGAACTTAATTCTAGGTGTCTAAAATTAGTTTAACGCAATAAATGATGATGATAGTATTAAGTAGTCTAAGGAAAAACAAACGACTGTATATTGTTTTTGAAAGAAAAAACAACTATTTTGAGGCAAATCCAAACCTTTATACAATAAAATTAACACATTAGGACATTGCCAATTTAAAGGGTAAATAATGGCATATTGTAGACACTCGCCGTTTGAAATACTGATAACGTACGTTGCACAAACCGCATCGAAATCGGAATTCCAATCACTGCACATTGTTTGCCAAGTTTTAATTTACAATATTGATATGTGTAATTGGACATTTCTCAGGTATTGCTACGCGGGTCTACGGAAAAAGGTGAAATTAGAGGTACCACAACTACCTGCTCTCGGAGACTCGTCGAAGGTAACTATAAAATATAGCTTTATATAATAAAACATAAAATTACAGATTTTGTTGGAAATTTTGGCCATTTTCTGGGAAAAGTAATTTTTTGATATATTAAGGCCTACTTATGTTTCTAGTACATAGATAATCGTAAAGCAATCTTAATTCAAATACAATATAGATCGATTCCCTGTGAGGGAGCAAAATTTCCAGTCCCTTGAAGTGTACCCGTGCATAGTGCATCACTAGTTATGAAATATCTATTAAATATATTTATGATAAAAATTGGGATTTTGATCAAATATTTTGTTTTTTTTATCGAGTACCAAAGGATAATAAAATTATTATTTTATTATAAACCTCGTTTGTTCATAAGTTTTGAGACGAAATAAAAGTTGCATATTTTTTTTCATAATTAACTTAGGTATATTACTAAAATATTCAGTAACCATTAAATAGATAATAATCAACAATAAAATATATATTTTATTCAAAATGATCGCCCTTGTTTTTAATACAGGCCCTTGGATGATTTGGTTAGTTATCAATCTTTTCTAGCGGAATTCAAGGGTTCGCTTCAGTGACTCCAAGTTTGGGTGGGACTTTCGCAGCCCTGAGCTCTTATTCAGTCGATAAAGAACAATCCAGCGCGTTGTGATCGGGGCTGGAGAAGTGCGACTGGTCCGCCACGATGAAGGCCGGCACATTCTCTCTCAACCAAGCTTGGGTGCTCTTTGCCTTATGGGATGGCGTCGAGTCTTGCTGAAAAAACTAACCCTTATTGTAAAATAACGTATCAGACAGGGGTTTCACCACGGGTTCTAAATTGTCACTCTGATAATTCTTGGTTTTCACCTTCATGGCAGAAATGGAGCGAAGTGACACTTTCATATGAAACTCCCCACCATACCATCACACTAGCCCGATGATGAGTGCGCGAGACATTCCGTGCAGAAGCTGGGACATCCTTACTACTTTTAGCGTACACTTTTTTGTTTTGTCGGTTGACCTTTTCTTCGACAGTAAAAAATTTCTCGTCGGCGAAGAATATCTTCCTGGTATCATTTCTCCTCAGCAGCAATGGTTCGCGGCGTAACTTACGAAGACGATCGTTTAAAAAGTGAACTTTCTACGGCTATAGGCCTTCACGTTAAGATCATATTTCAAGATTCTGTTCACTGAAAAGCGCGAAATATTAGTCTGCATAGCGAGTTTCTTCTGAATGCAACATGGATTTCGGCGAAGTCGCCCTCGGATGATTTTGACGTTTGCAAGCGTCCTCACAGAGCGTGGCCGACCACTCCTTTGGCGACCTTGCAGAGAACTTGTCTCTTTGTGCCGCTGTATTGTGTAATAATAAGTTACGGCTTATAGGAAAACTTTTTCAGCTCGCGGAATCTGCATCGGTTTTTTTTCCGCCTTAAATAGCGAAATGACAGTTGCACGTAATTGTTTCGTTCCCTCCAAATGAATTTCTCAAAACTTATAAATACACGAGGTTTGAGAAAACCCAGGTTTTTTATTAGAAAAAAAAATCAAATCTTAATTAGTTTATAATAACTATAGTACCTGCAAATCTAGGAATCAAGACCACAGATTTACGACAATAAATACAACAAATTCAAGTAAACATCGACAATATGAGATAATTAATCAAAAATGATATTTTTTCATGTGGCATTTCACACGAAAGTAACATACAGTATAATAAAATATTGTTATGATCTGGTCCATGATCAAAAACGTAATTTTAATCCAATTCCTGATTTTAAAATACATCCTGCGACATATAGACATATATTTCAAAATCTAAAGCAACACATCAATGGAAACAAAATTCCTTATTTGCTTAATAATATTCTCCCAAGATTATTTTTAATTAAATGTTTTAGTTACTTGTCAGTAAAATTATTTTTATTCAGTTGCAGGAAGTGAATATACCATCTAAGGAAACTGAAAGAATTGTGTGCGACTGGGCTGAATCAAAATTAGGTATGTGACACGATAGTCTATACAATTGAATGTTGAAGAATAAACTAGTTAATAGGCTATAGAACTCACATTATAATTTTATATTGTTTGAATATGAGTCGTTATTTTATTGTAACATCTTATGTTATATCTATTCTTATGTTAAACACTGTTTGCTTGACTCCCCCGCCTTGATAACTAAAAAAGGACACAAAAATATATGTTTTTGGTTTTTCTTATAATTTACTATTTATGCAATATGTATATAAATCGTTTCCAGGCATAAAGTTCGCTAATATATCGGAGTTATCGCGCCATCTAATGGCAGCAGCCATGCAACATGCTCCACCTGGGCCGGCCAGTAGTTCCCCACCACCTCTGGGTCAACCACATGGTAAGTATTATTTTTATTTTATAAAGGAAATTCCTTTACTGTAGTCAAGTGAACGTAAAAAATTATAGCTCGGTATAGAAAGTATAAGCATTTTTAATAAATAAATATAAGACAACATCAGATAGTCCAAAATAAGTAGTTAAAGCACTTGTATTATGGGAATCGGAAACTATGAAAATACTATCGAGTTAATTTTTTATATTAACCCGACCGGGAATGGAACCTCAGAGATGAAGATTGTCATTACTTACGCTGGGAACACTTTTATAAGATGCTCCTGTAGATTTTACAATGATAATTTAAATGACGTTGACATTTTTTCGCTATCATTAATTCAATATAAACGAAAAGTGGGAGATATTATATTTAAAAATGACTAATCAGAGTGAGTTTTTGAGATTGTTGTGGAGAAGCTGTTTGTTTGATGTGTAGGTTAAGTTTATTCGATATCATCACCATTGTTAATAGTAAGCAATTATATTAATTTTGTTAGTACTCGTATTTAGTAATGGAACTGTCAGGTCTATTAGTTACCTAAGTTTTGTTTGTATATCAATTGTAAACGACTGTTTGTTTCCTAAATAAATAAAAAGAAAAAAAATACTATATGGTGTAATGAGTTATTTCGTTCTTTTTTCTTTTAGTACCACCAGATGAGGCAGCCAGCCGACAGCTAATAACTCAACTGAAGAGGAAAATACAGGTATGAATAACACAGATCGCTTATTAGTTGATTATATACGTATATATTCTTTAACTGACCGGTTTACTCACAGGGCACTCCGGGTCGACCGAAAAAGAAGAAGGCCCAGGAAGCGGGCGAGTCGCCACCATCCACGTCTTACGTCCACCACCAACCGGTGAAACACGAGGAGCCGCCGGAGAGTTACGGCTACCAACCGCCGTACATGCCCGTGTACGACGTGCGGCCTCCGTACCCCGCGTTCGGCCCGCCCCGCGCCCACCCCCCCGCGCCCGGTGAGTACCGCCCGGACACTTACCCGTACGAGCAGCAGGGGTACGCGCGCGACCTCTCCCTCCCCGACCCGGCCCTCAACTTACCCATCAACCTGAGCAGCGACGCGCGCGACGCCGCCGAGCGGACCGAGTGGGCCCGCCGCCGGCCCCCCGAGCCGCCGCCCCGCCTCCCCCTCCCCGGCAAGAAACTCATTCTCGAAACCTACCAGAGCGAGACCCAAGGCGGCTCGCCGCGCGCCATACCCGAACCCCGCCCACCGCCGGTGCAAGAAGAGTTCCCTCGGGCCGAATACCTCCCGAAGAAAATGCGTGCCGCAGAAATAAGCGGTGGAAAACTAGCCGCCCAGCGCCACGCGGCCGCCTCGGACGGAGCCTCAACCTCCACGGAGCCGACCCTCGCTTTTTTAGAGGATCCAAAAAACTTAACGAGCCGGTCCAAAAGCACCGCCGCGGCGCTGGCCCGGGATATCCAGGAGGCGGCGAGTCCCAAGCGGGTGAAGAGGGCACCGACCCCTAGACAGGTGCGCGGCCCGCGACCCCACGCGCGCCCCCGGGGCTCCTCCGCCGACCGCGCCCGGAGCCCCGACACCTGCTGTGGCCTGGATGGCATCAACATCAAAACCGGCGTCATATGTGATGAGAAGCACACCGAGATCCTCAACAGGGAACGAGTGATCAGCATATGCAACATAGACAAACACGATCTCGACGACTACCTCAATGAGGGCAACAGCCAGGAGCACGAGGAGGAGCTGTTGAAATATTTCCAAGCGAAGGAGGCGGAGGCCGAGGTGCCGCCCGTCGCCGTAGCATCCGCCCCCGCGCCCGCCTGTGGAACCGCTTCATTTTCAGAAACGAACCAAGATCCGCAAGATGACCACAGTCAAGGCAAGAACGAAAAGATATCGCAACTTCGGGAATTGTTAGCGAAAAATTTAAAAAGTCAAAATAGCTCTTCGCAAAGTGTACCACCGAATCAGGAACAGCAGCCGATCAAAGAAAATTCGCACGAGCAGACGCTCAAATTGGCTCCGAACGATGGAGCGTTCAAACCGCTCGCCGACGTCGAAATATCTAACGGACCTCAGACGTTGAATCAATCTGCTATAAACGGTAACAAAATGTTTAACTCTGTTCCGAATGAAAATGGTACCGCCCCGCCATTGCTCAGCAGCGGCTCGGCCAGCCACGGCAATTGCCATAATGACCCTCAGAGTCCGACTTCTAGAACTCAGCAATACGACTTCGTTCCTATATCTGACGGTTGCCAGTCGCCGGCTAACTTTAATTCAAAATCACCCGTAGGATTCGGTCAAAGGGGGCTCAGTCCGACGAAAATAAATAAATCGATCATGAGTAATTCGCTTCAAACGTCGCCTATATCGCATAGTACCGCGGCTAGCCCTTTCGTCAGCCCTCGAAATACGCCAGTCCCACGATCAAGACTTTGTTCTAGACCGATACCGAAACTCAATGGGCGAAAAAGACGGAACCCTCTATCTCTGGGAGTGAGCGATCAATGTCATAAGCAATTCGCAATTCCGAACGATCAAAAGTTTATGAGTAAAATGCCCGTATGTGGCCCGGGAAAATTTTGTCAGTCGATTCAACCAATGTCTGCACCGCCGTCGCCTAACATTCTTACTTCTCAATATAAGACCCATATGTTCCATTGCGCACCAAACATTCCGAACGGCGTTCATAATTTAAGTTTAAACTTCTTACCGAACGTACCGATACGAGATCATATCGATAGAGAGCTTGCGCAGCCATTATCGGCAGATCCATTATCCAGTGAAGTCAGTCAGTTTTTCCAAGAGCCTTTGGTTAATTATAGGCCGGCACCTGATTCATTCAGATCCCAGTCAGTACCCCTCAAGCAGGGCATTAACAACATGTGCTTGTTGAGCTACAACAATACTCCAGTTGGCTCTGTCCCACCGACACCGGTACCCAACGAGTTTTGTGATTTCGGCTCTCTAGCTGACACTTGTGATATATCGAAGGCCGGTCTAAACCCTGAGACATTGGATAAAATATACAACGCGATAGACAGCAGCAATGATGTACTTAACACGAACGCTGCGCAGACCCTATTGAACTCTAATGACGCATTGACTAACGGTTGCGATCCCATTCCCGAACAGGCGATACTATCTGATGAGCAACTCAACTCCCTTATACCCAGCGGCGAAGAATTGCTAGACAGAGGTAGCCAGTTCAGTCAGCCCTTTAACAACGACGCCGCGCCCACTGATAACGTCGAAGATTTCTTGAAACGTCCTAACAGTATTGAATTCGATCTATCCGAATTAGAAACTGACAAGAACAAATATTACACGTCGCGTTCCGTGCCGAGCACTCCGTTACCGTTCAAGCGTACGGCGTCTAATTTACAAATAGACTCGTGCCGATCAAGAGAACTGTTCCCAGCGGATGCGTATACGAACGCTTCTAACGGCATATCGTCCAAATCTGTACCGTCGACACCGCAGATGGTTGAAGAACGTAGCGTATTCAGTTACAGTAATAGAGATTACCTGATCAACGGTAATTCTGTGGGTGGTTCCGCACAGATGCACGATATCGTGATGGACAATGATCAGAGTCTGGCTTCACCGTTAAACGATATGTTGCGAGAGGATATGCTGAACCCCCTGACACCCGCCTTGCTGGCCGACCTCGACAAAATGGACACTCCATACGTCGATCTCTAGTCAGCCATTTTGTTTTACATAACTGTTTGTATATAATATTTTAATGTTAGATCTTTGTTTGTACAGATGTCGAAATATTGGATATCTTTAAAGAGTACAATATTTATTTGTTTGCCTTCAGTGAAGGTGCATTATAAGTTGTGCATGCCTAATTTTATATTCGGATTGCACACTCCCAAAATATTGAGTCAATATATTGTGCACCATTATTAATGTGATAAAGAAAAAAATATCTATGCTCTTTCAATTATTAGGGAGTAAGCAAAAGCAAACTCTGGTCATGTTGATTTAAAGTCAAAAAGTAAAGGTGTTATATTAATTGTGTCTATTAATATAGAATTGACAAAGGCTTTGCCTAATTTTATTATCAATACTAATACATATTTTATATTTAATAGTTTTATAATCGGTGATGCAACTAGACTACGTGTTAGATCAATCACAAACCTTTATTTTAGTGAATAAATAATTCACCGCCAATCTAGTTGTAACATTGAAGAACATTATTGTTTTTTTTTAGATTTACTATGATTTATAAAATCATAAATGTCTACATTAATTTTTATTTAAGGATTTTATTTTTATATTACGAATGAATGCTTCCTGTCTTTAAATAATTGGATTAAATAAGATTATACAGCATTGCTGTGAGAAGGTAAACGATACCCACAAATTATATATCAACTGATGTGAAGACAGAACGAATATTTTTTTTTTTTTTACTTTTTATAAGAAGCTTGCAGCATAGACTTTTAATATACATAACAATAAGTGCTTACCGATTAAATTGACCATTTTTCTAAGGTATTGTTTCCAATTTTATTTAATTATTGAATAAAAAAGTATTGAAATAGCCTTCAACAGTCAATATTGTAAAAATAGTTAATATTGTAGTGATAGTTTCTGTACTATTCATGCATAACCAGTAATGAGCAAATACAAAGTGGCAATTTAATAGGTAAAGATCGTAAATTGCTGTACTTTATATATTTTAAATATAAAATTACACCGAGTTCTCTGATAACATCCTGAAGGGCACAAAATGTTACAATATGTTATGAATAAGTGATTTTGTCTCCTGCAAAAATTAATATTTTCTTGAAAAACTTGTTTGTTGAGTTATTACTTTATTATTATTAAGTAATATATTTGTAGGTAATCGTATAGAAATTAACTTATAATTCACTTATTCACAATCACTCGGAAAACCTAAAGGACCTTTCATATCTGCTGCCACCGTACGTGAGAGACGTGATCCAGTGCACAGTATTTAAATTGTTAAAACACTGTCCGTTCTCGAATGACACTTCGCAGATCGGCAAATCTTTATATTATCGTTTTGCATCGTGCTTATGGTTGGTTTACACGTAATTAAGTTGATAAGTAAACTTTTAACTTAATTTTAACTGCTTTAAGTTCGTGTAAATACACAAATAAGTAATAAGTAGCAATTTAAAATTTAGTTAACTACTTATGAGCTTAATTAGAATTAAATATTAACTTACTATTTAATTACTTGTTTGTGTTTACTTAAATTAAGTTAAAATCTACTAACACAACAAGGACGAACAGTGTATAATTGTCAAAAGTTCTCAGCAATAATGTTTTGTCTATACTGGCACACTTTAGAACATATCTTTGTAGTTTACCTATTTAAATGACATTTTTACTAATATATTTAAAAACTTGTCTGTTCTGTGTCTGCCACGTTAAGTGCTAGTGGATGTGAATGAAGCTTAATAATGAAGTTGTTATTATAAAAATCCCTGTAAATAAACATTGATATCGGCATATCGAATCTTACAAGTAATTTATATTCACGAATAAAAAATAATATTGGAATTGTAGTAGTTTTATGTTTCTAAATGCATGAAGTAAAACTGTCTATGAGTGTTATCTGTCTCTTTATGTGAAATAGATTAAGAAAACATTATATTGGTCTAGGTAGAACGAGTGATACCAAAATTGCTTTGTAGATGAGCAGTATGTATTTGTTCATGTGCCTAATGACAATATCTAAGCTCACCAGGAATCGGTAAGAAACATCGAAATATTATATAAATATTTTTTGTAATAATTAGAGTGATACAATCCATAGTGATACTGTAATTACAGTTCCATCAACAATATTGTTATGTGTAGATGTTTGTAGTATTTATCCAGACCAATGTAGCGTGCAAAGCGCGCTAAATAATATATAATTGATAAGGGATGAATTTTAATAGTGTATTTATAGATAAAATTGAAAAAAAATGAATTTATTGTAAGTTAGCACAAAGATTTAATATATTTTATTATCAAATAGGAATTTTACTGATATACTAAATTTACATTGAACGCATGAAATGCGAAGAGAAATTTTACCTCCGCCATTGTTGGCTACATTGAGCTTATGGCAAGAATCAAGGTCATGATTCGTATAAGTATTGTTAAACGCTGTCGATGTCGACCTGCCGCACGTCGGAACAGCTGTTCTTTATAAATTAAAGAAGGTGTCGTTACAGAAAATGTTTTGCCGTCCCCGATTATAACACAGATCACGTGATCAACGATTTAATTGATCGCGTATGATGAAGCGTTTTGTTTACTTAATTAAAAATGGTCGGCATCGCACGTTCGTGGTCCAAAAGATAGATTAACACCTTGTACATGAAGTCTGATCAGAGTGAAATAAAGAAGTGATGGTAATTTACTAAATTTAGTTTTGTTGCTCGTCTCGAAATTGTTACTTACTAATTCACTCATTTTGTTTTCATATAAATTTAATATAAAACTCAGTTTGATGCGGACATGTAGCAAATGCGAGGCGGAATATCATAAAATTAATTTTCTCGACCTGTGCCTGAAAGCTTGTTAGACAATTTGTTATAACGCTAGTACAAATAACTGATTCGACAGGGATATTCCTATATATAAGTGTAACCGAAGACTGTTTAAAAGTTTGTAGATATTTTCGACACAAAAAATTATTTCATGGTCACATCATCTAAGTAATGTGAAGACGAGCACCTCGAGTGATCAATGTGATTATTCCAATTTGGTACAACTTACCAAAATCGATTAGTACCTAATTACTATTAAGTTGTACATTATAATAAGGTACTTTTCTTATTAAGTGAAAGTGTAAATATTTTTAATGTTATTTCCATTTATAATACACTAAATATACAATCAGTAACGATCCATCATAAGTCTAATTAAACTCGATTTCCCTTTCTTTTTTACCGGTCAGTGGTTATACATACCATATTTATGCGTGATCACAGCATTGGCGAAGTTAAAGTACAGGCAAAAGCACTTCAGGTTATTTAAAATTGACAAATTTATCCATTTGATTTTAAGCCTTAACGCATTGACGGTAAAGTTCAAAATCAATTGCGGATATTCGTTGACATAATGAGGTAATTTGACGTGCTGTTGTGTTTTATCATCATCTTACATCTTAGTAGCAACCTAAATATAACACTCTAGAAACATCATACGATTTAATACAAATTACGCGGCTACTTTTGTTTGTGTTATATACATATATTCGTTTTATATATATTGGGAATAAAATTCGAATCTAGAGAGATAACAATCAAGTTTATAATTATTAAATATTATATTCTGAAACTGCAATATCCAAAGATGATGTTGCATAATTAAAAATCTCAGATTTGTATGTAATTACGACTATAATACATAGTGTTTTGAAATGAACCCTAGAGAATTTATACTTTTATATGAACGGAGTTCTAAAACAGACTAGAATTGGTAGCTGAAATAATTTTATAATTGCATTGAAATGTAGATTATATTCATCTACATTTAAACGCAGTCAGTTTAGGTTTCTTCAAAATTACATTATATTTTTGTCGCACATTCATTCATTCTCATCATAGATGAAGCTATTGTTATGTACGATGGATGTTTGTTGTATTTGGATTAAATTAACGTTTTCAAACTGTCTTAAAATATTTATTAGAATAATTGTACAGAAAAAGGTGCTCGGCACTGGAGTTTGTACAGTATGCTTTCTGTTATTAGTGTCATAATTGCATAACAAGTATGAATGCATTTTGTATTTTGCAATTGTAAGTAATTTATGTATAAGTTTAAAACTGTCATGTACAGATCTCTCATTTTTTCATTATTCCGCAATCTTATTTGTATGTTTATCTTCATAAAGATTTTCCTACATCATAGACTCGTATAGCTCCAAAAAGGCTGTTATTATTTTTTTAAAGTTCCAATTGTACTTGCTGACAAGAATTTATTCGCTTGATAATCAATTAGCGTTGCAATTGAAGGAAAGTTAATAACAGGTTTTATTATGGTGATATTGGAATGTAAAGCATTCTTTTCTTGCTAACGGTCAATGTCGCGTCGCGCGAACGCTTACATCCTAATAGACTTGGACATAACAGCCTATTATATATCTATCTCTATTTTATAGATTTTAAAATCTCAAAAATTTTTGAAATATTTTCCTATCAGGTAAAAATGTACAATTCCCGAATTGACGGAATCCCTGAATTATCTAATTCCTACACACGGGAACTGGACATTTAGAACTGAAAGGAATATTTTATTTGTTCTTGCTTTGAACACAAAAACATAAACAAATAATAATAAATAAATAAAATACAACACTAAACTAGTTATGTAAAAATAAGCAGACGATATGAATTTATGATGACTGCATATAAAAATCTACATTTAATATCAATTTAATCAAGTCATTTTAATTAATTTTCCTTCAATTGCCATGTAACTAGACTTATGTTGAACTGCTATTAATGTTATATAATCTGTAGTTTCCATTACAAAGGCAATAAAAAGGTCAAAAGCTCCTGATCTTAGGATTTGATACCCTCATTAACAGTAATTATGCTTTAAAGATTATTTGAAATCTGAGGAAGATGCAACTACTAATAGTTGCATTCTTATTAGTAGTAATGATGGAGATTTTGTTAAAAAATACTTATGTAAATACAATTTTGAATTTAGGTGTATAATACATGACATCCATTTAATTTTATTAAAACCATGTTGTTCTGTTAATTGTTTTTATTTCTATCATATTTTTATAATTAATCACATAACAAATTTAGTTTAAAATTAATTGTACATGTTAAGTGAAGATATCCATGTTGTTGATTAGTCTTTTATGGATGTTGATTTACACCATTTGCTATGCAGTGATAATAAATGGTACCACAGTATTTTTGTCTCTTTATTTTACTAACACCCGGGTTCTTTTCTCAATTCAGAAACTGATCTATCTATATTTTCAAGGGTAGCCGACATCTTATATACATTTTATAACATGCTATTAACGGTTTTCATAGTTTTATTAGTATTGTATTTGCAATAAAAACATCGATTATTTATTTATGTATTAAGTTTACATCTACTACAGTATGATTATTTGAAATGATTTTGAAAAATAAAATAAATAGGTTTGGTTTAATAAAACAAAGGTAAATTAGGTAATAACCAAATAAACGATAAATAAACATACATGATAATATTGTAATATAGATAATATATCAACTTTTGGTTAGTTATTTTATTTATTATAATTATTTTATACAATTTTTGTTACAGTGACCCCCCATCACCGAAGCGATGATTAATATATTATTATAACTATTTAAAATAATTATAAATGCCTGTAAAAATGACGAATATATTAAAGCCAGACATTAGGTTTTTTGATTGTGTGTCTGACCAAAATGAAGTGTCTTTTTACATTTCACAAACTAGTAAAATACCTACGACTGATTTGGCATTCGATTTTATTTATTATTTCATTAGAATTAAACAAAATTTATGAGAACAATAAAAAAAAGCTTGATTTTAAATACAATTTATTGTCACGCCTATTAATACTGAAACACAATATTCCCAATAATGTATGGTGTCCGGCCTTTCTACTCAAATGTACTGCGAAACTATCTGGTCTGTCCTTATATGTGTAGACGAAAGCAGTATGTCGCAATTTTAAAGATCCATTGTAAGTAATAGGTTGACAAAACATTAAAACACAACTATCGTACTCCATTAAAACCTGATGTATTTGATATTTATTTTTATCCTGACATGTAGGAATAAACGTTATTTCTAAGGGAAGCTGCATAGTGACTCTACACCTGTGGTAGATTTTGTACTAGTCTCCTCTGATGGTGCGCTATAGATTTAGGTCATCTATCCCATGTCACAATATTTGCTTAAACTCCACAGTGCAGACTGAATGTACTAATCACTTCACTTCATTGAGATCGTCGACCTATCTTCATACATAAGTACTGCAAAACCGTGATGAAACCTTTCTGATATTTTGTTTTGATTCAAACATTCAAGAAGGTATCTCATATGATTTGCCATAATTTTCTAGAAAGTCTTTGAATAATATGGGGTCGCTTTCATGGTCATAACACTCTGAAACTTGTACAGGCATACCAGGCCTCCATTCCAAAAGTAATGAAGTCATTGGTAAAGAATGAACATTCTTTAATGCATTTTCTCCATATTTGTGTTTTATTTTTCGAGCTAAACATCTTTTCACATATGTGAAAAATGTATCCAAAAAATTAAAACAAACGTTAGGTTTCCAAAATCTCTGAAAAAAAAAGATAGATTTTATTAAACATATACACAGACGATTGCAGAACTTATTTAACTATATTTATTTTATTTGCACTTGTTAAAACTATTACAAATATATTACAAAGCAAAAGTACAAAGCTTAGAATATTATACCAACAAGAGTTGTAAAAGGGATGTACTCCATGAGCATGCTCGTTATATAAAACTGTTCTTCCTACCTACATTCATAGATTGTAACGCGCGTGGAAGGAACTCCCACACAAATGCCTACAAGTAGCGTATTTTAATGTGAAAAGAGTTCACGATCATTCACATAGAAAAAGGATAATTTTACTTTCCACCTATAAGTATTTTTTCATTCAATTATGTAATATATTCGAAAAAATCAATAAATAACTGCGAATCTTTAAGTGTTGCTATTATATTGCACAAAAACTTACTGTCAGATAATTTATGAAAACGAGTGACATTCCAGTTATTTATTTTTTTAACTATGCTTAATTTTGACTTAATAGAACATTATAACTGTATATTAATAAGTTTACAAAATTTTTTTTTTTTCTATTTAAAATGAAAGAATAAGCATAATCAAAAAATAGTGTAAATAAAAAGTTATGGGTCTTTGAAAGTTGCGCTCGCTACAATAATTCAGCTTTACGCGGTACCTGAGCGTGTGACGTCACGCTACCGGACAGAGCGCGAGGAAGCGACTCAGCAATAGCAAGTACTATATGTTTTCTGAACATCGCCTGCATCTTACAGTAGCGTTGTTTATTACTCGATGGAGGGCACTAAAAGTCTTCTTTTATTAATGTTTTGTCGTTATATATAAAAGTACAATAATAAAAAACACTTTTTATAATATTTTAAAATAAGGAAATGAAAAAATCTTTATGTTTAATAGAATGCATCTACATAAAAAGTATCAATATGCTAGGTCCTAATAGTACGAGATCCCACTGCAAAATCACTACATTCATCGCATAGTTAGTCAAACTCACATTTAGAATACATTGATAACAATCTACCAGTCAATAAGTGGCCGCAAGTAATTTTAATTAAATTAATGCTAATTTAATTAAATTAATTTTCCAAAAAAAAATTCGTTCATTTGTTTTTTAAATAAAATATCATCCACATCATACCAATATACGTAAAGAATTTGAAAATCGATAGGTGCCGTTGTACAATCGGCCGTAATACGTTGCAGCCAGGTGTAAACAGGTAATATTTTGGTGTATTTATACTTACGTTCATGACATATACACATATTTTTTATATCAAATTAAAGCCTATTTTTTTAATATGGTGATATAACGCTGCCTGTGAACAAATGGCCGCAAATTGCTAGCTGTTAAAGACTTGAGGTATCCGAGATAAAGTGAAAGAGAGTTAGCACGCAACGCTACTTGTTAGACGAGGATGGCGGGTGTCAGCTGTGTGAGTTAATAATGTTAATACCCTCCAATCCGCAAAGGGTCAGTGTGGAGGATTATGGCCCATCCTCCTTAACCATCCTAAGGAAGGCATGAGTCCCCGTAGTAGGGAAGTAACAGGGCAGACGATGATATTAACTTTAATACCAAAAGCTACACATACCTCTGATATTTTAGCAAGCTCTCTAATTGGGTACACTTTCAATTCCTCAACAATTCCATTATCATCTCTGAATCCACATACAATAGTGTCTATATCAGCGAGAAAAGATTGACACCACCACTTCTTTGTTTTAAATCTCCTGTAAAGTATGCAATGTCTAATATCAATCAATGGAATCTACTAACTATTTTATTGACAATTATTATACCAAAAGGTACCGTATACCGAAAGAAAATAAATTTATTAAATAATAGGATGATGACTGGGAAAAAAGTAAAATCAATTTATTCAATCAGTCAGATAATGGAAAAATGAGACTTGTATTTTTTTGTTTAAATTTAAATAAGAAATGGATTAGATAATAGGCATCTAAATTAATGTGATGTCATGCAAAATTTCAACTCAATGTATGGCTGTAATTTGTTGATTACACAAAAAGAAAATGTATTTAATATTTTTCAATAATCTACCTGACAGACAAAAATAAAAGACATCATTCATATTAAATATTCAGTGACTTTGTTATTTAAGTTTTAATAATTTAGTTTTATAGTCAGTGGAAATTGGAATTCACAATCAAATGTCTCTTGGATATATTTACAAGATCATCTCTTAAGCTTCATATCATTTTCAGTTCTGATGAGCAGTGATCAACTTCTTCCCAAGCAACACAAAACAGATGCAGTTTTAACATTAAGTAAAAACTGTACCAACTGTTTTGCGAGTGAATCCATGACTTAAAATGCATTTAATGTCTATAAATAAAGTAATCATATCTGGTGGTCAGATCATAAACTAAGTCATAAGCCTTTGAATCAAAGGTATCTCTACACCTTTTTTGTGTGACAGGGAAAGACCCTGAGCCAATAAATAAAAAAAAAATTCAACATTGGCCCACCCAGGAACTGACTTGAAAACTAAGAACACTGGTGCATTATAAAATTGTTGACTTCAACAAAAAAAAAAATACATAAAAAAAAATACCTGAAATTAGTTTCTTGCTTTGCAAACTGAATATGTCTATTTGTTTTTAGTTCCACAAACTCTTTATCAGACAAATATTGAACTATTCTATCTGGGTTTTCACCAGTTGGGACTGTTGTTACAGGAGCCTTATCACAACGAATCCCATCCATTTCAGCACCATATACTATAGTGTGCTGATTCAAATTGGTGGTAAAAACTAGAGAAAACTCTTTTGTTTCATCCACTGGTACATCAGGAACGGGTTCTGCATCTGGGCTCTCTGAAATGTCATATCTTCTACTTTATGTTTATATTAACATTTTAAGTTACGGACACATAAAAACATTTATTTATTATCTTACCAGACAACATATACTGTTCAAATTTATAACCCCATGACGTAAATTTCTTATCTTGTTCTGTCATATGACATTTCTGATATATCTTTTCTTCAGTGTCTCGTGCGCATAAAAATATATTGCCTTTAAATAATATGACAGCAATTTTCCAAGGATCTTTATTTTCATACGGAGTGCATGCCACACATGTCATTAGTCCCCTATAGCAAAAAATTCTTGCGTTACTCAAATTCCGTTCTAATGAAAAATTTAATCTTCTTTCATGTTCTAATAGGAATTGTAGTAAATCATTTAGTTTTACATCTAAATTAGTCGGCTTACGTTTTGCTTTGTCCAGATGCAGATTGAGATCAAAATGTACATTTTTATTGCCTATATTTCTAGCATACATTAAATTTTCCAAACCAATATAACCTATTACTTTTGGACGATTAAAGTTCGGAAACGACTTTGAGTACAAATCAGAATGTGTATGAAGTTCTGGTTGCATTTTGTTGATTACGATGATCACGTTATTCACATCAAAGACACGAAAAACATGAAAAATGGTATTAACTTATCTTATTACTGTACTCTTTATCTTGACCTTTTTAGATTACGTCAAATTAGGATTGGGCAAAAACTATCGATATATCAATATACCGAATTTTTTTCTAAAAATATCGATATAAATAAGCGATATTTATTTCCCGTGATATATCGGCTTTCGATATTTATTTTCAGATATCGAATACGTATCAAAATTGATATATTTTTTTTTAATTTCTGCTTTCTGCTCATGCGTCACATCATGTATTTCTTAAATTTAGAAAAAGAGTAGGTAGGTAGTAGGCTATATGAGTTTAATCTATGACCTGTTTGTTTTTTTTTGTTTGTCTATGACAATGAAACTACTTGTTGGTTTGGTTGGTATCACAGAGTGTGCTCCTGATGTCAATGTCAGATAAATACACGTTTGTTTGAATAGTTCTTGGCTTTATGTTCCTATTTTTAATAATAAAAATGATGTCAAAACAGCCAGGTGTGTAGTTGCTTCAAAATTTCAAATGTTTTGAAAATTTTTATTGATAGTCGCTTATTACGCAGAAAATATCGATATATAAACATACCAATATATTTTTGGTGATAGTTATCGATAAATTAGAAAAATATCGATACAATATATCGATATTTTTTCCATTTGCCCATCCCTACGACAGATTTAATAAGAATTGCTTTCTCTGTCTACGAATAAGAATTAGAGATTAAACAATTTTTCGAAGAGACAGTGACAATGGATACGGCGGTGTTACCATTTTATGTAAGAATCGTATTCTGAAATAATTACTCATAGTACTCAATGTTCAAACAACTTCTCAAAATAATCGTTTTGCAGTTCTTGTTGTATATTGGCCTCCTCGTAGTGGTCGATTTCGATTTATGATAAGTTAGATGAATTTAATATGTACATACTAAACGATGGTCAAACTATGACACTTGCTCGTCCGAAGCAAATTGCATCTTTAGGAACCGTATGATTTAATGTTGGTCCCTAGTGTGGTGATGGAGACAACTGGCCAGGGAGACTAAAGGATAATTGTCTCCCTCCGAGCTAGGTGTTGTTAGCCCGGGGACCGCGGTCCAACCGATGTAGGTTGGACGTTCTATTTATGTTAATTGGTAATGAAACTTATTCTGTGCGATGTAGGTTTTCTTTGTTCTAAATGTCTTCTAGTTATTAATTTATGCTGCTTGTATAGGTACAGCGCCATCTCGTTACTTGCTGTTGAAACTTATTACAGTTCGTCTTGCTATCGATGGCTGTGACGATGCTATTCTTCTCGCTATCGATTGTTGTGGCGATGTTACTGCGATGAATTAGATGTCGCTATATATCAGTCGCCACACATCTGCTATTGACATTATATTTATATCACCTATTCTAGCACCATCAGCTGAATGGTCGGTTTACAATGAAGATTCACTAGAAAGTTACCATACATACTTTACTGACATACAATACGAACAAGACCCCTTCTAGCATATGATAAATTCTGTATTCTACTAGATAGATTAAGAAATAAGTTTATTCCTGTACATAAAATTGATAGCCATAATAAATCAAAGCTTCATAATCCAATGCCTTGGTGGAATGAATCCTGTTCGAATGCAGTGAAGGAGGTTTCCATCTATAGAAAATTATTTATTGTTAATGAAAATAGAAGCGTCAAAACAATTAATAATTAAACAGGAGAAGGCAATTAGTTGAAAAACTTTTGCTCTAGTTTTGATAGAAATACTCCAATTAGTTAAATTTGGAGATTTTTTTAAATTCTTAATCACAAAAATTGATCACCGAAAGCCAGAGATGACACTTTTTTACAAGGTTTTTTATAGATAATAGCTCCCTATCAACCTCCAGTTAATACGGATCATCTAAAATATTTTTTAATACAATGAATGAGGAAGTATTTAAAAAAAAGAAAGCACTGAAAAGCACTTCCACTATCTAGTGGAGAGAGTAGTAGAGTTGCCATCTGGCAACTCTAACAAAAGTTGATTTTTGCAGGAAACGAACGGACTTAAGACAGTCATTTCCATTCCTTTAAATAACATATTAAAAAACTAAAATTTGAAAAATTCGAAACTTAGATATCAATACAAATATGAAAAAGTACAAATAGTGTGTATTATTTGAGGTTTAAAAACTAATTTACTTTTAAACATGACATAAAACAATCATAAAACCGGAAGGGTTGTCATGGAGAAATCAAGAACGTTCCAAAGCGACATCTAGTTTGATTTCGGGAAGTAATGTTTTTTTTTAAATACTTCCTCATTCAATTCTCATCTTGCATTACCCGTTTCACAAGTAGAATTTAACTTGTCTTTAACTAATAAAAAAGATACCTCCCCAGGTTTAGGTGATATACCTTATATATTAATAAAATGTCTTGATCCAAAAGCTAAGTCTATTTTATTAAAAGTTTTGAATGATTTATGGAAAAATGGGTTAATACCTGAAACACGGATAGTTATTACAGTCGTTCCCATTTTAAAACCAGATAAAGATCCTAAATGTGCTGATTCAAATCGTCCCATATCTTTATCATCATGTATGAGTAAAATCTTTGAAAATATGCTAAAAACAAGAATAGAATTGTATGAAGAATCTAGATTAATTTTACCCCATGATCAATTCGGATTTCGTAAAGGTCGTAGTACAATATACAGCATATAGACGCTGGAAAGCAAACACGTAGTAACCCGCAAAACCAAAATTGTTCTTCAGAGGATCTGAACAACAATTCTGAATCTGAGCAGAAAAACTTTTATTTTTTTTTCGATAAATAATACCTATAAACATCCATGGTAACTTTACCGATTATTGTATTGGGTCACCACTTTACCGAAATGTTATGTGTTTTATTTATTAGTATATAGGTTTAACTTATTGATAAGTTTACTATCTGACTCTATTTATACGAAGGATCGGTAAAATAAATAAACGTGTTGACAGTTATGAGTTTACTTTCAGACTATTTGATGTTGAAGTGCCACTTACAAAATACAAAATATCATAGATTACGTTGCCACAGAGTGGTCGACAAAGATTATAAAACAGATGTGCCACAGTCGTCCCCCCTTAGAAAATCATAGGGATTAATGACAAAAACAAAAAAAAAAAATGATTTTATATAAAAATAATTTGAACGAAAAATATTTTAAAAACTACCCATAATGTCGTATAAAAACTAATTTAACAACTCGTTACATATTCTTATCACTTTACTACTAGCGTGAAGTCTACATTGCGTTTGCTACGATGAGTTGTTACGTAAGTCTATTTTTAGAACAAAGGTTGTGAACAATATTCACTTGTGTACAATATTTACTTGTGTACAATATTCATCTCTCTTATGGGACGATAAGAATATGATTCGATATAAAGTAAAACTAATTAATTTTCCAGAACTAAATTTGTAAAAATAAATTTCAATTAAAAAACCTATGTTAAGCATAAATATTAAAATTATACTTTATATCAAAAAAATTGTTATAGTTGTAGTTCATTAATTATACAGTTCACTTTGTTTTTTTGCACTGACACTTTGGCGTATTTAATAAATTGGTTAAACTGTAGACTGTAGAAGCTTTATCGATGTGCTGGCCGCTTAACTGCAGCTATGACAAAATCGAGTCTTGCAGCTCGAGCAGACTCTCCAAAAAAGATTGTGACGTTGGTGGTTATGCTTCTTTCTATAAGTCGAATCTCACAGTTTTCTTAATTGCGCGACCCAATCGTGTAAGCACAGGCTGTGACGTATTAAGTGGTTTCGTTGTTACAGCATTCGGTGATTCGATATTTAATGGCTCCGTGGTGTGACTATGGCATGGGACCGATATTTCGTCAGTTATTAAAAGATAAGCTGGTTTGAGTCGATTAAGTGACACAATCAAGTGTTTGCCGTTGTAATCGATCTTAAAATAGTTTGAGTGACGTGACATGACTTTAAAGGGTCCTTCATAAGGTGGAATCAATGCTTTTCTAGTTTCGTTTCTTAAGAAGACGTGTGAACATGAACTTAAGTTGTTATGAATAAATATTTTATTGCCTTTGTTGTGAGAAGTTGATTCTGAGGCACCTTGTAAATTTGAAAGTGATTGGGCTAAATTACTTATGTATTCAAGTGTATTTACCGATGTTTTGTAGTCTGTTATGAATAAATTTCCTGGCAATCTAAGACTAGTTCCGTATAAAAATTGTGAGGGGCTATAGCCTAGGTCTAATTTGATAGCTGTACGTAAGCCTAGTAGAACTAACGGTAATTGGTGTACCCATTGTGTGTTATCCATACATTTTGCCATGATAGCTGCTTTTAAGTGCGATGTAGTCGTTCAATCATACCGTTCGCTTTTGGATTGTATGCGGTTGTATGAACGCGTTCGATGCCGAGTCGTTTTAATAATTGTGTGTATAAGTCGGACTCGAATTGACGACCTTGATCGAAGCTATCCGTTTTGGACAACCGAAACGAGCTATCCAGTTTTCTATTAAAACTTTAGCAACTGTTTCAGCTGTAATATCTTTCGTGGGTATTACTTCAGGCCACCTTGTTACTCTTTCTATCATGGTTACGCAATACCTATAATCATCGGAATATGGTAACGGACCTATGATATCTATATGTACATGTTCAAAGTGTGACGCACCATCAAATTCGCCTATCGGTGTAAATGTGTGGCGTTGTATTTTACTTTTTTGACAAGGAATGCAACTTTGGACATATTTTTTTATATCGCTATTCATATTGGTCCAAAAATACCTTGATTTAAGCAATCGCCTTGTTGCCGCGATTCCGGGGTGGCTGACATCATGTATATTTTTAATAATGTGTTCCCGAAACCGTGCATGTATCACGTCGGGGTCACCACTTTACCGAAATGTTATGTGTTTTATTTATTAGTATATAGGTTGATATTTAAAAGTTTACTATCTGACTCTATTTATACGAAGGATCGTTAAAATAAATAAACGTGTTCACAATTATGAGTTTACTTTGAGATTATTTGATGTTGAAGTGCCACTTACAAAATACAAAATATCATAGATTACGTTGCCACAGAGTGGTCGACAAAGATTATAAAACAGATGTGCCACATAACAAATAAAGTGTTCCTTAGTCAATTTATACAGAAATAACATATTTTTTTTAGAAACATATAAAGATTTTCCACTCTAAATATCCATTTCGATTTTGCAGGTTACTACGTGTTTGCTTTCCAGCTTCGATATTAAAATTTTGCGGTGACATACAGCATTCGTTTGATCATGATAGTTATAGTTAGTACTTTTCTCGATGTAAGTGAAGCTTTTGAGAACGTTGATTTTATCAACCTTAGTTCAAATACTACACAGCTTTACTATACCTGGCAAAATTTGTAAATGGATTTTTAACTTCTTTGACTCCCGAACAGTTTTCATTAAGTTTAATAACAGTTATGGTCCTAAAACAGCTTTCAAGAGCTTACCACAAGGAGCGACACTATCACCTTTAATTTATTTATTATATACATCACAGATTCATAGATTTGTATCAATCCCACAACTATCTGTTCTTCAGTATGCTGATGATATTGTGTTGTATACTCCATTCATTATAACATTAGAAAAAAGAGGGTCCTAGAAGCAGCAGTGCAAAACATTTTATTTCAAAGATGAATTATAATATATATATTATAGTTTTGTTGAAACTTCGAACTTTAGGTAGTCTGAAAGAGCTAGGCAATTTCCCATTTTTTACGATACCTCGGGGTTGAGATGAGGCCAGCGATTCGGGTTTCTTAATTCATCTTTCAAGCCAACATGGAACTAAAACTATCTATCTGTTGATTTGATAAATTCTAATTGTGAGTGCATATAATTAGAATAGTACTTTGGTTATATCGATGCCCAGGAAAGAATGGTAAACAAAATGAATTTGTTATCATAACATTTAGTTAGACTATAGATGAAGACATTAGAAAAAAAATCTGAAATTTCAAAGGTTGAAGTTACAATTAAGGATTAAAGCTTAATTGTTGTAGGGCACTCGGGCCTGCACCGGCATCGTCGATATTTAACAAAACTTAACAACTAAAACAAAACTATAACAAAATAAAACAATAACAACTTAATCACGGAAAACGGCAAAACAACAAGAAAGGCAGTAGCATTCACAACGGATGACAATCCCAGATTACGTATTTTAACAATTATGAGTACATTATAGTCTGACAAAATTAAAAACCTGTACTGCCGAATCGTTTGAAGGGATGAGGAAACGTCTTAAATTTGGTAGAGTTACAGTGACGTGAGAATCGTGCCGAAACTCTCCAACCCTTCTGCTTTAGGTTCTTTAAGATGCACACTTTTTATTGTAATAGTTATTAAATCATTTAAGTTGGTCAAGTACTCATTAATTTTTTTAATAGATTATTTAAATGAGAACAGTTAAGTAAAGCAGTTGGTATTGAAGTGGATATGTAGCAAATTAGCCGTAAGTCTTAAGAGTAACATGACTAATGATATTTTATCACAAAGTATACCATAAAAAGAACCTTATTTAACTTCTGTCTAATGCTATAATGAATAGAGTATAATAAGAACTTATTTCATTAGTATTACAAAGACAATTAAAATTAGATATTAATCCAAATAAGTTCTGTTCTAGTATTTAATAAGAAAAATGGTTATTTAAATAGGGATGATGACTGGGTAAAAAAAATGCAATTCTATTTAATCCGTCAGTCAGATAATAGAAAAATATTAGATACGTATTTTTTTTACTTCAATTTAACAAGAAATAGCTTAGATAACAGGCATTAAAGTTGAGGAGTGGGGGCTCGCTACGTCACAGTTGAGTAGAAAACGTCATGCCCTAACGTGACGTCATGCGAAATTTCAACACAATGTAACGCCGTAATTTTATGATTACGAAAAAATAAAAAAATACGTGTTTAATATTTTTTAACACTCTACCTGACGGACAAACAAACAAAAATTAGTCATCATCCCTATTCTGTAAATATTGTATATAGTTTAGTAAATATTGCTACTGTCCAAGAAAAAGTGTTCTTAGGTTTGTGTTTGACACAAAACTGAACCTTAGCAAAACTTAAAAATTTTAGCAAATATGATGTATTATTATATGTATGAATGTAATAAATCTACTAAAGTTTGTCATGTTAAAATTGTAAACAATACGGAGTTTCTTAAGATTCATAGACACTAAAAACCTGTACATCGAAAAATATACACAGATGGTTCGAAGACAGAATAAAATACAAAGGCTGCATATTATGACTCAAAAACTAAATTCGGAAGAATTTTTAATTTGGATATGAACTCATCTATATTTACAGCTGAAGCTTATGCCATTTCAGGAACCGTAAGGTTGAATGGTTGGTCCTACAGTGATGATGGAGACAATTGGCAAGGGAGACTAAAGGATAATTGTCTTCCGAGCTAGGTGTTGTTAGCCCGGGAACCACAGTTATACCGATGTGGGTTGGACGTTCTATTTATGTTAATTGGTAATTAAACTTATCGTGGGTGATGTAGGTTTCTTTGTTTTAATTGCCTTGTAGTTATTAATTTATGTTTCTAGTAGTACAGCGCCATCTCGTTACTGTGTGATGAAACTTCTTACAGTACGTCTTGCTATCGATTGCTGTCACAATGCTAGTCTTCTCGCTATCGATTGTTGTGGCGATGTTAGTGAGATAAATTAGATGTCGCTACGTATCAGTCGTCACACCATTTATACCGCTCTGCAATATATCAGAGGAATCAGAGATAACAAATATTTTTTAATTATAACCGGCTCCCTTAGTGTCCTTACCTATCTGGACAATGTATCTACTTCGTATAAAAATAATACATAGATCACAAAAATCAGAGAGCTACTCATGGAAATGCTCAGGAATAACAGGCAATGAAACTGTGGACAAACTATTGGAAATAGAACATCTAATATTAAATAACAATCCTTATCTTGCACCTCCATTTCCGCTAACAGATTGCAATGCAAGTGTCGAATGTAACACCATTGGCATGAAACGTGGGAAAATACAAAACATAAAAAGGAAATAGGTATGCCCAAATTCAAAAAAGAATTCCAAGCCTTCCTATTTCAAATGGAAATTTGCGTCGAGATAGTTCATCACTACAATTAATAGATTGCGATTTGGCCATGGCAAATTCCCAGCACACTTGAAGCAAATCAAGATTGTTTCCTCGGATATATGTGAGAATTGTGAGTCAACGGCAGCTACATTAGATTATTTGATTCTGCATTGTCCTGCCTTCAATATCCAAAGATTGCTTCTAGTAGATGGCCTAATGAAGATATATAAAGACGATGACATTCCCCGCCTCTTGCCATCGCTACTAGAAAATGAAGATACGTACGAATGTATTTACAAGTTCATAATTTCAACTTTTGATATAATATGAAAACTTTGTGCTGTATTTTATATAATAGGATTTTTTACCTATTTAAAGAAAAATGTACTAAAGATGTGGCTGTATGGATATTTCCAAAGCCATTAAAAAAATGTGTTATGCTATTCATTTCGTTTCGTTTGTGCCGTTATTTCAAAATGTCATCATAGAATATACAAATAACATCAATGATGGATAATGTGTTTCATAAATGTAGACTGTGTTTAAAGCTCGGTGATTTCTGCTCAATATTCGAACAAGATGACTCCATTAAATTGTCTGAAATGGTTATGTCTTTTGCAAATATTCAAGTGAGTACATATATTCGAAAATTTTCACTGAAATCATGAAATAAATACGATTTCAATTTATTAGTAAATTATTACCGTGATTAATGAATGTTTCGTTTATGAAAAACTATATTTCTTCAATTCTTTTAAGGGATTTTACTAAGGTTATTGACCTATGCTCTCTCTTAGTCCAGAATCTGATAAATTAGAATTTACTTAATGTATGTAAAATTGCATTTTAGATATGTGAAGGGGATGGACTCTCTGACCGTGTATGTACATCTTGTATTGAAAATTTAAGTACAGCCTATTTATTCAAACTTCAATGTGAGAGAATAGATGCACTACTTAGAAAATGCCCAGGTAGGTATGCATATGTGAGGTAATATTATCATTAAATTGATTAAAGTCAAGTTGAAAACTAAAGTGTAGGTTATATAGTCTCTGCAAATTGCTCCTGGCTACCATTTTGATGACGTAATTGCATAAAAAAATCAATATCATTAACAAACACAGGTTGACAAGTACATTTATTGAGTTGGGTTGTGTTGAGATCATACATCATATTATGTTTTTGTTGGTTTCGATTGTTATTGTTAAATTTTGTTGTTAATGATTTTCCCAAAAGTAAACAATTTCAATAATAAATACAGTGTAAACTCTACATAATGACACTGAAGGGACTGTGCATTTTATGGCGTTATAGAGTTGTTGTTAAATGCGGAGAAGAAAAATCAGAATTAGAAAAAAGAAAGTTTATTTCAGACTAGTATTAGCAGTTATGTATGTAATAAAAGAATCTTATTTGAACGCTATTGCATATAGTCTGTTATTTTTGTCTGACATCATTTTGTCATATTTTTAAATTATTTTATTCATATCTTGTGATATTGAGGTATCGTCATTTTCTAATAATTTAGCTGCTTCCAAAGCTTCTTTAATGCTCGGCGGAAACTCTGGCTTATCCATCTCATCTTCTTCATCTCCTTGTTCTTGAACCTCAGTTTTTCTCACTGAATCCAAAATTTCTTTGTTAGTGAGTGAAGCCATTGTAAGCAGGCAGTTGTCTACTTTGATGTAGGTTTCAAGATTTACTGTATTTCCTGCCCCATTGAACTATTAAATCCACTCAGTTCTTCTTCTTGTCAACGCTGGTTTTCTGCAACTCGACACTTGGTGCCTAATTTGCGTACAAACAGTGGAGGCTTCAGTCCTGCCATCCCAGTTCTTCCAGGAAGAATTGTAATTTTCTGATGTCTTTGCAAGTGTCCAGTAGTGTCTTTGGGCTGCCCAGGTGATCAGTCCTTTGTGCAGCAACAGAACGTGAGCGCTTGTCTCCCCTCCTCCAGGCTGCATAGTGGACTGTCAGAGATGTCTAGGTGTTTGTTAAAATACCCATGTCCCATGAGAATACCCACGATTAGTCTCCATGTATGTCTGGCTAGTTTGCATAATTTAACTGATAGTCTCGGGTCTACCTTAGATATTGCTTCCCTGGCTTGTCTGCAATCGGTGAGTCTAAGACCATTCTTCGTCATGTTTGCGTTGGTAACAGTAAACTATGTGGACTAGGTACTAACGGTTCCGGTCTGTAGATTACGGTGACCGAGCCCCTTCTGGCCAAACAGTAAGCCACGTCATTACCTCATGATTCGCTATGACTTTTTATCCATTGTAGTGTCAAGTCATTGTCCTTACTTACCTCTGTTATTTTACATTACGTTATTGTCCAGCACCGACACACTGCCCGAGAATATGCGGATGCTTTTACCTTTAACTGCGCGATTCAGTATTGCTTCGGCAGCCCTGATGATGCCCACGCACTCAGCTTGGAAAAGTGTGTTGTAGGTCCCCAGTGCTACTGAGACATGTATGTTAAGGTCCTCTGAGAATGCCCCTGCTCCCGTTCCTGTCTTAGTTTTGGAGCCGTCAGTGAAAATCCTGAGTTCCTTATATAGATATTTGTCTGGTGCATCCTTGTGAAGGTGTATTCTGTATTTTTTGTCAACTACGTACCGTTTAGGAATTAAGTCATTTACTGCCTTGAAGAACGGGTATTCAGCATTGATGTCTTTCATTATGTCCATGTGTGGTGTATTGTGCCCTTTCCACAGCTTTAGCGCCTGCAGTCGTGTAGCCGCACATGCTGCTTCCTGTTGTATATATAGATGTAGAGGTCTTACGTTCAGAATGGTCTCTAGTGCTGTTGTGGGAGTGGTCCTCATACTGCCAGATATCGCACGACAGACTCGTCCTTGAAAACTTTTCAGTTTGTCCTTTGTTGTTACCTGTGTTGTTTTGGTCCACCATATTAGTATCAAACTCAAGTTCTGTTTCCACCTGATCATTCATAGAATGGGTACAAAGTACAGCATGTCGAAAAGATTGCTGTATAGTTGTGGGTGTGACTTCTGCCTGGCTTAACAAAAAATTTACTGCATGCAGATTCGACTAGCTCCATCAATAATTTCCTTCTATTATTGAGGCTTTTAATCATACTCTGGTCCATTGGCTGTAAGACACTAGTCGTATTTGGATGAAGAATGCCAACTCTATGTTTTGAAGGATTGATATAAACGGGTGGGCAGGACAATTGTCAACAAGAAGTGAAATTTTTGTCCCTTAAATTCTGCATCCCACTTTCGCACTTCTTCTTCAAAAAGTTGACTGGTCATCTAAGCAGATTTATTAGGTATATATGTCACTAGGAATTTTTTCATGCTTTTGGCTAGTCCGAACCTAAATCTTTTGGACTATAAATTGTGGTCTGTGGTATAGGACATGGCCTTCTCTAAGCGTCACCCAAATATTGAGTCGCCCGAGAAATCTTTGGAGGCAGCAGTGACCAAGTTTCCAATGGAAACCGTTCGTAAATCCATTGACGAATGGCCCGACGGTAAAAAACGTTAAAGCTAAGGGTGGACAACAGTTTGAATAACTAGTTTAGTAATTAACATATCTTTTTCACTCTTTATTATTTTAGAAATTATCGGATATTTTCTTTGTAACAGCACTAATGGCTAGACTAGGTACACAGCTGCGCAATCCAGGCGACTGCTCTAACCACTGCGGTAAACGGGACTGATGAAAAACTTGTTGCTTTTTCCCTACTACAGAATGTATTTTCATCGATGTTCAGGCAATCCACTCAAATTTTTAGTGTTCATAGTGAATGCAAATATAGGTCAAATATAATAAAAGAAACAAATTTTCGTCTTAATAGAAAGTATTAAATATTTGTAAAAACATTATTTTCTACTGTTTGGCTGCTTAAAAAATTCGCCAGTCCTTTTACGTCCTGGGTAGCTCATTGGTGAGAGCATCCGCCCGGATTGCGAAAGGTCATAGTATATATAATTGATTTAATATTACTGCACTAAGTTTCTGGATTTAAAAAAATATTAGCGTTATTAATTTTCGCCCTTCTGCTAAAACTAAAAGATTGACATTAAGTCCGCTTGTTGTACCATTTATTTGATGGACAATAAAGTGTAACAAACAAATAAATAATAATTAGCAAAATAAAAATCTTACTTGTGTTTACAGATGCCCAAATTGACAAACCAGAAGTGTCGGGTTACGATGCATTTTTCAATACTGAATTTCATATGCATACTGTGTATGGTTCTGTAGAGGGTGATAATGATCAAAACACAGTAAAGGATGCAAATACAGAGTCACCTGGAAACGGATTAGAAGTAAGTGATGAGACAGATAGTGATATTGATTCTATTAAGTGTGCACACTGTAGTCAATCTTACGGACATCAAGGTGCCCATCTATGTAACGTCACTTGCACTATAGAACATAACAATTTGCAAAGATCTAGCAGCAATGAGACCCTTGTTGCATCAGACTTACCACCTACACCCCTTCCACCACCGGTCGAGAACATCAAACCAGTTTTGCCACTTAATGTTGAAACAGAGACAGTTTATGTGTCATGTGTATTGTGTGATAACAAATACACTGAATATGATGACTATGTCATCCATATAAATAAGTGTACAACAAACGTCAAATTGCACCATTATGTTTGTCCGGTATGCCATGAAATATATTCTGGTAAGTTGGAATATTTGGAACATTTGAAAGAGGTCCATTTTAAAATTGAAGAACAGCTCAGTGATGGAGTAGATGTGGTTGACAGTTTCACTGCTATCTATGAGAAGAGTAGGAAACCAAAATCTGTACGCCGTCAAATAGGTTGGTCTGTTGAAGATATATACCAAGAAATTGATTGTAAAAGGGTAGAAGATAAACAAACACCAACAACCAGTCCAATAAAATCATTTTTCTCTAAGTTTGGGAACGAGTGAGTTGCAACAAATTGTTGGCATGAAAAGGGGATCAAATAATGCTTCTTAAGTATTTACTAATGTACATATATGACTTCAAGCTTAACATAATTGTATGGGTAGTATGAATGCTTCCTTCTTCTCTTTGTATATTGCACCGTTATCCTACATAGGAATTATCTTAATATAAACTTAATACTATTTGTATAATTTTTACTTAATAATTTCAGGTCTTTTAGTAGGCAGAGCACTCCAAAAAGAGTGAGTTTTCGCAAACTGATTGAAACTGGCAAAGCCAAAACATCCAATTACATTCCTTTTAAAAAGTATATACAAAACTATAAACAGAAAAAAAAGGTTGATAGCTATAGCCCCATAAATGGCAAAATGCAATCCTCCAGTAAGATCCGACTTTCATTGCCTGGAGGCACATCAGGTAAAGAGGTGCAGATTGTATTTTCACAATGTGAATACTCATTAAATAATTATATAAAAATGTTATTGGGTCTTATCAATATTTGAGTTTGTAAGTTAATTTTTTTTAGACAGTGATTATGGTACTGTCAGTGGAACATCTGAAGAATCATGGAGAATGAAGCAAAATCTAATATGCGCTTGTGACAAGAAAGTTTTCATGCTATCTGAGTTTATTCATGTAAGTGGATTTCAGAATAGTTTTCTTTTTACCCGCCTGCGCGACACAAAGGAGGGTAATGTCTTTATCAGTCTATGTATGCATGTATGTTTGTTTCTATGTGGCGTTATACAGACCAAATGCGTAGGCCGATGATGCCCCAATCGATTCGTCTTAACCTTGCGAGTGTCACTAAAGACATGACAGTAATCAAAATTCACCACAGCGACAACCAGACGCTATATTGTCAAAATGAAAAAAAAAAACAATGAACTATGTCAAGTAGGGTGTCGTTGAATAGGTATTTTAAAATCATCTTTAGGTTCCTTTTATCATTTTTCATTTTTTAATAATAGTTTAGGATATATAACGATTTAAAGTTGTTTAACAAAACATATTTTACAAATTTTCTTACTTATTGGTTTAAAGTTTTTATTTAAAGTATAAACAAAAAAAAAAAAAAACTGAAAAAGCACGAAGAACAAATATTTTTGTTAAAAAAATAAAGCATATGTAACTTTGAGCCAAGTTGGGTGTCTAGAGAGACTAATCATCAGTAGTTTAGACCATCTCAAATTACTTAATAATCCCCACGATATTAACTCCCTCAATGAAATGACTAGATTGCGAAATTGACCATCTTATAAATCATCTACCAAAAAGTTTAAAATAAAAATAAATAATTTAAAGAAAAACAAAAACCCGACTGCGTGAAAACGAATTTTAAAAAATACATGAAAGAATTAGCTTAAGTAACGTTCTGTTCTGTATTACTTATCAGAATTCTAAACTACTGGGCTTGTTTCTTTTTTTTAGTTTTTATTTAAGTTATTTTTTCATGTCTTTTTAAAATTCGTTTTTACGCAGTCTGGTTTTTTATTTTTCTTTAAATTATTTATTTATAATTTGTAATAACTCTTATGAAAAATAGCATAATAATCTTTAAACAGTTAATGAATTGGTTTGAGTAATTAGTACCTACATTATTCAGCCAAATATTAATTTAGTATGTATCAGACAGACAATTGCATTATGTTTCTCAGGATCGGGATAGAATTGTGTCAATGATTCATGAACTTGACGGTGTGGTAGCTGAGAACACAAAAATGGAGATGTTAGCAACTCATTTTATATCGGTGATGCCAAATGACACATTCACTGGCATGATGGTATGTGCTCTAGCTACTGGCAAGTGGCTGCTGCACATCAGTTTTATATATGACAGTTTTAGATGTAAAAAGTTCATGGACGTAAGTATGTACAATCTATAGTTGTTATATATCATTATTTGTTCACAATTCAACAACATCGGAGATACAAACCTCTCCATTTTTTAATAATAGGTGAAATGGGAAGTGTTAAGTGATGGAAAAGTTGTGACTCAGCAATGTCAGAGAATGGACGAGAATAGCTACGAACTTAGTTATTCCTTGAAATACCAAAGTTTCTGGGAATAGCTTGAGCAGTCTAGCAGAAATAGGGATAGTTGTGAGAAGCTTACGGCCTATTTTTTCGTATTTGTATTGATATCTAAGTTACGAAATTTGAAAATTTCGTTGAGAATTTCTAAGTTACGAAATTTGAAAATTTCGTTGAAAATTTCTAAGTTACGAAATTTGAAAATTTCGTAACTTAGATATCAATACAAATACGAAAAAGTACAAATAGAATATGAGTTGTTTATTGAATTTTGAAATTTAATTTACTTTTAAACATGAAAGAAAACCGGAATGGTTGTCATGGAGAAATCAAGAACGTACCATAGCATCTAGTTTTGATTTCGAGAACTAATGTTTCTTTTTTAAATATTGGGTTGGCACAAAAGTAATGAGACATACTAGAAAAATCTATAACATTTTCTTTTTAAAATCAATTTTTTCGATAATATTCTAGAATGTTGTAGAACATTCTAGGTACTTCTGGTGTAGGGTATATAAAGCCGCGCTCGCGATTTATTTAGTCAGTTTGAAGAAAAATGGACGAGCGACAAGTTCGAACACTATACTTATACGAGTACTTGTTAGGCCACAGTGCGCGGGCTGCGGCTGACAATATCAACAATGCATAAGGCGCTGGAGGTACAAGCCATGCGACGGTGTCCCGATGGTTTGACCATTTTAAATCAGGAGACAGGAGCCTTGAAAGTCAGCCAGGCTCAGGGCGACCACCCGCAGTGAATGATGACGATTTGCGCCGCGAACTGCAGTTGAATCCGGATGTTACCATTCGTGAATTAGCGGAAGCACTTAAATGCAGTCATCACGCCGTGGAACACCATCTGCATGAGCTTGGTTATCGAAAAGTTTTGGCTCGGTGGGTACTGCACATCCTTACAGACGCCAGTCGTGCAGTCCGTGTCGCTATCTGTCAGTCACTTTTGCTGCGACCCCGACGTAAAGAGTTTTTGTCAGATCTGGTTACTGGAGATGAATCATGGATTTATTACGAGAACGATACACGTCGTGCTTTTTGGCTGACTCGAGAAGAAACGCCACCAACTCAACCGAAGCCGAGTCAAAAGAACCGCCGAAAAATTCTGCTTTGCTGTTTCTGGGATGCGCAAGGCATACTGTTTTATGAGCTATTACACAATGAAACTATAAACGCTGACAAATATTCAACCCAGCTTACCAAATTATCTGCCGCTATCAAGAAAAAACGACGAAGACGAGTCAATGTAGTTTTACTGCACGATAACGCTCGACCTCACGTCGCATCTGTGGTTCGCCGGCAGTTGGAGAACTTGGGCTGGGAGACGATACCCCACCCACCTTATTCCCCAGACCTCGCCCCATCAGACTATCATTTGTTTAGAGCCCTGAATCAGCATTTGCGGGGTAAACAATTTAATGATTTCTCTGACGTAGAGGCGGAGATGAACAACTTTTTCGAGGCACAGCCATCAGAGTTCTGGGCAAAAGGCATCCAAACTTTGCCGGATCGTTGGCAAGAAGTCTTAGATACTAATGGTAATTACATCATTGACTAAACTTTTTTATTGTAATAATAATAAAAAAGTAAAAACTTAAACCAAGTGTCTCATTACTTTTGTGCCAACCCGATACTTCCTCATTGTTTAATATTGTAAAAACTTTTATGCTGTACAATTAAATTACTTAATTATTTTAACTGCAGTCAATAACTCGCGTTTTCAGGAAAGCATTTATGAATGGATGAAACATCCAAAAATACTGGAAATAGACAACACTAGTGTGGAGGTGGCTAGAGCAGCTGTGTTTTGGCATTTGGAATTGCAAGCACTAAGTGCCAAATTTCCGTTTGAGGGCAAACAGGTTGTTCTGATCATGCGGAAGAAATATCGCCAATATTACAACATGATCTTTAAAACCCTTAAAGCGAAACCCATCACATATGACCCAAGGTAATATAAACATTATTCAAAATATTATCCACAGGTTTTAAATAATTTGCGGCGTCTATTAAATGGGAAATATCTATTATACCATTAGGAATTTCAACCATATTATTAAGACAAGTTTAATTACTATGTGAACATTGCATAAAAATATTGTTTTTGCCACAAACCAGTTTTTAGATTTACATTTCTATTTTTAGAATGTGTTCATACACAGCATAGAGATTAATATTTATAGCATTTTAAATTGAACATAATTCGTTTTAGAACTCCAGGTAGTTGCTGCTCTGCCGATTATTGTTTTGTGGATATGAAAATTATAGAAAGAGTAAAACTACGTTTCTTTGCACGGCATGACGTTCCTGTATTTCCATATCAATATATACTTATTTACCTCTTGAAAAGAGGCAATGTAGATGATGAACACAAGTACTTACTGCAAGAGTGTAAAAGAATACCTTCTCGAGACAAAGTAGATTTTTTAAATCTGACATATTGACCTTTCATTTTTTTTAAATTTGTCTTTTTAAATTTTTTATATTGTTAATCATTAATCATTTTTTATAATGTTTGTTGCATGCTTAAAATAGAAAAATATATTATTATATTTTTAAATTATATAGTTAAAAAGATGAGCCATATTTTTGTAGTCAAATTCATATATTTTATTACTGATTAAAGTATTAAAACAAAACATATTACTATTTAATTTTATTGACTTCCCTCATGTCCAAAGCTAGGGATCCGTGGCATATTTTTCTGCAGTATCTTTTGTTCTCTTATTTTCTTAAAGAACATCTGGAAATGAAAACATTTAAAAACAAGCAGATTCAATATTATAGGTATGTAGACTATATTTAGGTATGTAAAATATAAAGAATATTGAATATTATTACTGATAATAAGGACAAAGTTCGGTCCGAGACAAATATAGCTCAAAAACGTCGTTGTGGGTAAAATAAATGAAAATATGATTACACACTTTTAAGTAAAGAATATCGAGATTTGAGGAAATCTCTATTCATTTCCTAATTTGAAAAGTGCTACTTTTTTATGGCCTTGTTCCGTTATGCACAGAAATTATGCCAACGTCCCGTAGTAAAACTACTGCTTAGGGGATTTTAATGGTTTTTAATTATTGATTTGATTAAACGCTTAATGATGGTATAGCACCAAAATCTACGCGACAGATCACGACTGTCAACGATTACTGCCATTGATTATAGGAAGAGCGTTTTTTTCGCAACACTGTTTTTTGTATCAGCGACATTCGCTCCTGACAAAACGCCACATGACATTACACAATGAAAAAACTGAAGTAAATATACTTATCAAACAGCATTTGTCTACATCAATTGAACTGAGCGCGTTTCTTTATTACACCGTATGATGTGGTACGCTTCAGAGCTGACTCTCTTGAATAATTTATGTAGGTAATGCCTAAAACTATAGTGGTATCATAAAAAAAAATCTCCGTTTGTATCCTTTGTGACTACATCTGCCTGACAGGCTGAGTTCCATCTGCATTTAAACACGCGATTTAGGTAAAGCTGAAAACCGAAAATGTTCTACATTGCGACTTGCGTTTCCAGTCGGGTAATTTTTGCGCTTGTTTAGTGTTACACACACTAAACCGTTTCCAATTAACATTAAATCGTATTGCCTGAGTTTTGACGTCACAGCATATCAATTTGAAATAACCTCAATCATTTAAATTTAAAAAAAAAGGGCCAAGACATGAACCCTGTGGAACACCCATATTAACTGTTGAGCAAGAAGATTTCTAAGTACTGATGTCAACGTATTGTATTTTGTTGCACAGTAAAATATTCAGCAAAATTCAGCGTCTTTAAATCCATGGTTATGTTATGAAGCTTCCCGACTGATTTTTTGTGATAAAAACGATCAAAAGTCTAAGACAAATCCCATCACTTCGGGGGCAGCATTCAACAAACTTAAAACAACCGTAGTTACTACCACAACTACAAAAATATTGCTGGACATACTAATTATTTTCCTTTATAAAATGAATTAAAAACTGCCTTTTTTATGAATGTTTTTAGCAGTGCGTTATATTGTTAGCTTAATTGCAAAATTTTGTTCTTCTGGCTTGTTCACCTAACTTTAGCAGAAACATCGCAAGTTCTTTACCTTTGTATAGATAATCCAGAATGCAACTGTTGCTACTATTGTACCCACCATTCCCCAAATTTGTTTATAATTAGGAAATGAGTCATCGCTGAAATACGATCTTTGCTCCGGATCATCACAACCACAAAAAAATATGAACATTTTAAAATGAAATCTTAAATAGAAAATACTAGACAATTTGACAAACTGATTTTAGATGTCAAGAAAAGAAAGAGTAAGAGTTTGTATGATTACTTTATGTTAGACGTGTGTAAATCTTTACTGAATCGACTCGGTGAGTCGGTTCAGCAAAATGATGCATTGATCCAAATCGAAAGTTTGCTCTAAATGGATCACTGTATCAGTGGCGCTCACTGACACTTATGAACCAAAAAAATGAACTGAGCGACTGTTCGGAGTGATATAGGCCATATCGAGTCGCTTGTCGGTAAATTTAATTATTTTGACCAATGAAAAAACGGTTAAATACTTAAGAATAGTTAGCACTAAAATATATTACAATATTTACTAAATGACTTGCATTCGGACACATGAATGAATTGAATTCGGGTTCAGATTTTTACAGAATCACCGGGGTTGATCAGTGTTCACAACCAAAAGCGAGCCCATTATCGTATTCCGTAGCGAAAACTATCGTATGTTGAGTAAAAATCGGAAAAATTATCGTACATCAGCACGATACGTCAAAATTCCACGGGTAATTTTAAACTTTACTGTCAAGGGAATAAGGCTTAAAATCTAATGCATAGTTTAACATATTTGTATAGCCCGACGTGCTATACATAAAGTAACTGACGTATATCATTATTCGCCATAAGTCCTCGATACTTGTGGTTTGAACCAAGTATCGAATTCGAAAGACTCGTTTTTTAAGTTTACTACGTATTGCAAATTAATTAATCATACATGATGCCGGATACGTATGACGAGTCGGCCCCCAAATGGGAATCGATATTGAAACTTATGTTTTAATATCGACTTGATGTTCAAACGCGATTTATGTACTTTTCGCGACCGACTTCCGCTTTGACCTTGAGATAGAGAGCAAAATATCCGTATGCTTGACTATTACTGAATGTGATATATCTCTAAAGCTAATTAAGATAAAGAAGTGAAACTAACGCGAGGTGTTAGGTTACATTACAGAGTATATCACATATATTTTTTTATAATTTTTAGAATAAAAAATTACATGAAAAAAATAAAAAATAAAAAAATCATGTTTTTTTTTCTAAGTTCTCTGTGACTTACAATCACGAAATTAATATATGTTATGCTCCTTTGTGTGCTCTATTACCCATAAAAATTGCGTGAAAAAAAAGTTGGTGCAACACAACGAAAAAAAATTATATGTGATTTCTGTCTTATGGTATACCCCTGTATTATAAGGTTTTCACATCACATCATTGTTTTTTTTCTCGAAATTTCACATCAGATTGATTTAAAACATAAGTAAATGGTCTTAAGAGATGGCATAATAGTTAAAAAAGAAATGAAAAAAAAAACAGCCAGTGTTCAATACTTATTATTATTACTTTTTCGTGTCTATCAAAATACAAGAAACAAAATATTAATCGTCGTCACTGTTGTAATTAATTACAATCGGAACACTTTGAGTCGCAAATAACTTAGTTAGGACAGCAATATCATCCATATGATAGATAATAAATAATAGCTGCTACATGAGAACAGCATCCCACTGTACGTTCGCCATTGGGGCAATCACAGCAATAACGAAAAATACTATTGTAGTCATTACCTACCTTCGGAAATATAGTGAATGTAAATTCGATAGACTTTTCTATTTATATGTCTTGATTTTACTTCTGCTTTGATGATATTAGGTGCTGATTTCACATATTGTACTGAGAGATTATTTTGATCGTCCATTATTTCGGCCAAGTTAAATGCTGCACATTTAGAAGTAGAAGCTTTTTTGTTAATATATGGGATAAGTCAACACTTCTTACAAAAAATATCATTAACTATTACGATTTTATTTAAACAGTCACTAAACACTTTAACTTCTTCTTCATTCTTTATAATTTTTTTATAACCAGGAATCTTACACAGGTACTTGTTACAATTTTTACACTTTCTCGACATTATTACTTAATAATGATTTGGTTCGATAGTTAATAATTTCAAAATGCTGATACAAACTGCCTTCTTGTGTAATACAAATGACTGCTACTTTAGCTAAACAAACGATGCAGTAAACAGCTCGATAACAAGTTCGAACTTGTTTGTTTATACACTCACACTACAAGGCGCGAATCACATATAATTTTTTTTCGTTGTGTTGCACCAACTTTTTTTTCACGCAATTTTTATGGGTGATAGAGCACACAAAGGAGCATAACATATATTAATTTCGTGATTGTAAGTCACAGAGAACTCAGAAAAAAAACATGTTTTTTTTTATTTTTATTTTTTTAATGTAATTTTTTATTCTAAAAATTATAAAAAAATATATGTGATATACTCTGTAATGTAACCTAACACCTCGCGTTAGTTTCACTTCTTTATCTTAATTAGCTTCAGAGATATATCACATTCAGTAATAGTCAAGCATACGGATATTTTGCTCTCTATCTCAAGGTCAAAGCGGAAGTCGGTCGCGAAAAGTACATAAATCGTGTTTGAACATCAAGTCTATATTAAAACATAAGTTTCAATATCGATTCCCATTTGGGGGCCGACTCGTCATATATTAGTATTTGTCACATTGTATTTGAATCGTGCTATGGACACATGGAAAGAATAAATCATCAAGTAAGCGGCTATTACGGTAAAAATAAAGGAAATTCTTAAAAGATTGCATCATCATGACATGAAATTATTGTATAATCCCCGCAAATAGGATATTTGACGCTTTTCTGAAAACTATTTTAAATGATTGTGTGATACATATTAGGCGACCCATACACCTACAATAATATTGCGCAATGTTGATGATTGCACAATATTATTGAACATATAGGGGTAGTATTGAAGATTGCGCAATGATTGAGTAAATGATTGAGGACTTTTAAATTTTATTCCACAATATTTATTTATTGTGTCTTGTGTATGGTATATTGCCCAATATTTTTTAGTCTACAGTTCGGAGCGGTCGCGTACGCACGCGTGTATTTTTACAGTGAAAATGGCACAAAAAACTTCAGCGAAAGAAAAGGAACGAGAATTCATTATCGAGTGCATTCAATTATATCGGCGTTTTCGTTTTTGCCGTTTCGCTACAATTAAACAACACACGATAGCTGCAGCTAAATCTTTATCAGACATGGTGCACTTAAGAAAGTTATGACGAGAATGCTTGTTCAATTTTATTGTGTCAATTTTATTGTATCGTGTGGAATTCGGAGCTCATCAATGATATTGTGCAATCATCAACATTGCGCAATATCATTGTACGTGTATGGGTCGCCTTATAAACACACTTTCAATATCTTTCATGAGAATCTGTTTTATTTTCGATGAAAATAATTTAAAGTTTTAATAGCCAAATTCTGCCAAAAAACGCTGCTGTAATGTATGGTATTTGTGGTCATATGCCGGTAAATACCTATGTCAAGGCGGCATAAGCTTTTTTCAACTATTTATTTACGAATTAGACAAATAGTATTACAGAAGAGAAATTGAAGTACAATTTTATGATTTGGTTTTGTTTATAAAAATGAGCTACAAATTGTACGTATAAATACAAATTCTGCGTACCCCTAATAACACTGTTTTGACATGACAGCATCCTGTTCACGTGTGACGTTATATGCCGGTATACAGAAATTGTTCATGGTGGCGACGACAACAAATTACATGGCGTTTTCGACGTTCATTAAAATTCCTAAACATATTGCATTTTCTTAACGCTATTTTACTACAGCTAAACATATTTTGTCTGAAGATTCTAAGAAATAAACTTTATTAGGTTATCGTACAGTTGAGACTTGGGAGCCTGGCCTGACTATGTGTTGGTCTGTGTTAAGGGATTTCCCCTTGAACTGATAATAACTTATCATCAGAACTGCCAACCGATCTATCTAGGTAATATATACTAGCTGACTCAGCGAGCTTCGCACCGCCATATATATTAAATATATTTATATATATATATTTATCATTTACTTTTTATACAAATCTTGTCCTGACGCAAGGAACACCTAATAAAAAGAATATACCTATTGGGCGTAGTCGTTCGTAAATTATGCGCGTAGGTAGTACATAAATTTCGCATAGTAAAATTAGATAAGTATAATACACATGTAGGGCTGTTACTTGTCTTTGAATATGGATGTTAAAAGTAACGAGCGGCAGAATGCGGCGCGGAATATGCGCAGGCACAGCGTACTAGCCATGCATGACTGGAGAGAGGCCTTGCCACTCGAGATGGTTAAATAAGCTCTAAGCGTGTTAATTTAACACACTAATTGTACTTAGCGCTTAATGCTACACTAAAGTATGTGCACGTTATGGCTGTAAGAATTTAGCGTGTTAACGCGCAACGATCATAACTGCATATCATATAAGTTATGATATATTTTTTTGACATAATTATAAGTACGTGTCCATAATAAAGATGATAATTTTGATAAATATAAGGACAAACTTTTGTGAAGGAATGTGAAATTGTATTACATAAGTAGAAAATAAATATTCATAGTTTATTTACTTTTATTTCACATACATTAGAATAAATTACTTTTAAGTCGACATGTAATAATAAATAACGTACTACGAAATTTAGTGTAGAAAATGGTTAGTGATCATAATGGAAAGACGTATCACGGTCTTCATACTGAAAAAAAAATGAGAAAAAAAAAACAAGAGAGAAGTGACTCTGATAGTCTCAAGTGGGATAGATCTTCGAAAGTCTTTCGAAGAACACCAAATGAAAAGAATGATAATTTTATGGCGTTGCAAATATATGTATGAGGGAATAGCCCCAACGATAGTTTTTCAATGTTAAAAGTTTCCTTAATGCTTGATTTAATGCGTCTGTCGCACAATCTTTTTATTATGTACTTACATAGTGCGTTAACAAATTAACGCATAAATTAGCACGCTAATTTTTCTTAGCTTTAGTCTTCAACGTGTTAATATTTGTTAGGCGTTTTGAACAACTCTAACCTTTAACATTGGTACATTTTGTGTGTTCGTGCGACGACGAATAGGCATGCACGGCACAGGCGCCCGTAAATAGAAACGCATTTTCAGTGTAGGTGGACTTATGAAGAGAACTTACTCTTTGTTAAACTCTGATTTCGACGATTCATTCTAATTTAAATAGATAGAAGAGAAGTTCAGAAATACTGATTCGATCATGAAAATTCTTTCAGCTACGGGAAGCATCATTATAGGCGGGTCATATAAGCTATAATTTACAGAGTCGAAGTCGCGCTAAAACTGCTAGTAATTAATACACAGCACAATATATTTGTCTCAAGAATTTCACATACATATTGCGGTAAACTGATAGTCAGCCATGTTGTGTACATTTGTCGCCAATTTTTATCTACATTACAAATGCCTAGCTAAGATCTATTCCCACGAGACAAAAACATAATTAGTGTTATCTCTTTTAGGAATTTAAATAAGCAGCTATGATAAAAACATTAAGATACATACCTAAACTGCATTTAATGCCTGATAAAACACCTTCGAGATCTATCGTCACTATATCTTCACTTCAATGCGATTGTTAAATCCAAAGCTCCCAGACCATTACATCGGATTTCAACCTCATTCTCCTTTGAATAATTTTTTGAGATAAAAAATGCTTTTCAAGCACTTCAAAAACGTGTTTATAGGTTTCCAATGAAAATTCGTTGTGTTTTGCTTACCTACTTAAATTTTATCGATAGACAAATAACCAACCGTTCTTTGTTTTACATAAAGCTATTTTATTACAATATAAACCAACGATTAGTACTTTTATCTAATAATGTTAGTAACTATTTAATAATAAATATAATAAAAAGCGGTACTATTTACTTACATGATTCACATAAGACTATTTACAATATCAAAATTAATAAAATTCGTTGGTTGGTAGTTCGGACATTTAGTACCTACCCTACTGTTCAATGGATTCAGCAATATCTATGCTATGTGTGTATGACAAACATTCCATACGCCTGAGTGGCAGTCAAAACAAAAGTTCATTCAGTTACCACCCTCGTAAGTATACTATAGGTACTTGCGTAGTTTTTACTTAATAACTAAGTACATATTTATTTATCAAGTCGGTGGTTTTTGAGCATATTTCGAAATGGGTTGTATGTGGTCTAGTGGGGTAAGATAGAATTTTTTATTTTTTAAATAAATAGAATTCTTGTGATTTGAGACTTACTAATCTGTTATTTTTTAGGCTGAAATTGACAGATGTATGTATTGTAATAGAATAGCAGTAAATAATTTGGTGTTAATCAATAACGTCTGCGAAGATTGTTCATCTAATTCAAGATCAATACCTTCAGTTAATTCCCATGTAAGTGAAAAATATGAAATTTGATTTTAACTTTTATATAGTAGGTTTATGTTTACCACGTAGCGAAATATTTTTACAAATATTCCTATATTATACGTAATATACCTACTTAAATATATTTATTAGTTAGAAATATGACAGTTTTGCTTATCCTGATGTGCTGTTGACTGTACCCAGGGAAACTTAATTAAGAAAGCATATTTGTAAATTAGTTTTGTACACAGGATAAAGAGTTTTAAAAAGGGACCTGGAAACACAGATCTGTGCCTGACAATTACCAAAAACTTAGGACCTCTTTCCCAATCTACAAATAAAACTATCTTTACAATTAGTGCTAAACCTCGAGTAAAAGTTGTCTTTTCCCAATTTCACAAACAAAACTTAAGTGTCACATAACAACTCGACATTTAAGCAAATGGCGACGGAAATCCTTTGTTCATTCATTCAAAAAACGTCAACAATCTGTACATCTGTGTAGATGCAAAAAAAATGCCACATGGCGTTTAGTTACCAATTTAGTATCAAAATTTTTAAGTTGGTAAAAAACTTAAGGTAATGAAAATAATCATTGAAATTTATCACCTCAGCTGTTATACAAAGATTATGAAATTACTTATTGTAATATCATTTGCTGTAAGTGGCCTGTGTAAAATAAATGAAACAAGTTGTATTATATTTTGGCTAAACAAATTCTTAAAGATTACATTGTTATCGTAGATTACAAATGTTCCACAGAACAGTTCATCAACTGCAATGAGAATTTTGTTTAGCCTATGATTTGGCTAAACTTGTTTCTTTTATTTAGTTCAATTTTAGTAGTCGTGTTTATTAAAAAAAATCTCGTACATACATTAACTCTAAACACAATAGACTCTTTTTTCTTGTGCAGTCGTGTTCAAATGTTCTAGAATCGATAACGAATCACACCATAGTAATACTAAAACAATGTACAAAAATTGGGACAAAGTATCAAAATAGCTTGGTTGTAGTTTCTTGTGAAATTGTGACCCGAACAAGTCGTCGAGAACTCGGGACGCTTCAATATACCTACATAATCACACAGAGTGCAAACTTGTTATAGGGCTCTTAAGTGAGAGTTAGCCTACTTGAAACTCAACTCATATTTAACTGTTGAGTATAATGACAGAATGTTAGAAAAATGATTTTGATGATGTGATGTTGCGGAACAAAATAACTTGATCAGTACATCCTTTTGCATTTCTGAATTCCCTGAGCCTGCCACGGCATTCTATGGGGTTTCCCTTTGTCTTTTTTCTAGATTTATTTCATACATTTTAGCTGTTAAGTTGATCAAACTATAGCTATACCGAGCTTTTGTCTTCACATGGAAACGATCACCGCTCACCTCTCCGTCGGAACATTTCCAGTTTGTCGGCAGTCAAAAGAACCAGAAAGCGTTCAATTCGTAAACGCCATTTAACTATGATAAGATACTCAATTCTCGCTGCTTTTTCATATTACAGATTTCATGTGGACCATCTATTCTATTTCTTCCTTTCCCTAGATGGTTCTATGTCACAAATTTTCAATAGTAATACCAGCACGCGTAGCATAGCGTGACGAACTCGAGAGCGTTATATCTATACCCAGAGGTCTCTTTTTCACTAGTTGACATTTTTTTTAAAATTTTATAATTAAATATTTCATTTTTTCTCTGAAATAACATAGAAGTAACAGCATATCTCCGATTAATAGTTTTGGTGATATAGTGCTATGTTTGTGGAAACCGAAAACGCATCTAATCTGTGACTTGTACTTTATTTGTTAGTTTATGTTTATACTTAAAAATATGAGATTAGGCAGAAGCCTGGCTTATTTTATTTTTTACGATTTTTAATACTAATGTTGATAAATTAATTTATTGGTCAGACAGACCATAGCAAAGCTCCGAAGCTCAATTGCGCGAGGCCCGTAGCATTTGCTACGCCTTTTTCTACGTCACTAATCCGGCACTGAATTTGAGGTGAAATGAGTTGTGTTCAACCAATGCATGCGCTGCTAAAATGGACTTCACGCATGCAACTGCAAAATTTAAACCTAGTTAGAAGGAACATGTTCGTCGATTTATATGGAGACCGAGCGTGCCACATTTTGTGTAGGTATCATGACGTCACGATCTTAATTTAGTGATGGAAGACATAATTTCACTTGCATCGAATACATGTTGTATTTGAAACGGCATACCGATTCTTATCGATTGAAAAACGATATCGATCGACGGAGACCAACGTGTACAGTCTGTCTATAAAGTCATGAAAAGAATGTTTGAGGAACTAACATTAGACACAAGTATCACAACACTGAATCAAAGTACATCGACTGTCAACAACTTGATTTTTTAGCTCGATTTTCTGCATTTTTGATTTGTTTTGATTAAACTGAAGCTACTTCTTCTAAACTCCGTCGAAAAGTGTTAAAAATGAAGAGAATTAATCAGAGTGAAGCTCAGGATATTATTTATAAAGTTTTTCAGTGATGTTTATTGGAACAAGAAGCTGGACACGTTTTATCATATTTGTAGAATGTTAAAGCTCGAACGGCAGTAATCGTGTTACTGATTGAGTTTTGGTTACCAGAAGTTTCAAATTTACTAAATATATGAATTTAAGTCTAAAAGAAGTATTGATTACATTATGCATTTATAAGTTAGATTGAAAATGTTAGAAGGCTATATTGTAGTGCGGTCCGAACTTTCAATACTTTTGGATAATCAAATTTATCATTGATTTTAATCTGAATAAAAAATATACCTTTTAGGAATGTACGATTTTTACCTATGTACGCCAATAAAAAGTTTGTGCTTTATATTACTAAAATTATAGGTAATAGTATGAAAATAATTAAATAACAAATTAAACGTTTTATTTTACACAGTGAAACTAAAAGTGGGTCACATCAAATGCTGACATTTAATAATTATAATTTAGGTGTAATTGTGTTAAGTATATGTGTGCGTGTATTAGTATAATGTTGATGACTATATAAATATGGAAATTGATTTGTAATTGGCTCTCTTTTAATAAACCAACGTCAACCTAACAATGTGTTTGGATTTCACCTATAATTAGCAAGCAAGATACCTCATGGCGACCCTGCAAACAACTGGAACTTAGTAAGAAGAAAAATTTGAAGATAGAAGATTTTCATTAGAAAACTATCTAGAAGAACTCGAAGACAAATTATCGAAAATCTTAAAAAAAAAAAAAAAAAATGAAGAATATCCTGATAGCAGTCGCAGCAGTTATTATCATATTTTTGGCAGTGCTCCTATATGTGGTTCATCTTTCCAACCTTCATTATTAGAATAAAACATCAACCTAGAACAATGTGTCGCAGCTCTCAATCGAAAGAAGAAATTATCATCGCCCAGAATGCAGGTGGAAACGCTCAAGTAGCCGAAAACAAACTCAACCTAACCGAAATATTACTCATCTCGTTATTTGTCATATTATTCGCTGCCACCGCTTACTTCATATACAAGAAGTGCAGACAGAATGCTGTAAGAGCTTTGAGAAGGGAACTTCACCACAATACTCTAGAAATGCAACCGAAACCTTCACAAGCTAATTAAGAAGACAAGAAGAGGTGTCCAGGGTTATCCCGGCCCACATCAAGAGGAGTCCAGGGTTATCCCGGCCCAGCTCGAGGTGTCCAGGGTTATCCCGGCACGCGTCAAACTTCAGGAAGACTGCAGAGCCTCAGCGCAACAGCTCCGGAAACAGCCACGTGCCAGCAATCGATGGAAACGTGACCGCGACGCATCCTGTCCGCCGATCGCGCTGATGTAGCCGTCGCGACCGCCCTACTGTACCACACGTTTCACGTAAATTGAGCAAATACAAGTAGGTGTTTTTATACATATTTTTATAATTATGTTTTTTTAATTAGGTAGAAAAAATTAAGTGGATTATATTTATTATGATAAATAGTAATGTCTCATAAGCTAATCGAATTATATAGTAAGTTACAAGAAATAAAATTATATTTAACTAAAATAGGCCCTGAACGAAGAAAGAAAGAAATCGGTCAAACGAAGTTAAAAGAAGCTAATGTAATTTATTTACAGCTCGAGTATATTTTGTCTGATATTAAGTCTAATATTGACAATTCTGAGATAAGTACCGAAGATCTTATAAAAGTAAATTCGATAGTGAATAATATACATATAATTTTTAGTGAAATAAATAAATTAGTAATTTTTTCTAGTAGAAATTTCGATAGTTCTTACACAGAGAAAATGGCAGAAACAATTTCTTTCGACTTTAAGACCGCTATTAGTTTACTCCCGATAATGACTGGTCAGGAACATGTCACCAAACAACTAATTGACGGTATAGATATGTATAATTCTAAGCTTAATGACGGATCAAAAATTTCGTTAATTGATTTCGTCCTAAAAACAAGATTGTCGTCCAGTGCAAAGCTTCGCTTACGCGATACATATACTACTGTAGACGCGTTGCTTAGTGACATGAGAAAATATCTACTACAAAAAAAATCTGCAGTAGCTCTTCAATCACGTTTACAGAATGTGAAACAGGGACATAGGTCAATAGAGGCGTTTGGTAACGAATTAGAAGATCTTTTCTCCAATTTAACTTTAGCACAGGCAGACGGAGATAGCTCCAAATACAATGTGTTAAGATCGATAAATGAAAAGGTAGCTATAAAACGATTTGCAGATGGGTTAGCAAACTCCAGACTGAGTATCATTATTGCATCAAAAGAATTTGATTCTCTCCCTGAAGCGATACGTACTGCTTTGGATGAGCAAACACTCTCAAGTAGTAACGAGCAGGTCATGAATTTTCGACATAACTCCAGAAAGGTTTCGAGACCTTTCTCTAGAAATAATAACGTGTTTCGCGATAGAAACATTAATTATAACAATTATAACTCGCGCATGCGATATGGTAATAGGATCCAATCGCATAATGACACTGCGCCGCGCACGTTCGCGCCGGCGCCACCGCAACATAATTCCGGCCGCGACCGAAGTTCATCCTTCCCGGCTAAACGCTGGTCTGCGCCACGCGTTCGTTCTCAGACACACTCGCGAGGCTATCCCCGTGTCCATCATACATATTATGACACGTCGATAAATCAAACCGAAACTCCTAGCACCAGTGGGAGTCAGTTTTTTCGTTCCTCAAACGAAAAATGAACACTTAGTTTTAAACTATAATACGACTAGTACGGTATCATTTAGCATTAACAATAGGTTAGTAAATTTATTAATAGATACTGGTGCCAGTTTATGTGTAATTAAATACGAATGGTTAGTTCGAGTAATAAGCGATTTAAATAATAAAATTATTCCTGAAAAATTAACTATTAGAGGCGTTAGTGGTAGGTTAGTGTCAGAAGGATACATTTATTTAGAATTAACTAGTAACGGGTTGACATTTAGACATAGATTTTATATATTTAGGAATCTGTCTTGCTCAGCAGACGGAATTATAGGTGATAACTTTTTAAAACGATATTTAGCATTAATTGACTATAGTAAAAGCATTATAAGTTTAACTCATTTAAATAAGACCGTAAGTTTATCAATAAATAACGGGTATAAACATATGATCCCGGCGAGGTGTGAAACTATTAAGTACATACCTACTAACATAAATGACGATTGCGTTGTACTCGCGAATGAAATAAGAGACGGAGTGTTTATTGCAGGTGTTATATCAAAACCTAAGAATGGTTGTATTCCAATTAGAATACTTAATACGACAGAAAATGATTTAGTATATGATTTTTCCAAGTTAGAAGTACATAACTTGCATCATTTTGACGTTTGTAAATTTTCGGAATGTGATAATTCAGTTAATCGTATAAAGACATTGTTTGAACTTCTCGATTTACGCTATTTGAACAAAGACGAGCAACTTAGCATTGAGTGTATATGCGCTAAGTATGCGGATGTTTTTCATCTTCCCGGCGACAAACTTTCTGTTACGAACTTAATGGAGCATACGATTACTTTAAAAGAAAATGCTACACCGGTTTATATTAAGCCCTATCGTATCCCGCACGCTTTAAAGTCAGAATTACGTAAACAAATACAAGATATGCTAGATAACGATATAATAGAGGAGTCCACCTCGGAGTGGTCTAGTCCTGTATTACTTGTTCCCAAAAAGAGTGATAAAAATAATGAAAAGAAGTATAGGCTCGTTGTCGACTATAGGCATTTAAATAATAGAATTTATGACGACAAGTTCCCACTTCCCAATATTACAGATATTTTAGATTCCTTATCAAATTCTATATATTTTTCAAAATTAGATTTATCTCAAAGTTATTATCAATTAAACTTGCACAAAAATTCTAGAAAATACACTGCTTTTCAGTTAGATAAAATGTATCAGTTATCTCTTCATCCTGATTCACGTAAGTGCACCGCTTTCACAGCTGATAAAATTTACCAAATGAAGCGATGCCCCATGGGTCTTAAGACTAGTCCTAGCGTATTTTCCCGATTAATGACTATAGCCATGTCAGGACTGAATTATAATAAATGCTTTATTTATCTAGATGATCTTATTGTTATAGGAAAAAATATAGAAAATCATAACAAAAATTTAATATCAGTATTGGAACGACTAAGAAAAGTTAATTTAAAGTTGAATCCCTTAAAATGTGATTTTTTGAGAACAGAGATAGTATATTTAGGACATAAAATAACTAGCCAAGGTATATTTCCTGACCCAAGCAAAATAACAACATTACAAAGTTATCCGACACCGGCAAGCGTCGATGACGTACGAAGGTTCATTGCCTTTGCAAACTATTATAGACGATTTATTTCACATTTTGCTGATATTGCATATCCATTGAATAAACTTTGTAAAAAGAATGCTATATTTAAGTGGACATCAGATTGTGACGAGGCGTTCAATAAATTAAAATCTGCATTAATTAAACCCCCAGTTTTAGATTACCCAGATTTTTCAGAAAATAACATTTTTAAATTACAGACAGACGCGTCAAGAACTGGATTAGGTGCGATATTGTCTAATGGCAATGATAGGGTCATCGCATACGCAAGTAGAAGCTTAAAGCCCGCTGAGACGCGTTATCCTATTATAGATCTAGAACTGTTAGCCATCGTTTGGGCAGTAAGACATTTCAGACCTTATTTATATGGTAGGAAATTCCAAATTTTAACAGATCACAAGCCTCTTATCTATTTATTTTCTATGACAGATCCTTCCAGTAGACAAACCAAGTTTCGTCTATATTTGGAGGAATATGATTTTGAGATAGGTTATGTTCCAGGACGACAAAATGCAGCTGCAGACGCATTGAGTCGTATCCCGGTAACTTCTAGCGATTTGAAAAATATGCGTGAACATGAAGTATCCGTGCTCACGAGAGCACAAACAAAAATATTACTAGAAAAAAGTAATAAAAATTCTGATTTTGACTCTAGTAACAGGCTTGAAAACTCGCGAAACCGTAGGACTGATCACCCTATGGCCGTAGAAATTCTAAAGCCGCCACAGGATATTATTGAACTATGTTTTATTAATTCAAAGAAATATGATAAAATAAGAACCGATGAAGTTATTAAGTCTCCAAATGAGAATTGTTTATATATACCAAAGCGGTCAATAATTTACCTAAATGCTCGATCGTTATCAGCCGTAGAAGCGTTAGCGAGAGATTTAGAGAAATTTTGTAGTCAACTAAATATTTTAGAACTACTTATAATTAAAAATAAAGTTTATGAAAGTCATATAAAGTTACTTGCAAGTACGATTAAAAAATTGAAACTAAGTAAACCGCGCTTATTAATAACTAAAGATGTTGTTCGTATTACAGATGAAGATAATAAGAAAGTTATACTAAATGACTTCCACTTGTTACCGACTAGCGGACATGCTGGAATAAATAGGATGTTAAATAATATAAAAAAATATTATTTTTGGCCAGGAATTACAAATGATGTCATTAATTATGTAAAAACATGTAAATTGTGTCAAGTGAATAAATTCACTAATAGAAATGTTAAGGAGCCTATGACGTTGACAACCACTGCAAATTCGACATTCGAAAGAATTAGCCTAGATATTGTAGGACCGTTAGAAATAGATGAACTCAATCATAGATACATACTTACCTTACAGTGCGATCTGACTAAGTTCGTTGAGGCATATCCCTTACAACGAAAAGATGCTGAATCAGTAGCAAAAGCCTTTGTAAATAATTTTATTCTTAGATACGGTATACCAAATGAAATAATTACAGATCAAGGAACGGAATTTCTTAACCAAATCATGTCAGAAATTTGTAACTTATTAGGCATTAAAAAATTGCAATCGACAGCATATCATCATGAAACTATCGGATCCTTAGAAAATACACATAAACATCTTGGTGCTTTTCTCAGAATACAGTGTGAAAATAACAAAGGAAATTGGAGTAGTTGGGTTCCGTATTGGTGTTTTTCGTTTAATACATCTGTCCATACACAAACAAAATATACTCCTTACGAACTAGTATTTGGAAAAAATTGTATTTTACCTAGTAATTTAAATAATTCATTAACTCCATTATATAATTACGATGACTATCCCAAGGAACTTAAGTATAGATTACAAAGAGCATTAAATGATGCGCGAAACAATTTACTGAACCAGAAATTGTGTAGAAAAATAACCTTTGACAAGAATATTTATCCAATCTCTTATAAGAAAGGAGACTTAGTTTTGTTAAAAAATCAACTCGGAGATAAATTAGATAACGTATATAATGGCCCCTATGAGGTGATAGAAGATTTATCACCAAATGTTAGAATATTAAAAAATAATAAAGAGTGTTTAGTACATAAAAATAACACTAAGTTTTTCTATGATGTTACTTAACCCTTATTTAGTTATTGTTTTGATTTTGTATGATATTATTAATATTTAGAAAAAAAAAAAAAATGTTCGATGTGACACATTTTTTTTCCTTTTAGGGAGGGGGTGTAACATACATTTTCAGGGGGCGTGTAATAGTATGAAAATAATTAAATAACAAATTAAACTTTTTATTTTACACAGTGAAACTAAAAGTGGGTCACATCAAATGCTGACATTTAATAATTATAATTTAGGTGTAATTGTGTTAAGTATATGTGTGCGTGTATTAGTATAATGTTGATGACTATATAAATATGGAAATTGATTTGTAATTGGCTCTCTTTTAATAAACCAACGTCAACCTAACAATGTGTTTGGATTTCACCTATAATTAGCAAGCAAGAACCTAATTAAAATAGTAATTTCATGCAAATACTTTCGTATTTTAAATCCGGTTTTATTATAATTATTTACAGTATCAATTAGAAGCGAGGTATGGTGAATATCGTTGTTCATGTGGTCGTTTTTGGACGAGTTCACGCGCGAGAAATGGAATATACCAAATGTGTGAACGCTGTCGGCGACCAGCATATCCCATTAACGTGGTGAGTATATAAATATGATTTTCCGTTTTTAGAAATGCCAAAATTTAAGGAGAACGTTTTTAACGATATATTAAATATTTGACATTACATTTTTACGTATCTTACTAACGCAATCGTATTATGGAGTATCTGCATTTATTCTACTAAGTGACATACGATACAATTCAAGCTAAAATAGAACTGGAATTGTATATCGTATGTCACTTTGTAGAATAGGAAAACCATTAAAAACTGTAGTTTCGTTCGGTTTCGATCCGTTTTCGATTCGATTTAAACAAAATTTATTTAGTAGAATTGGCCCCCTGACGTCCATTAAAATTGTCATTAGTTTAAATCGACATTACCCATACAAATATTACATCCATTAGAACTTTAATGGATGTTTGTGCTCTTAACCGTTATAGGTATTGTAGCCAGTAATTATCACTTTTTACTTACCTACCTACTCAACAGCTTTTGTGTTTTGTTTAGAGACCCTTGCGACCAAGTGACATGAAATCGGCAGACATGGAAAAAAGTGAACACAAGAAAGAACTTTGTCAAATGTGTCAACAACTAGGTGACTGCGGAAGACCACGTAAGGGCACCAGAGCAAAGCGATATTAAGTGGCGTTTAGCCCCGTCCCACGTGTCGAATAAACTTATGAAAACCTGCCTATGACGCCACGCGGAACGGGTTAATTGTAACAGATGCTTTAATTATAGTATAAATGTTTATACTATGATTTAATGGTTTTTTCTTATATTGTGTAAGATTACGCATCTGTAAGTAAAACCTAAAATAGTTGATTGTTCTTCACTGTACACACAGCTCCACGTCAGGTTACCTCACACTATGTCAAATTTCTCCAATTGATTTTGAATTCTACTTACAATGCATTAAGGTGCTGGTTAACTGGAGAAATTTGACGGTTTTGTATAGCATTTCGCGCTGTCGACTGAACATAAGTGTTTTTTTCTTATACATATTTTCTTTATTTTTTATGCTAGATTGCACTCACGAAAGTCAATAAACTTTAGTACAACCAACAACACATCACATTATATATATAAAATATATATATATGCCTATACATTAATCCATAGAACATGATCTAAATAGATTCTTAAAATGTCGACGTTTTGTGGTAATCTGATCTATTGCTGTGTGTACTAAAGCCAATGTCGAAATAAGATTAAAGTCCACATAAGGTTGTTCGTAGGCGTACTACATATTTCTCAAAACGTGGAAGTGTCAAAATTATTATAATTATTTTATTTTGTTATGATTAAACAATAAATATTTGATTTGTAATGCATCCTTTTAGAACATATCTTTTTTTTTTATCTCAAAAACGACCAAAATTATACACAGACACAGCACGCCATGAAAGGTTGCTATAATATGTATTGAAATCGTATTATCAATATTTAACCCAATATTCTCACATATTCAATAAGCCACACTTTAAATGTTTATTTATTAAAATAAGGTTCGCAATAAGTTACCATCACTTACATTGTTGATATGATATTGTTAAGTCGGGTGCAAAAACGGGCTTGTCTTTAAAAAAAAAATTGTAATTTAAAATTATATGAACTAAACAACTAAAGATCCATGAATTAAACTTTCTTTGAATTGGCAAAGCATCACGTACTTTCTTAAAGGGACGTTATAAACAATATTGAACAATACAAGCACATAATAAAATATGGGGAATGCTTACAAAAATCCTGCCCCAGGTACCCTGAGTTGGGACTCGAAACCACGACCTTTCACAGTCCGGGCGACTGCTCTAACCACTGAGCTACCCAAGACCCAACAGGACTGACGAATTCTTCAAGTATAGCAATACTTTTCGCTACTAGTGAGCCTATTTTCGTAATTTCAACGAGGTGGTGGTAACTCCTCTGTATAATAACCTACGTGGATGTAACGTGGAGTAACTCCCCTGTATAATAACCTACGTTGATGTAACGTGGAGTAACTCCCCTGTATAATAACCTACGTTGATGTAACGTGGACACTCACGTTACGACTGGCCCACTAGTTCAAAGTCGCCCAGTAAACTTCGGGACGTGCTATGCTCGGAGTTTGTCTAAAGCAGAGATTAACCTTCTTTTTTATCTTTGCATGCCACCCCGGACCGTCGGCGTGATGAGGTTAAGTATAGGGTTTTTCTCATGTACTTAAAACATAAGATAAATATAGTACTTATTATTTATATATGTTAATATGTATATAAGGGGTATTAAGATTATAAGCCAGGACTTCGTGGGGTGGATAGTTAAGTATACTGAACAACATATACTATGAGTGCAACACTGAATTCACGAAAAAATAATCACCTGTTTAATACTGTCAAAGATTGTAGGATGTAGCGTGACTGTCTGCCGCCCGGGGCGGATGACAATTTTGCTGACTCTCTTATATTTTATATAATTATACTATACATTAGTTTTAAAGAATATTCCGGCAAGTACTGTCATCATTATTTTGCATTATACAGGTTAGATTTTGACTGCACGGTAGGTCGAGTGGTTTAGTTGCCGCCATGCAACTGGCCCACGGATCGAGTGTTGTGGTTCGATCCCAAAATTTTTTTATGTGATTTACAAATAATTCTTCTTAGTCTGGGTGTACTTTGGTCCCTCGCAACAGAGGACTTGTATCCTAAAACGGGCTTGTCTTTTAAAAAATAAAAAGATTTGAAATAAAAAAAATATATGACCTAAACAACTGAAGATCCATTAATAAAACTTTCTTTGAATTGTCAAAGCATCACGAGCTTTCTTAATGGGACGTAATAAACAATATTGAACTTAATATATAATATGTAATTTGGAAGTCATTCTTGCTGATTATAAGTCATAAACAATCCAAGCACAAAATAAATATAGGGAAATCCCGTAAGTCAGTATATCTAGTGTTGCCATTCGCTACAAAATATCATTTAAAGAAAAAGTATTCTCTGAATTCGTCACAGAATTAGTAATGAAAAATTCCGTGCTCTTTTCATTCGGTCCGAATTTATAGTTACATTAAAAATATGAATTGGTTCAAATATTTTAAAAATATATTTTATCGTTTACTGAAGTTTTGCCGGCCCCTAAAAAGTGCACTACACACTACAAGCACTACGCTACGCCACTGATTGTTGATATTACAATTTTTCATACAAAATTGATACAACTCTTTTTTTTTGTGAATTCAGTGTTACTCCCATAGTAAAAGTTGATCGGTATACTTAAGTAATTCACTCCACGAAGTTATGGCATATAATAATATTACATCTTATATAAATAAAATAATCTTAAACTAATTGATTATTTTTGTATAGTACTAATAGTTTTATTAGGTTCCGCAGACACTGGTAAGGAACCACTGCAAAAAAGGATGAAATTTTCAACAAGCTTATCCAACAGAAGACCAAAGTCGTCAATAGACATTCAATCAATATAATTACTTGTGACAAGAATTAAGAAATTTTTGTCACAAACGTCTAGTTTATGGCATAATATTTAAAATAAAAACAAATTTTAATATAAAATTGACAATTTTATTGTGTATTTTTTTTTATCTGAATGAAATTAAAGAAAACAGTTTTTTTTTTAATTTTGGGATGATTGCACTGTATCGAATAGACCATCTTTGATGTCATCCATAAAAAAATAAAAACAAACGAAAATAGAGAAATTTTACCTTACAACTATGTTTTTATAACTAAAATTTAAAAAAGTAACATGTATAACTCAGTCGGAACCGTTAGTGAATACCTCGGTGAAGGCATAAAGAAATCTAGAATCTTCCAATTTAGTCCTTAAATATTCCGCAACTGGGAAGTTGTAATCGTTCCTCCTTTCGGCCAAATACGCGAACAGTGGTAATATAACTCTCGATATGTCTTCTACGTTATCTCCTTGTGCAAAATTACACATGACCGCGATCTTTTCCAATACAACTGACACTTGGACGACATCCAAAGGTTGTTTGAAGAAATTGTACTGTAAAATTTAGAGTACTTAATGCAGAAGAGGGTAGGTTCGTAAAGTAGCTCGGTGGCGTAGTGGATAAGCGCCGCGGCCCGCGATCGTTGTCGTTAAGCAACTTTCGCAAGAGTTGGTCACGGGATGGGTGACCAAAAAATTATTATCTCGAGCTACTCCGTGCTTCGGAAGGCACGTTAAGCCGTTGGTTCCGGCTGTATTTGCAGTCGTTAATACCCTCCAATCCGCATTGGGCCAGCGTGGAGGCTCATGGGCCATCCTCTTTAACCATCCATAGGAAGACCTGAGCTCCCGCAGTGGGGACGTAAAAAGGCTGATAATGATGATGATGATGTTCAGTTTACGTAACGTTATGACTATGGCTATTTTTATTTACATAATGCTTAAGAATGTATTAAAATATTACTTACACGACTTAAAACAAATACAGTTGTATCTAAACCTAGATACAGCTCCGCACTCTTGATTGGTTCACTAGCATACTCTGGCGCTAGTGTACCCAATCATGAATACGAAACGGCACAATTGCAATATCGATAGGTCACAATAGCGTTCGAGAGTAAGGGGACTGGTAATGTTTACATTAGATAGAGATAAAACTAATTATCCTGTAGAGATAAAAAAAGCTTACCCTTATGAGATAAATAAAGCACTGATAGCAATACAGTATACAAGACCAGGTTATCTCAGTGCGGTTACCACGTTCTAACATTGTTATCAGGAATAATGCATCGTGGAATGTTTCCAATTTCTCTGTATCAATGAATACTGTAAGATCGTTCCACATGTTGATCCATTCTTGTTGATAACTTGAGCATAGCGCCTAGAATACAAAAGGATAGATATAATAAATTAATGTTAGATATAATATTCATGGATCAGTAGATATAGTGTGCGCGGAAGTGCTAGTCACCGCCTAGACGGGGGAGGGCGCGATTGACAAGACGCACATGAGGTATTTAAGGACAGATAAATCTCAGAATAACATGTTAGAATCTATCTTAATCAATGTGATGGCGGTATTTATCATGTAATATTTCTCTTTTTCTTAGTTAAACAAAAATAAATTCATATTTGAAAGTGTTTATTAAACCTGCAACCCTGTGCGTGTCAGCATTCAATATAAAAGGAAACAAGAAATAGAAATGGGTAACCCATAATAACTCATTGGTTTACTTAAAATTCTTTGTCTAAACTTATACCGTGTTAACGCCTGAAAGGAGTTAAGGCGAAGTTGTACAAAATTAGCACATTTGAAACGAATTTTATTTTAAGGCTATGCTAATATTTGCCAGATATAAATAATTTTATGAAAATTAAATATATGATCGATCGCTTGCTAAAAACAAAAATAAATAAACTATATACAAACTGGGTTTTAATATATTTTTTTGATCACATTTTTTTAAATATTAATAAAAAGTGCAATATCACAGTGCATCGTTGTGCACACTAAAACAGAAAAATCAATTACCAAAATGTATGTGCGCGAAAAACTTTCGAAGAGCGTTGCCCGCTATCCCGATGTTCAGGAGTCTAAGGACGCGTTCCAATTTGCACTTGACCGGGACGCTATTTGTCTCGAAAAATCGATGATTTTACTAAATCTACCAAAAAGATACCTTTTTATCAGAACTTTTTTTTTAAAGGCGGTGAAAAAACTCGTTTTATTTGTTCCGATTTATGATCCTGAGTCCCAATTTATTTTACCTTCGGTCTCGATTTAAAACATCGCATCTAGGGATATTACTTTTTAATGACTGCACCAAATTGGATGATTCTTTTTTTATCTGGTCCTCATCGTCAATATAAGGTTTGTGTATAAGAAAATGTATAAAAAATATATAGATTTTATCAGAACGAAATTCTTAATTTTCTCAGTTTTTCTGAACATTTATATAGCCCATTTATTAGAGTAGATTATAGAATAAAACATAAATATTTTTTGTACCTAAAAATAAATTATTTAAGTAAAGACGAAAAATAGAATAATGGTAAGAATAACGATATTAACGTGTTTTTCAATAAAAACTGAATAATATAGCGATATTATTTCGTTATTTGCAATTTTGCGAAACTCAATAGTCAGTAAAACCGCCCATGACGTTAACGGTCCTGCAACGATTTTTCATGTTTCGAATCAACTTATCAAAGTCTTGCTGCGGGATATTGTCCCAGGTCCTGGAAAGATGCAAAAAAAGTTGCTCTTCAGTGAAAATGTTTGTAGGTAAATTCCTCAAAACCCTTCTTTGGTGTATGTCCCACGCGTGTTCTATGGGGTTTAGGTCTAGTGATTACGCAGACCAGTCTAAGACCGATATATCGTGCTCCTGCAGCCAGCTGGTGACCACTCGCGCTGTGTAGGGACGAACATTGTCGTGCATAAGCGTGAATTTTTAACCCATTTGTAGTCGATGTAGGTAAACTATTGGTACTAGCACTTGGTTGAGGTATTTTTCAGCGGTCATGGTGTTTCTGATCCAAACGAGGTCTGTTCTTCCATCAACACGAATTCCCGCCCAATCCATAATCGTCCCGCCATGGTATGGATAGACTTCCTAAGGGTGTTGCAGGCGGCTCTCACGATTCTGGTCGTGAGAGTTCGCCATACGCGTACCATAGGAGTACGAAGCGGTCTGCGAGAATGAAGATTAGCTTCATTTCTTCTCCTCACAGTTTTGTAACTCACAAGCAACTGGTGCCCTGACTGGAGGCTTGAACCAACTGCATGGCCCTAACATTTGGTTGCCTTTTCGCAGCAATTTGCAAAAATCTGTCTTGTCGTTGGGTGGTTATGCACTTCCCGCCTAGGTGTCTTTCAGTCAGTTTTAGTTTCAGTTTTAAAACTTTCGATTAACACAAAAAATCTTCAAAAGCTATGGTATGTAAATTGAAAACTTCGAACTTCGCTTGAATTATGCCGCGCAAATCTTTTGTGTGAAATTATTTTTTTTTAATATTCAAATTTGGAATCATTAGAAAAGGCGAACAAAATTAGTTTTCACCAAAACATTTTAACGCAAGCCAGTATTTTTTTTAATTTAGAACTTTATACAAAATATCCCTAGACGATTTTGATGTGTGCATTACACACTGAAAAGTATTTTCGTCTGTTACAACAAGTTTTGAACGCTATATTATTGAATTTTATGGTATAAAAATCCTCATTCTTAAAGATTTTTTTAAATAAACTATCGGGAAACAGAAGCAATGGGCATTAAAAGGGATCTCATATATTTTTTTTTACTAATGCTGCTATTTGCAAAACAAACAAAATTCCGAAAAATGGCGTCAATCAACTCGACGTATTGTATAAACTCCTCCTGCGGTACAATAGGGATGATGACTGGGTAAAAAAAATGCAATTCTATTTAGTCCGTCAGTCATTTAATAGAAAAATATTAGATACGTATTTTTTTTTTACTTCAAATTAACAAGAAATAGCTTAGATAACAGGAATTAAAGTTGAGGAGTGGGGGCTCGCTATGTCACAGTTGAGTAGAAAACATACTCTAACGTGACGTCATGCGAAATTTCAACTCAATGTAACGCCGTAATTTTATGATTACGAAAAAAAAAATACGTGTTTAATATTTTTTAACACTCTACCTGACGGACAAACAAACCAAAATTAGTCATCATCCCTATTAATACATTTTACGACGAATTTAAACATCCGTATACTATACAATATTTTCGCGTCATTTTTATTAAGATCGTTCACTCTCCGTACGTCTACTAGTCTCGCCGAGTATTATATTACTCTCGTATTATCACTTAACGATAAAACGATACCAATATCGATATCTCTTTCAACTCTGTTTCAAACAGTATCAACTGGTTGAAAAATGTCACAAATGTGCCCATTAGCAATCTTATATGATGCAACAATTTGAACACTCACAAGATTGGCCACGTCTGTACTTGTACACTAAAACCAGCCTAAGACTAAGATTGGGTAAATATGGCACAGTTTTCCCAAACTATGGGTAACACATGATAATGAATATTAAGAGATTCCTAATGGGCACTTCGCCAAATATTTATTAATATTTGTTGATGGGTTGGAGCTCAATAACATTGGCAACCGCTGCTCCAGTTTATTGTTCTCACTCTATTTTCAAATTTTTCTAATTCTGTATCTGACAGTGTTAATCAAAGAATAATTCACCTGTGAGAGCCTCGTAGCCAGTTGCACTGTTGACATGCCGTTACTTAGTTCCATACCTGTGATAATTTCCACATAATTATCTCCAGGGTGATTCCATAATTTTCTATAGTAGTACATATTGAGAGGTAGTAGATGTTCTAGTTTAGATTTTAGCCAATCCTTTTCATTATCTGAAAGAAAATTATATCATGTTTTATAGTAAAATGATAGTACAATTTTACGTAATTTGATAAATTTCGCTACGATAGAGCATATTCTCATCAATATTCAGGCATTCCACCCAAACAGCCGAAAGAAATATTTTTACAAATATTTAAACTTTTGATAAAGATGAAAATTTGTTCTAATTATTATATATTGATAATTTAAGCATTCACAATGCTACACTGAGTAATAGAGCATTAATAGCGGGTGAAGAAGATTCATCCTCGGATGCAGAGGCGTTGATTTGCTGCTCCAGTGTCGTCGTGACCACGGCCAGTGCAAGCCGGCCGAAACGTCAGCGCAAGTCAGTGTTAAATCGTGTCTAATACCCGGTATTATAATTATTTAATAATAAAGCAGTTGCACGGATTGCAAAAGCTTGAATCCCATCTCAGGGTGCCAGTGAATTTTTATGCATTTTACATAAATTTTATTTATAATAAAAAAAATCTTCTTACCTGGAATTTCAGTTTCATATGTATTCATAAAAGAAAAATGTAATTCTAAAGCAAGTTGTAAGGTGGGAGGACATATAGTGTTAAAAGTATTAATTTTCCAGCGAACTACGTCTAATATTTGCCCAATCATAGCCAACATGGGTGCTCGGTATTCTATAAGTTCCTCCAAATTATATGCCTCTTTAAGCAATTTACATTGTGTGTTTAATGTGCTGATGTCTCTTACTAATAATGCTCTATGAATTTTAGGCATAATTACTAACAAAAGCAACTTGGTTCCTGTGATACTGTTAAGATTTTTCAGTTCACAAATAAAGTATATAAAATTGTTTTTCTTGGCATCTGAATCTAAATTACACAAAGTATTTAGTGTAATCCTTATTATGCAGGGTTCAGTATCAGAATTATAAAAATGATTTGAATAATTCTCCAATAGCTTCATAGCCTTCAACATTATGTCTGCTTGGTGCTTATTTTCTGTTGCTAAATTGAAAATCTTACTGTACACTTTTTGTGGGTTTTGGATAAATAAACATAAAATATCGGTAAGATCAGCATCTGGTGATACAATAAATTTGTTAAATATCTCTGTCATTGTGTTTATAAAGTCTTCGGTTTCTAATATATCTGTAAAACAATTGTTGCTAAAATAATCTTCTAATATTTCATGTTTTGCATCACAGTTGCATTGTTGAAATAATTTTACAACAAATGATTTTAAGTATTCTTCATTTTCTAAATTCTCTATTAGATAATCTTTTTTACTTTTATAAAGTTCATAAGATTCATTTTCATTTAGAAGATCTATATTGGATGTAATGCAGTTGACAATAGATTCATCTGTGAATACTTCATCTTTTTGTATCAGGGCTTTCAACCATACGTCCTTGTTTTCACAATTACTATTTATGTTGTCAATCATAGTTTGAACACTTGCAGATTTAACTAAATCACTCAGTTCCTGTGGCTTGCATGAGATTTGTTGTAACATATCAACAACAGCATGTTCAGAAATAATAGGTATACTCAAAAGTTTAGTTCGCACTTTATGACAAAATTCCCCAATTTTCCTCTGCATAGTTATACCACTTTGCTCAAATTCACTCCATGCACAATATATATCAAGACTAACACTCATAACTACTTCTTGAAATTTATCCATTAGTGCGACATGACATTTGTTTAAACAATCACGAATCATTTGATTAGAATGATCGCAAATTTTAAATTCAAAATTTCTATTAGGGTTCATTGAGTTCTCATTGTATGTTAACATATAAATATTTACGGTGAGAGGATTTAATGTCTGTGTTGCAGTTAACTGCTCAACACATTCATATACTAAAAACAGCATTGAGTGAAGACGGTTTCCTATATATTTATAACGCTCATCTTCATTCATAGCATTATATAACTCAGGTTTAGGGGGTTGGGTGTAGTAAGTGATACACCTTTGAAAATTATTAAATGTCACAGTTAATTTATCTGACAATATGTTATTGCTTAAGCTGAAGAAAGGAAACCTACTTATAATTCTGTACAAGCCAGAACAGAGAATTTGCAATTTGTTAAGACATTCACTAGGTGAGAAGTATTTGATGCTGTCAATAAAGGCAGATGCTAATTCTAAACCTAAATCTGGATAAGTATAAGCTATCGCCTCATATAAAAACTTTTCAAAATGAAGTTCCCAAAATATTTCACACATTAAGCACTTGGGTATAGTAGGTGTCGTCCCAATAATCAACGCTATTTCCTCCAAATCAGTAATTTCTGTTAATACTGATAGATCAGCATTCAAGATGACGTAAAAAGCAAACTTTCGCACTTTATTCTCATCTAATATTTCATGTGAAGAAATATATCTTCCTTCATGGAGGAATTTGGAAATGTTATCAATAATATATTTGAATTTCTCTTCATTTCCTAAAACAAATATTATAGTGATGATTAGAATAAAACAAATATTTAGTGAAGGAACTTCGAAAAGTTAAAACTTACCGACTTTCGAAGTAAGTCGTGAAAAGGGATGGACGTTGTCAGCAGATATGATAACTCCTTGAAAGGCCAATAGTTGCGGACAGAATTCCATAGTATCAATTCGGACTATAAAAAAGAGATAAAATCATTAAACGCAAACTGAAAATCTTGAATCCTGATTTGTTTTCATAAAATCGGTGTACCCGCTTTTTTTTACCATTCATTCATGTTCATGCCCGTGACATATATAAGGATGCAACAACAAATAAGAAATTGATATATATCGATTCCTAAAACTACCGATATAGAAGAAACGGCGTTTTCGATATTGAAATCGAATAATACCAATGTATTGAAACATAATATCGTATGAAATCCAAAGAGTAAATGAATATCAATCGTCAAAATTTTAACAGGTGATGGCATCTTCAGATGTTATAGTATTGACACGTATGACATTAAATGTCTATTGCGAAAAATCTGATTTTTTTGCTTTGATATCTGTGTAGATTTTTATTTGTGCTTAATTTGAAAATAAAATATTCCCAATTTTTCCCAAATAAGACATTTTGTAATTATGACCAGGAATGTGCCTTACGAAGAGCTTTCTTTAAAAGCAGCACGAATAGCATGACAAGCTCGAGGAATGCTTTGTTTACACTAAATGCCACTTTTCACGGGTCTAGATAATTATTACACTGGAGAAAAGTGACATTTGGGTGTAAACAAAACGCTTACTAGAGAGTCATGCTAAGCGGTCAGGAGAGAGTCGTACTAGAGAGTCATGCTAAGCGTGCAGGAGCCAAAATTACCTGTTACTAACAGGCATCACGAAAGTTGAATGTCCAATTACTGTTCCTAAATTAATAGACAAAACTAATTAATTCGTCGCTCTTTTAAAAATAAATTAAAGATAAAACATATTTTATTTAAAAGATTTATTAATTTTCTTAAGAACTAAAAAATATATCGATATATCGGCTTTGTGAAGTGATATCGACTATAATCGATATTTTAAGAACCTTGCATTTCTTGGCATGTGTAAGGTGCACGATATGAGTAAATACAAATCGATACTTTTCTTTCGATATGTACTTTAGGCATCGATATTTTAGTATGAGGTAGTTCGTATTGACTTGGAGCTCTATTATTGACTTATTCGTCTCGCGTCGACCTCTGGTTTACTTCTAATATCTGTTCGACATAACAAATTGGCTATTTTAATGGGAGCCACTCGTTTAGCGAACGCTGTATGTGAGTGATAGAATTAACGTCAAACCATGAAATTAATAAATGACGTTGATATGAAATAATAAATGACAATGAGGCAGTATTTAAAAAATAACATTAGTTCCCGAAATCAAACTAGATGTCGCTATGGTACGTTCTTGATTTCTCCATGACAACCCTTCCGGTTTTCTTTCATGTTTAAAAGTAAATTAGATTTCAAAATTCAATAAACAACTCATATTCTGTTTGTACTTTTTCGTATTTGTTTTGATATCTAAGTCACGAACTTTTGAAATTTCAGTTTTTCAATATGTTAGTTAAACGGAACGGAGATGACTGTCTTTGGTCCGTACGTTTCCTGGAATAATTAACTTTTGCTAGAGTCGCCATCTAGTGGAAGTGCTTTTTTAGTGCTTCCTTTTATTTATACTTCCTCATAAAGATTCAATTAAGGCTGTTTTATGTGAAGTTGGCAGTATTGTGGTGACGCAAAGTGCCATAAAAGTTAAGAAGAAGAAGAAGTACATTCACACTCTTCTTTGCTAAAGAAAAAAATATTTTCCAAACAATACGAAGAAAAAATACAATTGCAGACGAACGATTTAGAAATATTAAAGTATGGCGTCATGCGACTTAGAAGGCGAGCGTGACTTACATACATCATATGCGGCAAAGAACGAGAATTTTAAACGAGTGAATTAAAAAAAGAGCTCCTGGTCAGTCCTTCGATGAAGAATGTTAAAAAACTCACATGCAAAAGTATTTTAATGTTTCATTGTGTGTCAATGAAATCGTCCCATAGGCGCGGCACTATTGCGTATGACGAAGTGTTGCTATCCCTTACAATTTCATTAACATATGGATATTTCTGGAGGGATTACCGCACTCCCAACTTAATACTGAATCAATATCTAATTTTAAGTATTTTTCCTTTTTATGCCTAGATATGCTCATCTTTCTTCGTTAAATAATCAAATAAGTCATGCAGATTTGATACTTATATGACAGGTAATAGCTGCGATATAATAAGCTGCGATTTTTTTTTCATAATAAGATCCTGTAAACGTTGTATCATAGTGAGTGCAATAAAGTATATTTTTATTATTATTATACTGTAGGTGCCAACGACAATATAACAATACCGCTATTTTCGTTCGATCTTACACCATTCAGTTAAAAATACAGCGTTAAACTCAGTGCTATTACAGGACTCCAGGTAAAACAAAACCTATTTCAAAATTTTATTCTATTGAGCCTCTTATTCTGCAACTGCGCTGTGTATCGTCTAACAAAGGGCTGTCGCTTTAGTATTAGATGATGGATAATAGATATAGCCTGATACAAATACGAGAAAAACGGAAATAATTCAATATTTTTTAAATATTTATTGTCCGTGTTTTTATAAGAATATGAGTTTCCAAATATAATATTAGGAATATTTATGTACTAGCTTTCGCCAGCGGCTTCGTGGACCCTAGGGAAATGTTTAGTGGGATAAAAAGTATCCTATTATCCAAGATGTTCCGATATACACTGGTAGCACTGCGCAGTGGTCTTACTGCTGAAAAATCCGTACCCTAAGGAAATTTATGACGTCATAAATTGCCGCCATATTTGTACTGTGAGCACTGGAGATTTCGAGGTAAGGTGTTCGCAGTGCTTTTGATCATGTGATCAGTCGAAACAGTTGTGAGTATTGGTGCGCGATAGTTCAAACAATAGTTTATTCACTCGGAGTTTATAAACATATGAATTAAGAAGAGTTATAAGATGGATTTAATTGATAAATATTTTTTTTATACAATTTTACAATTTTATAATATTTTCTTTTGAAAAGAGGGAATCTTTATATTTATATTCACCTTGCATTAACAAATTTGAAAATGGCGTCAAAAAATAGGACTGCGTTCCGTTTTAAAAAGTCACCAGTATAACTAGCTATAAAGGAACGGGCTTCCTGTATACTAAATTGACGTCATACTGTTCTCAACTAATATCCTATCTGTAGGTATAATAAATTTCATCAAAATCCGTTCAGTAGTTTCGGCGTGATTGGCCGACAAACATCCAAACAAAGAAACTTTCACATTTATAATATTTCCATGAAATCCTATTAATATTATAAATGTCCTATTAATCCTATAATAGGACATTTATAATATTAATAGGATTTTATGGAAATAACTTAAGTAACAGCGTGAAAATACGAATACTAAAATACTCTATATGCATTTGGCTTATAATGCCATTGAGAAATTAAAAGAATTTTATTTTTTTTACTAATAATCCGAAAGAAAATGGCGATGGATTAATTCATATATTAAAAAGGAAATATATGATACCCTCATAATAAAAAAAAAACCTGTTATGTTTTAATGTTTGATCTCCATACTGAAAGTTGGTATTTGTATCAGGCTAATGATTTCAACACGATTTTGATATGATATGTCAAAAAGGAAAATAGTAATCAGAAAAAAGAGGATCATAGAAGCAGGAGAGCAAAACATTTTATTTTCAAGACAAATAAAAAAAATGTTTTTTTTAAACTGACAATATTATTATAGAGTAATATCAGACGTCTAAGAAGGACGGGCAATGTCCGTACATCACGCACCCAGGTGCTGAGATAGGACTGGCAATTTCTGGCGCTGGTATATCTTTGATACATTAACAACAATGAATGCCAATCGCAGATTACGTATTTTGATAAATAAATCATAATTTGACAAAATTAAAAAGCTTTACTACAATAACTCATGAAGGGATAAGGCAACACATGAAATCGGTAGTTATAGTGAAATAAGAAACATGCCGGAACTATACACCCCTGCTTCTTGAGGTTCTTAAGGATAGGTACTTTTTATTTCAATAGATAGTATATTATATTACCCAAATAATCATAAATTTTTATAATAGATCGGTAAAACGATAACAGTTAAATATGACAGCTGGTAAATAAAATGATAATTATAAAAAAGTCATCGAATTTAACAGTAACATGATAATTAATATTTTGTTACAAAGTATATTCTCGAAAGAACCTTGTTTAACTTCTGTCTTACGCTTTATGTATTATCTATGTGCTACGTAAATGGAGTACAGACGAATAATATAGTACTTGTTTTAAAGTTACATGGTTATAACATTAGTTATTATTGTTACTATGTGATGGCGGCCATCTCAAAAATATTACCACAATAAATTTTGTGGTACTCCTTAATCATTTATTATTTATTTAAGTGTCATTACATAATGAAAGGTACACGAATGTGTAAACAGCGACAGTTGGAATTCATTCTGTTAGCCCAACACACTAGCCCAATACCTTAGTAGAACAATGTCTACACTCGGATTAAGGGATTTCTTAATCCAGGCAAAATAAAAAATGGTAATTAAATAACATTTTATTCGTATCATACCGAAAATAATATGTTTCGTAAGAACATCAGTTATACCAGTCTCTTGTTTTGACGTCATCTATTTTTATATTTTTGTAGGCTTATAAGGTTTCTGATTGCAGTTTTAAAGTCTGGGTTTATTTTTAATGCATTTTTATACATTATCTCGGCCATATCGTATCTTTTCCAGCGATGATAAAGAACGCCTGAAAAAAGATTTATATGATCTATGATATTATGTATAGGTAGTATTCTTTCATAGCTATTATCCTCACATATTGCTAATGCGCCTGGCCGCCATTTTGGTTACGCGATTCGACTACCGTATTTTTGGCAACAAAAGGTCGCGTTGTCCATTATTTATCCAACATTTTCATAGACTATAATTATATTTTTAGAAAGTGTTGCCAGAAACTAACTACATATTACGTGGAACAATTACGATAGATTTTTACTTTACTGCAGTGCCTTACCTAACATAAGTCACAATTGACTTTTATAACAATGGATTAAATATTAAGGTATAATTTAGATTTTTCTTTTAAGAAACCGTACATATAAGAATAACATTTAACAAACTACTCATTTAAAAATAAGCGCTAGATTAGTTTATGGATTACCTAAATTAGCGTAATGTATTGCTTGAACCTTTCTATCGAAGAGTGAAATAGCTTTTAAAAAATGTTTTTCTGCTTCTTCGAATCTGTCCATTTTTCCGTAAATATTGCCCACAGCAAAGTTTATCAAGGGCGAGTTAGGTAGTTCCGATAAAGCGTTCGGTATTAACTGTAAAGCACGATCAAGCTGTTCTAAAATAAAAAATATATATATATTTTCAACATATGAAGTATATGAATTCAACGACAGTAATAAACATAACTTTGTGTTTACAGACCTGTGTTGTCTAATAGAGCGATCATATTCGTCCATGCAAGTTCATGTTTTCTATTAAAATTTATTGCCTTCAACCAATTATCCAAAGCATTTTCCGATTTCTTCATTTCTAAATACTGAAAGGAAAATGAGAAATTAAATAATAGTTATTAGTATTAATATTTATAACAAGGAAATACCGCGAACTGAGTATTTTACCAAGTTTCCTATGTTGTAGTAACAATCTGGATAGTTTTTCCGATATTGTAGGGCAATCTTGTAAGCCTGCTCAGACTCTTTCAAGCGCTTGGTGCTCGCTAGGACGATGCCCAGATTCATCCAAACCGCAGGATAATCTTGTCTGTTACATGATGAATGAATACAAAATATAGGAAAAAAACTAAAACTGATTTCTAATAACATCAGAAAAGAAAAATGGTAGGCGGTAAATAAGTTCAAGAAACCTTTATTAAAGGCGAAGATTTTCTGACCATACTTTTAATATGATTTCAAATGAAGTTAATTGTTTTATAAACCATCTTTCTATTTTGGTCAACCTAAGGTCCTAGGACTCTTATTCCCCTAAGTAGAAATCTAACGGGAATTCGACTTCTGGTAATAGATTTACATAACCATTATACGATCTCCGTAACAGAGTGGTTCGCACACCGGTTTCATGGTGTCACCATCTCCGAGGTTCGATTCCCGGTCAGGTCAATGTAGAAAATGAACTTTTCTATATTGTCTCGTGTCTGGGTGTTGTTACGTTCGTTGTCTCAGATTGTCCACAATACGGTGGCTTTAGCTACTCAACTTGGAGTCTGAGCAATGTATGTGATCTTGTTTAATGTTAATTTATGTATACATTTATTTATTTATATTGGAGGCATAAGCGAGTTGTAAACAAAAGTAATAAAAATTTTTTCTAATCTATCTAATATCTTACTTGTATTTTAAAGCACTTCTCAGATAATATTCCGCATCTTGATATTTCTTCTGATTCTTGAGAAGATTAGCTAAATTGTTCATTGCTTGATAATACTCAGGATATAATCTGAAAATATTTTATAGCGCTTAAAAGTTACGAGTCAAAATTATTATATTTACAATTAATTTATTTATAATATGGAACAGGGAACATGTCCCCTATTATAAGCTGTGAGAAGGTGGTGAGCGTATAGTAGGAAGTTACGATTAAACATTCGTAATTGTAAGGCTCTATCGAGCTGTTGGGAAATAGAAATATATTTTTAAAGCATTTATGGTTATACTCCATTCATTATAACATTAGAAAAAAGAGGGTCATAGAAGCAGCAGAGCAGAACATTTTATTTTCAAGATAAATTTAAAAAATATAAATTATAGTTTTGTTGAAACATTGAAAGTTAGGTAGTCTGAAAGAGCTGGTAAGTAAGGGGGTTTAGCGCGTAATTGTTGTAGGCCACGAGGGGCTTGAAACGACATCATCCATATTTAACAAAACTTAACAACAAAATAAAGCAAAAACATTTTAATCACGGAAAACCTTAAGGCGAATTTTCGGGTGCGGGTCTTGTCTACTATAAGCCATGAAAAGCAGTTGCGATCCATAAATTTTTATTTTAGTAGGAAATAATGTTTAACACCTTTCCCCTTCTCTCACTACATCTACATCCCGTTTGTGATGTCCTACTCTAAAGTCGGTGCAATTCTGACGGAATATCCGTCGAGCGTATCCACCGAAACATGCGTTAGTACGCACTGACGGAAATCTGAGTCCGCAACTCATTTTCCGTCATTTATACATCGACCGAGCATCACGTGATTAATCGACGACCCCCTAAGTAACACCAGCGTTGATATTGTATTACAATAATTTCCATTCAAGTAGGTAATATGGAACATGGTGAACTTTGTTTGCGCAAAACAGACCCATGCGCGATGATGAATGAATGTTTGATTTCAAATTTTAATGAGTTTTGTTTAAATGACCATAAAAAATATAACACAAAGATGTTCAAAAATAGAGCATGTATCGCTCAATAGGTTAGGATATCCCGGTTTTCGAAATTTAGCCTTCTGCATAGTTGCTTCAATAAGCTACATTAGTCATGTGCATGGCATATGGATATGGATTTTGATTCTGACCTTACCTAATAGCTTCCTTGTATGAAGCCAGTGCAACATCAGTTTTATTTCGAGCATCAGATACTTTTGCTATATTGTAATGAATTTTAGCATTTAATGGACACACAAGCATTCCATTCACAAATAACTGATATTCACTTTGCCAGTCATATGACCTTTGCCAGCTTCTTAATCCATAAATTAATAGCAAAATTATATATGCAATAAGTCCCAGCTGGAACAGAATGAAAATTCATTACACAAATATGAATTATAATAAATTTAAAGTATAATTAAACCTTTATAATGTGGATGTAACACTTATTGTAATAATACATACTTTGTATTTGTTGAATCTTGTGATAATCTTATTTAATCCAAAAGATATCATCAAGCAGTACCCAGCAGATGGAATATATAAGACTCTTTCAGCTATGACAAAACCAACTGGATAAAATATGTTTGCAGCAGGTAAAAACGGTAGTATGATTAATGCCACACTGAGTAAAAGTATTCTGAAAAAAAGAAAGTTAAAACTGTCTGAATTATAATCAAATAGTGTTGTAGTAGTCAACATACCAAGGGGTTAAACAAAACTGTAGAATTTCTCCACTTGATTTTTAATCTTAATGAATTGAGGATAAAATTCAAGTTCAATAGGAATGATGACTAGGTATAAAAAAATGAACCTGAGCTGGTGCTGTGTATATAGAAACTATATATCAAAGAGAATGTAAAGAACTACATATAATAAGCAGAAAAATAGAGTTTTAAATCATACTACTTAAAAACTTATATTAAGAGGCTGAGAAAATCAGAGGTTTATATAATAAAAATGTTTCTGTATTTTTTTTCTTTATTTTGATATGTTTTTTTAATCATCTACAAGCACAGCAGCTACCATATGTAACTAAAAATATACTGTATCGGTAAAATATGTTTCTCACAGAAATCAAGCCAGCATTGTATAGATCACATTGTAGTGTTGAATCATGTCCAAGGGTATTTTTAACATTATTAAATTTATTTGAAGATAAAAAATTGAATAGGTGAATACAAATTTTATCAAACATAATAAATATTTATAAAAAATTAGCAATGTAATTGTAAAATTCATCATAACATTATTTTATTGCTATTCTATAAATGAAGCGCAAATCTTGATTATAATGAAATTACCTTTTTGTAAATTTTTTGTTTTGTTTACAAAAAATTGCTCTTATAATGAATATTCCATACAAATACATCAACAATGGACACAATATTCTGTGATCTAGGAATTTTTGGATCAGTGGTACACATCCCATGGACCAGTCATAACATAGCCATTGTGGCCAAACAAACAGCAATGAATTTAAAAAGTGTATGTAACTGTGTGTTACTACCTGAAATAAATGAGTATATAATTAATATTCTTCCAAAAAGTTTAAAGCTCCATCATATGAAGTATTAGAAAAATTAATTATATTTCTGATTTACCTTTGTGAAGGAATCTGCAAAAGCTGCTGGATTATCAGTCGCTTTAAATTCAGGTTTTGTGCCACCCATGATGGCCCACCTTCCATATAACAGGAAAACTATTGATAACATGAGTATAGTTATTCTCTTCATATTAATTTTATTGCAGAATTTGTAAATTTGAGTCTCTTTTTTATTTTTAATATTATGAATCATATCATAAAATAAACAAAATCCCTATTAAAGTAAAACAATTGTCATTTTAAAAAGAATAGAAATACTTAATTTAATATCTAAATGTGTTATTTCTTACCAATACTGTGACTCCATTCTCTTTAAATAACATAGAGACAGCAGATAAAATTATAGTAACAACCATAAACAGGCTACTATGCTTTTGGCTGTTAATTGCTTTATCATAACATATAAAAGCTAAGAAAAACGTAGTACCACAGAGTAAATCTGCTCTCCCAACTATACCACTGATAGCTTCTATGTGTATAGGATGAACAGCAAATAATAATGCACCAAAATAACTAATATCGATCTTGTGTTTTTTTAAGTGTTGAATATTTACAACTATTTTATAAGTGAACCAAACCAATACAGTACTCAAGATATGACAAAACAAATTCGTTGTTTTGAATGACAATGCTGATAGTTGTCTGTTGTTCATAATATAGTTCAACCTGAAAAAAATGTTGTTGGTTGAGTACTATATTTTATTAGCAGTAAAACTTAAGCCATTAATTATTAATAAATATAATAAAAGCAAAGGTTTTGAAGTAAAGTATTTACGAAAATAGTAGTGTTTGCAATAAATCCAGCGTTAATAATAAACTAACCTGAATGTCAATATTGTGAAGGGTCTATAAGATTTGTGGCTAAGATTACTTTTTATATTAGTCCCCCAGAAGTCATTGTAGAAGCAATCGGTCCAAGATTCAGAGGAAACATCTTTATTTTTAACGATCGCTTCTGTGTCATCGAAGACAAAGTCACCACGTAAAGTGAAAATATATGGAAAAGATGACAGAAATAATAGACCTGCCCATTTATATAAAGTGCTGGCCATTGTTAAACACTATATATTTTTGAGATTTCCTGTAACCAGGTCGTTTTTTTTCAGATTCATTGATGAACCAGTTTTGTTTTAATAACATTTCATTCACCCACAACAAACACTGTGACCAAATGACACTCCATATGTGAAAACATCAAAACAACACAGCCTAAGATTCGTCTGTGTGTGTGCACCATAGACATTTTTTTTTGGTTCATTTTTCCCATTTTTACAGGGGAAGGGGAAGGCAAAGGGTGTTTAGCTCATACAGCCTGTGCACCATAAACAATACATAATACTGGTAGAATGCACTAGCATTATTTTACTTAAAAAATAGGAATAGTCGAATAGCTTAGTCGATTGATTGACAATTGATGTTTTTCGATTGTTGTTAACAACTAAACCTTGCGGCGGCAGCAAGCGGCTATGACACGCTGCGTTTACCGTAATTACTTATTCGATTATTGTCTAGCGCAGTGCCATATTACTATACCCGTGCGTACTACTTATGGTGCGGTGCGGCGCCGCGTGCGCTGCGCTCGACTGCAGTTATTATGTGATTGGCGCTAATACGTCATTTAGTTATCTATTTAGAAGTCAATCCACTGATTTGTATTATGTTAATTCTCTTTCTTGTTATGAGTAATAATATAAATATGTATCTACTAATGCAGCGCAGCGCACACCCGCCGCACCGCATACCGCGTACGCATGGGTAATAATAAAGTAATGAAGAAGTATTTAAAATAAAGAAAGCACAAAAACAGCACCTCCACGAGATGGCGGCTCTAGCAAAAGTTGATTTTTGGAGGAAACGAATGGACCACAGTCATTTCCGTTCCATATTCAACTCATATTCTGTTTGTTCTTTCATATCCTATTTCTTTTTTTTAACTTTCATATTACATGATAAAACCATAAAAATCTGTTATAATCGCATATTATAAAGATAATTTATCAAGAAATCCGTTTAGTTTTTGAATACACATAACTTTCTTTAGTAATAGACTATACAAAATATGCATAACGTAATCCGCGGCCAAAATTCGTTTTTACCTACATATTACAAATAAAAAATAATAACATTCATACACGCTTACAAAGGTAATTTATCGAGGAATAATGTTCAGCATATAATATTCGATTTTCATTATGTTTATTTCGTAAAGAAAGACATCAAATGAGAAACATATAATCAATAAATGTCGTTAGTGCATTGTAATAGAGTTCATTCTCGGTTACCGTTTCGCGTTTTCGTGGATTAGAATAACGTTGAACAAAATTGCTATTTACTGGTGACAGATCGGTATAAGGGCGCTTGTGCACTACACTGAATTTTCAGGACTGGCGGTCCGATCTTTTCCGGTCCGATATGTCAGACCATATATAGGTAATGGCTAGCCTGTGCACTGTCAGGAATTTTACCGTCCGGGATTTTACTTTTCTCTATTCCGGACCGGTATTTTCAGGTCCGTGATGGCGGCAATGAAAACGTGTTTACGCTTGTGCACTGCTGTGTCCGCGATCCGGAAAATTATCCGAACAATCGATATGTGTAAAATTGATATTTATTTCGGCGATATTGTTAATTTCCAATAAACTTGTAATCGATATTTATTGTAGATAATAAAATGCTATATTTTATATGATGATTTAATATAGTTGGTAAATAACGATGTGTCAGGTGCTTGTTAAAAAGAAACGCACAATGGTTCAGTGAATTTTGTGAAGTGCCTGGGCTTGTGTTGGAGGGAGTATCATTACTAGAGCTCCCTCCAACAGACGGATAAATCTCTTGTGTTTATTAAAATCAGATACAATGGAAGTACAACATATACAAATAAAGTAGGCAAAGCTCTTGCCTTATGGAAATCAGAAACAACGTAGTAGTAAAGCGGTACATTGGCTTAATGGAAATTGTCTTTATTTTAACGAAGGGAAATAAAACTCTTAAAACTGAACTGTCGTCTCGCTTACTCCTTCCTAGGAAGCAGGATAGCAACGCCCAAGTGCGCTCATACTGTCACATTGGTAACAATTTTAGTTCAGAATAGCTTTGTCTAGTGGAGAAGAAGTCTTTGGTTTGTAGTGGATGTACCCTTTGGAAATTACTTAATATTATTTGATGTAGAAATCAACAAAAAAAAAACACATTTTTTTTTTTACATAAAAATAGAGTATACAAAATTGGGCGTTATTGCTACCTCTTTCAGGTAACTTAAGCGTCATTATTAATAATACCTCTGTACGATGCACATTTTGTGCTGTTCGCAGCGCCTTCATGGTTGCCGCGGCTTTTTATTATGACGAGTAAGCATTTATGTATACTGTCGCATTGTATTAATATTGTAACCATTCGACTCGGTTGTATCATTTTCGTCTCCTTATACTATTTCCTCAGAACATCTTCATCATTCTATCAGCTATCAATCCTATAAATTACCATTGTTATCAGTTATAAATTAAATGTGTAGGGTTACTCCCTACAACTTCATCTTGTACACACTGTTATAAATAAAAGGCATATACAGTTGTATTTTAGTTTATTAATGCGACATGGAAGTAACAGTGAAGTTCGTAGTAAGAGGCTGTAGGGTATGTTTGATGTCGAGTGCAGTTCTTGGATCCCGAAGGGCGGCGGCAGCATGTGCCAACTGTAACGCGCACTCTGGAGGAGCAGTGGATGGCAGTGATGCGCACTCGCGTTCTAAGGCGCTGCCGACACAAGTGAGCAATTCTGAGAACCCGAGTGAAATAGCAGCTCGTCGAAGACGATTCAACTCCTGAAACATATCACGTTAACCAAATTATATATTATTATTAGCCATATTTGTAAATTAGTGAAGTAAATGTACCATATCAGACAAATCCCAGCTCTCTGATGTGCAGGAAATTGTGTAATTTTGTTTGAATAATACTTCCAACGAAAATCTAAAGCGTGCGACGTCACTATGTATCAGCTGTCAGTGTCATCATTAAAACTATGTGAGTCATATTCATGAGTCTACATCATAACATTTAAAATACGGGTGTAAACAGTAAACGAAAATAAAGACAGGTTTTTTCTATTGTTTACTATTATTTACACTTTGAGGTTTAGTATTTTTATTAATATGAATTGCTTAAATTATTTATAAAATAACAAATATTTTATATTCGCTGTCAAGAGACTGCAAACAGAGCGTGACGTCACAACCCTCTACTCATACCAGATCTTATCAGTTTTGATAAGATCTGGTATGAGTTCTGGTATGAGAGGGGCGTGACGTCATAGCGACGTCGTGACAGAAGCGGCGTTTTCGCGTGAAATTTTGAAAAGGAAATTTATTTCAGATTGCAACTTATATGAATGATACTTTTATAAAAAATATTAAAAGTCGTCTACATCGCTATTAAAAATAAATTTAATTGTGAACTCCGTAAGTTATAAAACTTTGTTAATTAGAACCTAAAAACATGTTAATAAATATTCCTAATAAGGCGCTGTCTCGCTCGTGAATGCGAGAGAATCGCGATGAGTTCGCACATCTATCGTCGTGTAATCTCCACGAATGAGCGATTATTCTGCCAGCGTATCGTCACGACTCGTAACGGAATCGCAGCGTATCCGCGACGACTTGTGACGGAATCGCAGGGTATCCGCGACGAGTCTCAACAGCACTTTGACGATGCGTTGTTCTTTTTTTTTGTTGGAAGAATTCAGTTAGGTGCCAGACGAGAGCAAAAAAAGTAGCGTCTCAGAAAATAAAACATCGTATAGGGCAGGTGTTTCTCTTACTTCAAGCATAAACTTTTCGATGTCCAATATTGTAGGTATGTTTTGTTTATAAATAAAGCTTGTCGATAGATTAAATCACATCCTTGCTCGGTGAGAGGTAACGCCGAAATGACGCTACGTTTAAAACGCGCCCGCCGCGCGCTCGTAGCGAGGGCGTCACGATCTGCGGCGGGCGCGCGGCGTGAGCGCCACCAGTAGCGACGATACCGCAACGATACGACGACATTACGCACGCACATTGCCAATCGTCGTATCACGGACATTAACGCATGGTCGATTTAACGCCAAATTAAAAATGAAATAAATATTTTTAAATCGCGAAACAATTTTTTACTTAGACATGTCTATACTTTAAAATCATTTAGAAAAATTAACCAATAACACAGTTACTGTAATCGTTTTTCTTATATTATAGTTGTTAGTTTGAAGAGATCTTGCCTTATATAAATGTTGTGTCTTGTCTGGCAGCTTCCTTGCATGGCGGAGCACCTTTTGAACGTCGGCGAGAAGAGCATGTGGTCTTGCCCAGGCGCAACCTGAACCGCCGCCACTATAAGACCGCCACGAGCGGATAGGAAACGTTTCTGTGAAGATAAATAGTACTTAATACATCTGAAATTTTGCTCTTTGTTTATCATCAATCTAATGTCCCAATTACACGTGCCCAATAAAACTTCATATCGGACTCGTTAGCAACAATCTAACTGATCTAGTGGCAAAACTAACTACTACCTACTGAATGGTCAAATAAATAACTAAAATATAAATCAATAGTAGATACATAAACAGTAATACAGAACTACATAATAAATAAGTAATGCCTGGGTTAAAGTTGAATAAATGATAGATTATCTTGATATGATTAGATTTTTATTTTTTACTTGTATCTCACAATAATCATATCCTGTGTCACAGAGTATGTCAACGCTACTTAACCATAGATTATAACACAATGCCCAATATAGATTTATTGAACCAAACCTTAAAAAGTGTACCTCTAGAATTTATCATAATTAAACTCTTTATTAACCACAGCTATTCTATAAAACTGCTTTACCAGTTGAGGTAGTGTCATCAGATGGCCCCAGTTGGTCTAAAGGACCGAGCCAAGGTGCGGCCGACACCCCAGGCCTGAGGACGCTCAGTAACAGACAAGACCGACGCGCTCTTGACGCTTCACACCATGCCGATAGTGTACCCCACCAGTCTGCCCCTAGTTGAACAATGGCTGACATACTTTCAACCTGCGGATAGAGTGGCAGATGTGCAAATACTATATTTAAACATGCGACACGAACAGCAAACTGGCAAAGCCAAAATTGATCTTCAGAGCAGAGTAACTTTTTGTGTATTTCAATAAAAAAATCTTATCAACGTCTATGGTATCCCTTATTCGATAAATACGGATATAAGTTATTTTTTAATAAAATGTTATTCCGCCCTGATAAACAGTGGATTTGCTGATTACTAAACTGACATTGTTTTTTCTTTTTATTGCTATGTTTAACTTGCTGGTGTGTTGGATGTTTTAGTCTGTAAGTCGGCATGTAACTAAATAAATAAATACTACGTGTTTTATTTCCAGCGTTGATATATGTACATATGGTTTATAATTAATAAACGAAGAACGAGTCTATGAATGAATAGATGACACTCAAATGTACAATAACAGCACGTCAGGCTACAAAACTGTCTTTCTACACTTCACTTTAATAGCCTGTAGGTAGAGTTCAAAGTTAATTGACGAAACATGACTTATTGTAGTAAACGACGTGCAGACATGTCTACGTACTTTTTTATATTTGCTACTAGCCTTCCGCCAGCGGCTTCGCCCACGTGATCTAGTTTAAAGTACAGAAATGAGATAATTTTATAAAAAATTTCATCCCCTAATTTACCCCCTAAGAGTTGAATTTCATAAAAGCCCGTCTTAGTGAGCACCTACGTCCTAAAAAGATATGGATTTAGAAACTTTAAAAAAGTGATAAATAATACTTATCTCAAAAGGGACTTATTCAAGAAAATGCTATTGAAGTCGGGCTCCTCTCATTTAATTAAAAACGGAACAACGGATTAGTTTGATTATTTAATATGGAGATAGTTAAAGGGTTATAGGCTACTTTTGCCTCTTTCTATTCCCCCATCTCCCTAAAACAGAGGTTGGAAGTTTGTATGAAGCATTCCGCGATTATCAAGGCAGTAAGTTAAAACTAGTTCTGCGGCCTCTTTACAGCGATACGTGTATCAATTTTTTTTGGAAATCTGGCCCCATGACGCGATCGAAGCCACGGTCAAAAGCTATCCTAAAATTTGGCTTAAAGAATTTAAGAACTACAATCCACTTTACAAGTTCATTTCCAATACTACACTCGAGATTTTAATATTATTAAACACTCCTTTGGACATAATGTATGGCTTAAAAAGAGGTAAATGAGGAAGTATTAAAAAAACATTAGTTCCTGATATCAAACTAGATGTCGCTACGGTACGTTCTTGATTTCTCCATGACAACCCTTCCGGTTTTCTTTATATGTTTAAAAGTAAATTTGTTTTCAAAACTCAATAAACAACTCATATTCTATTTGTACTTTTTCATATTTGTATTAATATCTAAGTTTCGAACTTTTAAATTTCAGATTTTTTAATATCTTAGTTTAAAGGAACGGAAATGACTGTCTTTGCTCCATTCATTTCCTGCAAAAATCAAGTTTTGCTAGAGTCGCCATCTAGTGAAGGTGCTTATTTAGTGCTTTCGTTTTTTTAAATACATCCTCATTCAGAGCCTTTAATCTCAATAAAAAAGGCAGTTCAAGATAATGATAATGATACTAAAGGAAACATTCTCACTTTCAAAGCTCCATGTAGTAATACACAAAAGTTGGGCACTTTACTAGGATCAGACATATCTTCTTCAGCAGCTGAGCTGTCTGTGCTAGAACCTTCCTAGAAAATAAATTGATAATAAAGGATAATTGTAGAAACATATATTATAATACTATTGATGGCATTTGGCAGTTATTGTGTACCTTTGTTGGTGTTTTGGACCCATAGTTCTCTCTGTTCGTATTATTTCCACCTACTTGTGCTTGAGGTATTACTAAATGCTTACTGATCGCTATAGGTGTACCTGTATGGAAAATTACTTATTTTTATTATACAGTGATCTTTCGAGTAATGAGGTCTATTAAACAAAAAAATAGGGACAAGATATAAATTACGTCACACAGATTACATGTTTTTTACCTCTTTTTAAAGAATCGTTTAAGAGATTAGATTATTACCTAAACTATCGTACATTCTGTAGGGTAATATTCAATAGTTTATTTGGTTATTGCTAGTGTTCCATACAAACCGATTTTTGGATTTATATGGAAATAAAATTCATTTCAGAGCTACTGTTTTAATTTCATAATTTCTTAGTGACAAATGTGTGAAAAAATCGGCTAAAAATCATGATATATGTGTGAAATAGTTTTTAGAAGGCCCTTTACTACATAATATGGAAAATAACATAGTCACCTAGATCTTGTTGGCTGATGAAGCCCACAATATGCAATTGGTGTGTAAGGGTATGTGTTGTAGCCAGGCCTTCATGAGCTATAGATTGTGGGGCTGGGAATAATTGCACTCTTGCTTCCAATTGTCCACATTTGAGTGAGCACCAAAATTCTTGATAGTGTTGTTCACAAAGTCTGTTCATAGAAGCTATCACCTAGGCAAAGAGTTTAGTAAATAACAGCAAATGATAAGTTCAAAATTAATTAATCTGATGAGTTGCTCTTTACTGTGTTGAGATAATATGAATAGAAAAATATAAATAATATGAATAGTCACATAAGTGACTTTTTTACTTACTGCTGGAACAGTGAGTTGATCTGGACAGAAAATAGATCCTCGAGATATAGTTCCATTAGAATTATTTGAAGGGTTCACAGCTAGATCTACTATTTTTTGATAAAGTGGCATAGCTGTAAGATGCATAAAATTTATTCGGTTGAATTCAATAGGTATACTTTTTCTATTAGAAAGCTTGTTGTTCATACAAGCACATCAGGTTATATAAAATAGTAAATTAGTTATTTTTCCATTTTCTTGTAAATAAACCTTAATGTGTTGAAGTTAAGAGTTCAAAATTGAATTTGAATATTTGACATATAGTCTAAATTGATGTGCCGCTTCTGTAAACATTATTTCAATCTTTGGGCAATATGGTAAAAACCACAATTTCTAATTATAATGTAATGATTTGACATTTATCCATTTTTTATCTACGATCAATATTATGTTTTCAATATGTGTTTTGAGAGTAGGCATTTAATTTATTTGCTCATAATGTTTTAATTTATTTGCACATAATAACAACTGTATTATACTGAATTAGTTTTTGATAAGATATATTATACTGTTAAAAAGAAAATAAACCATGAAAACAAGAAAATGTATTGGCACTTAGCAATGGAAGATTAAGTGAATAATTGGTCTGAAAAAAATTGACCATGAATTTTATTAACTACTTTCAAAAATACTGACTTCTATGCTTTTACTGACTTCTTTTGGCTCCTGTGAATATGAATGTAAATTTTTAGAAATTTTTCATTTATTACCATGTTGCAGGCATGTATCCGCTGGTGATACAATGGGAAGCACATGTATTTTTGCTGGATATGATGGTGGAAGTGGCAATGTTTGAATTATGCGATTTCTGCCAATAGGACCAGTTCCACAGTTGCCATCTGTAATCTAAAAAAGTATGCATGTTGTCACCACAGAAAAAAATTGTTAAAAGACCTTTCAGATAGGTAATGAAGTAAATTACTGACAAGATTGAAAAGTGTTATCTTGGCATAACTTATGTTAATGATGGAATAGTATATGTATAGTCTGTATGTATTTATTTCAATTACTATGATAATGAACTTATTGCTCAAACCTATAAGTATTTTTTAGGCACTTTAAGTTTTGTACTAAATTTACTGGTTGACTGGTAGAGAATGTCTCTTTGGCATTAAGTGGCGGACTTGTCTATTTTACCAGGCAATTAAGATTAAATAAATATACAACTTAGTGGGTTAGAATTAGGTTCATTTGATAGGGGAAGTTAATATGGTTAAGTCTTACCCTGGTAGTGAGATAGAAATGTAAAAGTTGATATGTGATAATACATTACCAGTATGATTTGCACAGGTGTCTGTGATCCCCATTCATTTAGTATTATATGGTTTACACCCATAAATGCAGTTTCTATGCATGTTTTGTCACCTTCTTCAAGTTGTGTCAATTTATTCTTAATGATATCAAAATCTCGAGTGAAAGGAACAGATACTGAAAACAAGAAAGAATATAAAAGCAGAATGAATGACCAATCATCATCATCAACATCATCAGCTGTTAGACACTCACTGCCGAGCGTAGGCCTCCCCCATAGATCTCTACAACGTTCGGTCCTGCGCTGACCACATACAGCGACTTCCCGCAACCGTTTATCCATTTGTATGAGGGGAAAGTGCCACAATCGAGGCCGGAACACACGGCGAAATGACCAATGTATATAATTAGTTTGCATGAATTAATACCTACCTTCATACATAGATGAGAAACATACTAGTGCCACATATTCTAGTTTCGCATGAATACTGAGAAAATCTAAAAATGTATTTATAGCAGTCGCCGCAATGGAGAGCCGGGTGTGATTTTCTGAAGAGTCCGAAGATGGAATTGGCCGGGTCATAGAAAGAGACACATCCAATAATAATACTGTCGGCATTTCGAAAGTTTCTGTAGATGTTTTGAAATTATATTATTTTTAAAATAAAGTTCTTTGTTAATAAAAACACAAACAAGTCTCTTGCGGTCCTGTCATTATTGACAGTGATGAATATTTTGACATTGACAAATGAAGAATTATTTTTTTATATCAACAAAGACATCAAACTTGCACAGCCTAAACAGAAGCATTTTTTTTTCTTGTTTCTCCCGTGCTTTTGTTTTCCCTGCATATTGAAATAATAAAGACCGTACATACCTATTATAATTTCTATATATACAGTGACGAATTAAACCAGAGCGGGGCCTGTAGCAAATTCCAACACAGAAAAAAAAGTCGTCTTTTGCTTTCCGCATAACGCAGTTGAGTTTTATTTGTCAGTTTGTGTTCATACTTATAATATGAGTTTAATCAGAAAATGGCTTATTTTATTACTTGCATTTTTAACACTGACTTGAAAAATAATTTATTGGCTCTGAACCATAGGAATCCAATTGCGCGGGGGCCCCAAAACTACAGTAGAATTCATTTATTATGACTCCGTCTATATTGAACAAATCGCCAAGCACTTAATATGACGTAGTTATAGGACTAAGTTTGGTTTTCGTATAGGTATTTGTTTTGTTAAACGCCCGTCATAATAACTACTAGCAGGCAGGTAAATATTTGATTTGGCTAATTTTACACGATTGCTCAAAAAATAAATGTTAGGGCTAACAATGTTTTTTTTTTTCTTTAATTAATGCAATATGGTTCAAATTGAAAGTTTCGGCAAGTTTTATTTATATTTTAGCCATCTAGATTTAAACAATGATCTCATCATTTTTACTTTAATCGTATTAATGGATTAAAAAATATTTTGAAAAGTTGTAGATCGTTTACATATTTATTTGATGGAAGTGAAATATATAAATGTAATAAACAATCATGGAAGAAGAAAAAGTTAATAATAAAATCGTAGAAGATCAACGGCAAACAGAGCACGATTTCAAATTTAATTTCATTAACATGCCTTGGGATGATAGAAGTAAAAAAAGTAAAGTTGCTATAATTAGCCTCTTGGTTGCGATATTCGTAGCTACAATGGCTATTATTGTTCATAATCTCTATATGCATTATATGAAGACGTCGTCAGGACGAAGAGGTATTGATGATGAGATCAAATGCCAGTTGGTGAAATTAGACCAGTACAAATTTGTTGCACGAATACATTCAGTAAAGACACAGGAGTTGCTTTGTGTTGGTGCAGTGATTAGTCACACATCTGTGCTTGCCAATGGTATATGTGTTAAATCTGGGCCTGTACGTCTACGCTTAGGAAGCAATTTAAAGTAAGTAAGAGATGAATCTATAATAACAGAGTAAATAAAAGTACATTTTACAAGTGTCGTTGACTAGCAAAAATGGACATAGGACTAGAAATGGACCCAGGGCCTGCTTGTCCATATAGGCAATTTAGGCAACTGCCTAGGGCTACAGGGGCAAAATTTTTTACCCTCCATTTAGCTATTTCAACTAATTTTGATACAGGGTCCCTTGCTGTGGCACGCTACGCCACTGTTGATGGATGAGACCGGGGCCTAGTAAACGGGATACTTACTCATCCCTCCAATGAAATAATAATACCTAACTCTATTAGCACGGACTTTGTAGGTACTAGTGGTAGTACCTACAAAATACTAGTGATTAGTGATTTGTAATATATATAATATATACCTACAGATATTTATCAATCTTTGAAACGCCATCAGATACAAAGAGACTGCCTGTTTATTATATGCCATCGGAAGTTATTAACTATCAATTGTCAAAAAACCCCCTTAATTTCACTTATAGATTCCGTCTCTACCAATAGAAATTAGATACCAGATCAATCAAAATTATCTGTTTTTCACAGCCCTCTGTGCAAAAAAGGATTCACCGTAGATTCAATAGAGCCTATACAGCACGATGGTACAATCTCAAAATATTTAGTTCTCATAATTACCGCCGATTCAATGTCAAATTGTGGTCAAGTAATAAATATTGGCAGTCAGTTGGATAAAGCTAGTCCAGGATACATAATTGGAAGACCATTGTCCAGTGGCAAGATGCTGTCTCGCCAACCGGCTAAGATAATTGACATCGACATAAAATCACCCGGTGTGCGATTAACTTTACAGAAAACGATTTGTGTCTCCGATTTAGCAAAGTGTCCCGTGAAGGCAGGAGATCTGCTTATTCAGAACGGTTTTGTCTATGGTTTGGCATCGACCAGTACACACATCACGGAACCTAGTAAAGTAGCTTGCTTCGCTGATCTTCAGATTATTAGTAGTGAATTGAAGATATAATTAAAGCCTTTTTGACGATAAACATCTATAAATTGTATTCACCTACCGTCGGCGGCGAATTTGAGGCATAGAGGTGAACAGAGTTTTGACAAAATCGCGTCAAAGTCAAAAATTAAAAAAGTTATAAAAATTTAAATCATTTTCCGTGTTTAAATAGGCTTAGATAATAAAAAAATGCTAAAAGCAATATACAAAGAAATGAACTTGTGATCCATAAGTCTGCTGCCCCGGGATATGGCCCTTTTGGCCTTAGAGTAAAAATTATCATGTCTATAATCGAAAACAATACTTTACATTTAACTTTAAACATTATTCGTCAAACTTTGATATTTGTATTTTTTCTAATTCATATTATTCAATATCAAAGGAGATCGATGGCGCAAAAGTTAGCTTATTAGATTTATTTCGTAACTTCCGTAATGACCTGTAAATATTGATGGTTATAATTTACTTTGAAACAGAGGTAGAAGCTGACACTGACTCTAATGCACATATAATCTTCACGGATATTTACAAAATTTTATGAATGTTTCCAAATAATATTCGTTCGAAGAGAAATAGAACAAACCCTCAGGTTGTGATGTCTAATTATGGAATAGTCAAGAAAACTGAATCAAAGTTAAAGTCAAGTCAAAGTCAAAATAATCTTTATTCAAATAGACTTCTTAAAAGTACTTTTAAATCATCTAAAAAAATTTTCCTACCACTCGTCTAGTACGTCTTTTGGCTGATAAGAAGAACGAGCAAGAAACTCACCAGGTCTAATAGGAGAAATGACATTCACATATACCATGTCATTACCAGCTCAATACATAATAAATAGAGGTAAAAAATGAAGAATTGGTAAATACGTACTGTTTTATTTGTTAATTTAGCCCCACGTGCTATCAATCATGGTGCTTATGTTTTCTGCGACACATATGCCCCGGTACACTAACCACACCGAGGTCTACTTCTTCTGGGGAAGTGAATCCCTTCCAGTCCGTGGTACCCAGGTATATGGCTAGAACTAAGAAGCATGCCACCATGGTATATAAGTAAAGGTTGTTCCCCAAGAACTTTTTAAGATTTCCTTGGCCTATTGTTACTTTGTAGGATGATATTTTGCGTGCCATTTTCAAAACGATATCTTGAGATCTGAAACATGTGTCAGAGTTAGATAGGTTCGAATGAAGGTTATGAATTCGCTATTTGCCTTTATTGTTTTTATTAGGAATATGCCCTCTGCCAGCAGCTTCACCTACGTGGTCTAGTTTTCATACTTCTAAGTTCAGAAATGAGACAATTTCATATAAATATCAACCCCTTGGGGATGGAGTAGCGGGATGCGACTTTGATTTGTATAAGCTATGTATAGATTCGAAATCGGATTTTATTTAAAAAACAATTTTTACATGAATGATTGAATTCATGAATAAATACTTTCCTTGCACACCATAATTAAACAAAAGGATAATTGATACAATTTAGTGGTACAATCGGCGGCCTTATCGCCAAAAAGCAATTTCTTCCAGGCAGCTGCATGTTAACTTAAGTAAATAGGCAGTAGATGGTGTCTTACAGTGCGAGAAAAACATGTTTTCATACATAAACATACATTCATACATGCTCATACATAAATAAACAAACATACATAAAATATACAATAATAAATATAATAGAACCTAAACAAAATATACGAATAGAACAGAAAAGGATGAAAACGATAGCATATCATACTTAAAGTAATAAATACGAGTAATATTCTTTTAAGATATTTTTAAAGCAGTTTTGTGATGGAACGCGCATTATTTCTTCCGGCAATGCATTCCACAAGCGAGCAGCCTAAACTGTGAATAATTTATCAAGGCATTTTGTGGAATGCATCGGCATCTGCAATTTTGAGTTCTCTAATGACCTCAAAGCGCGATAGTGCGAATCGCGAAAGAATTTGTATGATTAAGATAAGTCGGAGAGAAAGGATTGAACAAAACACTGTAAAGCAGGTCACTAGGGATTAAAGTGATTCCATCAAACATTATTGCAGGTAAACATGACCACTTAATTTTATTTGTCATTGCGGAGCTGCCAACAATTATTGCTCTTGTTTCAAAGCATTAACTTTTATATCGTAGGACTTGTTCCAATCACAAACTATCTTTAAGACGCAATTCAGAGAATTGATCGCAAAATATAGTTGGTCAGGACAAGCTTGGGAATAAACTTGTAAATCATCATCATAAAGGTGCGCCACCCTATGGTACCCCAGCAAAAATATCACACCAAGTAGAAAAGGAATGCGTATCTGCTGACGCCGTCCAGACAGGTAACTACGAAATCAGTCAATCACTGCTGGAGATATGTTAATAGAGCGTAATATGCCAAGCAGAATGTCAAAGTTAACGGTATTAAATGATCACTCTTGATTTTTTTATTTTATTACAACAACTGATATAAAAGCTACGTACCTATTTTGTACTGATACGATAAAATTTTCTTATAAACAGTTTTCTTTGACCGATTTTAATTACGTTTTTTAAAGACAAGATTTGTGATATGAAACCATTTTAATGGAAATCTGAGAATAGACACAAATTAACATTTTAATTGTAAGCGTTACCACAAACTCCATCACAGAGTTTTTGGTGTGTAGGCCACTAAAATTGACAGCTAGTTTCAACACTTACGAAAGAAAAAAAATCAGGATAATATTCGTTACTAATATTTTAAACAGGGAAAGTTTGTTTATTTGTTTTCATCGATTAAGCTTCTCTGATCTGATCAAGTTCAGGTTTTATAATACTATGCCAACCTATTAACGTTTTTGTTAGTATATAAATATAGTCTAGAGTTGTCTAAACAAAAAGTAAGCAATTGGGTTGCGCGAACTCTGCAAATCACGGTCGTGACTTAGCGTAAAAGCTTCACAGCACATAGCTTTCCTGAAAGTCTTTAAATTGTATAGTTTAGAAAATTAAAGTGCTTACCAACCTATTTGTGAACAGACTTTAAATATTTACTTTGTTTATGTACACCTTATAGAAGAGTTTCATGTTTTTTTCTTTTAGCGTATTTAAATAAGATCCCTGTTTTGTTCTTTTTTTACCCTTATATTCTTGGAGAAATCTTTCTAAACCGACTAAACCGACTTTTTTTTATGAATATCTATTCATAAAAAAAAGTCGGTTTAGTTAATTATCATTAACCAAGATGGCGGACTAATAGGTAGATATATGTTTTCTAAGTGCTCTTATAATAAAGGTATCAAATGAAAGATTTCTCCAAGAATATAAGGGTAAAAAGGGTAGGTGCCAGATGGCACCGATAAAAAAAAATTGGTTTATCCACTTTTTGTGTTTCGATTTTATTGAAGATCAAAATTTGTGGTTGTTTCTCTTTATTTTGGTTTTTTCGGTTTAATTTTTTAGAATTGATTTGTAATATATGGTTTCTTTTTTTATTTAGAAACTTTGAATATATGTATGCCCGTTTCATCGTAGCCTATATTGTGTATGAATTTCAAAATACATATTTGTACAACTCATTATTTAACTGTATTATAATTTTGGATAAGAGTAAGTTTAAACCGACATAGTTTGTTAAAATTTTGAGTTTTTTTTTGGTACCTACATGTATATGTTACTATACGACTCGCTCAGTACTGCTAATAACCAGGTAATTTAAAAAAAGAAAAGAGTAATAAAATCAAAACAACTACATAAGCGGAATGCAAAAGGAAGACACAGAATGAGAAAATTTTTACAAATTAGCAATATTTTAACAAACAAAATGATTGTATTTATGCTCAAAGACATACGACATTAGTGATGGTTTGGTGGGGTGTTATGTTAGCAATGAAGGAGTGACTGAGCCATATTTTTATGAAAAAGGCATAAAAAAATCGGCACACTTGTGTCAATATACCATTATCGAGAAGGTAGTTAAGCACCTTAACAACACCATTCAATAACCAAGAATGTTCCTTTCAGCAAGACTAGGCGCCAGATCATACCTATAGTAACATAATGGTTTTCAATTAACATTTGAGTAATGAGTATAGCTCGATCTATCCAATTTTGGTTAGAAACGAACGTTCCAGATTTCATCAGACTGGCCGTCATCTACACCAGGGGTGCGACCGCCTTATTCTCCAGCCATGATTCTAGCCTTAGGATACGACATCGTAGTGATGCTGTGTCGATATTTCGTTTCAGTTTCGAACTGTATTAACGACGAACGTATTATAAAGAATGATGATTATGGATTTGACAGCAACGTTAACAAATTAGTAATCTATCCGACATTTATCCACCAAAAGACATGTCAAAGAAGTAAAATGAAACTAAATACCACCAAAACATCGATAAGATGTCGTATGCTATGGCTAGAATCATGGCTAAATAGTAAGGCGGTCGCACCACTGATCTCAATCTGCTAGATATAAGGCTTGCTCTAAACACCATAATTTGGAGTCCCTAAAACAATCCATGCGATTAGCAGTTCAGTATTTTCCCAGAGATCACTTCAACTAAGCTATATATATATATATATATATATATATATATATATATATATTTTAATTAGTGGTCGCCCAAATTGAAAGAATAAATTTCAATTAGAAGTTATTACTGAAATCGAAACTCTTTTGACATTCAGAAGACCTCAGTAAACATCACAACCATATAAACTTAACACTGGCTAAATACACAAACCATGCGAAGCCAATATTCAAAATAAAACAAACAAACTCTATGTCAAAAGAAACAATTTGACCACAGAGTACATGTATGCGTGTAGCAAACACTTATTTGTGTGTGTCAAATGCATACTAGTGTGTGTAATGTTTTATTCATCGATTGAATGTACTTTATAAGCATTATAATTAAAAAATATTAGCCGTTTGCACTTTCTCTTATAAACTACAAATGTGCCAAATTTCATACTCCTCCGCCCTCGGAATTTTCGTAAAAAGGGATCCAAAGTTTTTGCTTCTCGTATTAATATATAGATGTATTAATCAA